GCAAGCAGCGTAGCCGAAGGTTGTCGTTGCGGATGCCAGGTACGCGCTGAAGCACAGGGACATCGCAAGCACGCACACCGCAGCGCACACCACGGTGCGGATCACACGAACTGGCAAGCATTCACGCTGCATTCTGAGCATAGCTGTATAAAAGAACGACAGAAGAACAAGAAGAGCAAGAAGAAAAAGGCGGTATACGTTGGCGGGCTATCGGTTGCGAAGGCAGAAGGAGGAAAAAAAGGGAGGGAGCGTGAGGCGACAGGACTTCCACGCAGATCCGCAGCAACGCGTAGAACGGTGGATTCTGTGCAGAGAGCCGGTGTGGGCGACTTGCGACGTAATATATATATAAGCTGCAAGAGTGAAGCCAACACGCGTGCTCGCGTATTAGATGCTGTGCTAGAGTGGACAGGTAACCAGTAAAAAATACCTCTATCGATTTGGAAGGAGAGGAGAAAGAGAGGAGGAGGCACCGACGTGGAGGAAGGTGTGTTCTACACAAATCAGGCACGAAGAGCCCCAAACGATATTCATCTATAAAAAAAAGGCCCAGTATCATTGCCGTTGTCAGTCCAGCTTCTTTTTCTTTTTAGTTGTTAGTTCTTCTTCGTTTCTTCTTCTTCTTGAGAATGAATCCTCTTTCACCGTGACGCGTGAAAGCTGATCTCTGCAACTGCAAAAAATGCGTCTGTTAGACCCACCCAGACGATCGGCCGAGCGGTCGTTAACTCACAGACCGCAACAGCGTGGGCAGCGCTTCTCAGCTGCTGGTTTACTTGCTTCACGGGGTTCTCAATTGATTCACTAACACGCTTTTAACGTAAAGCATAAAGTAGTTAAAAAATTGAATATGAATCGGGGTTGACATTGGAAAGTGCTTTCGGATTCTCTTTCTACACGACGTCTACACAGAAGTCTCCCGACCTTTTCTGGGAAGACGCTGAGGAGACACCGTCACAATGTGGCTGCTCTTGTTGCTCTTCCCAGCAGAATAAGCCGTGTGATACTGCTCTCGATGCCTCTTCCCCTCCTTTTGCATCCCTTCAGCTTCCTCGAAGGATTACGCCGCAGACAGCCGCTTGTCGTGCAGGAATTGCGACACCATGTACAGTGACACTTCCGGCTGGTCCATCGGCACCATGTGGCCCGCATCGTACACACGCACGAAGCTAAAGTTGCCGTACTTCCGCTCCTGTCCAGCGGCGCGGCCTCCAACACGGAACTCCATGTCCGACGCGGCGTTGAAGGCGGTCTTCCCAGGCCAGTTCAGCGCCGTCACCCACGCCTTGTTGCCGATCCAGTTGCAGATAAAGTCGCAATCACCGGCGTAGATCAGTACACGGATGCCGGCCGCCAGCATCGGCGGAAAGGTGTAGTTGAAGTTTTTCACCTCGTCATACACAAACAGTTCTCCCGCCTCGTTGTTACATGTGGCCCACGTTGCGGCGTCATCCACGCCCAACGAAGCGCGCACCGCCGAGTTGTTGTAAAACGCAATGGTGTGGTTCATCGGATAGCACAGCGGGCCGTCGCAGGTCTTGCGCACGTCATAGCTGTTTAACCCCGTATTGTAGTAATAACTCTGGTAGTCGCCGCAAACCGTATTCGCAAGCAGGCACTCCGCGTTCGAGGCGGCGTAGTCGAGAGAGGCGTCGTTGCACTTTTGGATGTGGTCCACGCAGGCGGGCAGCAACGACAGCATTTCCTCATGCGCCGCCGCCGTGATGCACGGTTTGCCAGTTTTGGCGAGGCAGCCATCGTACGCCATCTCCGCGTAGGAAGGTGCCTGCGTGTACGGGTCCGTGATGCCGTTGCCAATGCCGATGCCCTTCAGGTTGATCACGGGGCCGTCACCACGCTGGTTGCCCTGGAAGATTCGGTAGCTCACCGCGGGAACGTAGTGTCCGGCGTAGCTCTCGCCGATGATGAAGAAGTCGTTCGCGCCGGTGATGGAGGGCGACGTGAACTTCCTCGCAAAGCCCTGCAGGAAGTGGTACATGTCCTCCGCCACCTCGCTCTCGTTGTGCACGTAGTTGGCCTTGTCGCCGTAGGAGTAGCCCACACCCGTCGGCTGGTCCACGAACAGCAGGTACGCCTCGTCGTTCCACCCGTACGCGTTGCGGTGCAGCTCACCGGAGGTTTCATTGACTTCGCACGGACCCAGCTCCATAGCTAGCGCCAATCCTGAGCTGCACCCGGGTCCGCCCGTCATCCACATAATCACAGGCGGTTGGCTGCCGTCCGTGGGCCACCGACGAGGACCAAACAGCCAGTAGAAGTAGTGCTTCTGTGTCCCGCTCACACCGGGGATGTCGATGTAGCCGCTGGACTGCACGACGGAGGGGTCGCAGGCGGCGTAGCCGTGATGGGCTCGGGCATTTGCCGACGCTGCTCCCTGAAGCAGCACCGCCACCACTGCACAGCACAAAACAGCTGCAGCGGCCGTCAGCTTTGGAGCACACCACATTGGCCGTCTCAGAAGGAGTCCGCTGGAAGGGTTTGTTGGTGTGTGTGTGTGTGTGTGCGCGCGTGTGTGGGTGTTTGGCAGTGATCAATACGGCGATACGATGGCTGGCTTTGAAAAGAAGTAGATGGCGCGGGCACCAACGACAACGGTTGAAGATACAGGTGGAAAAAAAAAGGAGAAGGAGACACAAAGGGAGGGGAAGCCAACATGAAAAGAGAGAAGGACACGTAAAGGACTAGAGAGGGGTGGTGCAGAAGCACGGAAGCCCCAGCTGATGGGGGACCAAGAATCTCTGTTGCACACCCCGCCCCAATCGCCAAGCCCTTCCGCTGTGCTTTCCCAACTCGTAGGTGTGGCGACCTAAAACTTTCAAAGAAAATGCTCGAAAGATTCTCAGCAAACCAAACACATATATATATAGGAGAACAAGACACGCGCTTCGGCAATTGATGGTGTACAACACGCCTCCGCAAGCTAGTCATGTCCCTTCAAGTGTCACCTCTCCGGTTGGTGAACAAAGAGAAAAAAAAGTCCTTGGATAGGCGCAAGAGGCAAAAAAAAAGTAGGTATTCCTTTCCATCACTTCACACGTGCCTGTGAAACACTGAACTGCAGCACAGTGGGAACGCTAAAACGATGGTTGAAGGCACTCTACCACGGTTCGATAGTTCGATACCAACGGAAAGCGGCGATAGGCGTATTGAAACGCAGCAGCTAATACATATCACGAGGAGCATTCCAAAACCGCCGTCGTTGAGGTGGGAGAGGCGGCAACTCAACTATCGACCCTCTCACTTCTGCTACGCGCCAACAAAAATACACATTAAAATATATAGAGAGAAGAGCGAAAGAGTTTTTAAAAAATTAAAAAAGAAAAAAGTGAAAGGAACCCAACGGCTGTGAAACGCTGCGCATCACCGCCGAGGCTTCCTCCTGCGCCGTATCGCAGTGGAGGGAGGTGCACTACATGGAAAGCCTCCTGTCGTGCAGGAATTGCGACACCATGTACAGGGCGGCCGCCGGCTGGTCCATCGGCACCATGTGACCCGCATCGTACACACGCACGAAGCTGAAGTTGCCGTACTTCCGCTCCTGACCAGCGGCGCGGCCCCCAACGCGGAACTCCACGTCCGACGCGGCGTTGAAGGCGGCCTTCCCAGGCCAGTTCAGCGCCGTCACCCACGCCTTGTTGCCGATCCAGTTGCAGATAAAGTCGCAATCACCGGCGTAGATCAGTACACGGATGCCGGCCGCCAACAGGGGTGGAACGGTGTAGTTGAAGTTGCGGTGGATGTCATGCGCGAACATCTCCGACACGACATCACTGCTGCTGTTCCACACCAAATCTGGTTTGGCACCCAACGCGCTCATCACATCGGCAGTGCGTAAAAAGTCCGAAAGGTGGTCGATCGGGTAGCACAGCTCACCAACGCACGGTTTGCGGACATCGTAGTTGTTCTTGCCGGTAGCGGAGTAGTACGCGGCAACACTGCGGCAATACGTGTTCGCCTCTCCGCACGACGCGTCCGTGTCGTCTGGGAAGGAGTTGCACTGCGCAATCAGATCAAGGCAGTGTGGCATCATCGACAGCATCTCGTCGCGGGTAGTCGCGTTCACGCAAGGCGCGCCGGTGCTTCTCTTACACCAGTCATAGGCGATGTCAACATAGGAAGGGTATTGGGTGTACGGGTCCGTCAGACCGTTGCCCACAGCAATGCCCTTCAGGTTGATCACCGGGCCGTCACCACGCTGGTTGCCCTGCAGCACACGATAGGCAACAGAAGGCACGTAATGGCCTCCGTAGCTCTCGCCTGCGATGAAGAAGTCGTTCGCGCCGGTGATGGAGGGCGACGTGAACTTCCTCGCAAAGCCCTGCAGGAAGTGGTACATGTCCTCCGCCACCCCGCTCTCGTTGTGCACGTAGTTGGCCTTGTCGCCGTAGGAGTAGCCCACACCCGTCGGCTGGTCCACGAACAGCAGGTACGCCTCGTCGTTCCACCCGTACGCGTTGCGGTGCAGCTCACCGGAGGTCTCGTTCATCAGGCAAGGACCAAGCTCAGCCAGCATACCAAAGCTCGAGCTTCCGCCCGTCATCCACATAATCACAGGCGGTTGGCTGCCGTCCGTGGGCCACCGACGAGGACCAAAAAGCCAGTAGAAGTAGTGCTTCTGTGTCCCACTCACACCGGGGATGTCGATGTAGCCGCTGGACTGCACGACGGAGGGGTCGCAGGCAGCGTAGCCAAAGTTCGTCTTTGCGGATGCGTAGACGCAGCACAGGCAGAGCGTGGCGGTGGCAGCCACGAGCGCAAAACGCGACAGCGTGGTGGTCATCAGGTATCGATAAGGAAAAGAAAAAAGAGGTGTAATAAATATATAGTACATACAGTAAATATATACTAGGGTCAGCAATTTGGAATCGGAGCGTTTGAGCACCGTCGCCGTCGCTGAGCAGCGGTGAAACAGCCGAACCGGGTGCTGCGTCTGTGTACAGCAACTTTAACAGGAACAACCAGAAAAAGAATCCGTGAGAACACGCGCGTTTAGTGCAGTGAGATTTCAGCTTTCGACACGGTGCTAAGAAGAGGAAACGAAAAAAAAAGAGCATGGGTGTTGCTGCAAAGCGTCTCTCAGCCGTTGGCATCTTGCGGCTGGACCTTTTCATACAGCGCAAGTCCTGCTGTGCAAGGACGCTTGCACCGCGGCGCGCGTGTGAGGAATGTGTTTCAGTTGCGCTTCTCATCATATAGCCCTCCCAAACGCGAGCACCGTCGGCGCCCGTTCACCTGGCGTCAGACAGAAGACAAGGGAAGCACTCATGCAGGAAAAAAAAGGGAGGCGATCCATTGCATCGCGCTTGGCTGCGATATCGTTGCCGGGGTGACAATTGACGATTCACTCAGGCTGCGGTGGAAGGCACGGGGATACAAGAAGCAACGTAAGGGTGTCACAGGATTCTTTCAGTTTCTCTGAGAGAAGACTTTACTTTCCTTGTTTGCACGACAGTAAAAAAAAAGGGGGCGATTAAGGGCGATCACCAATGCCCACAGGGAAGCTCAGCTTAGGAGGACGGCAACGAGCGCACGCACACGCACCAAAACTCTCCGCCTTGGGGTTCACGGAGGATCCGCCACGGCAAATCTTTCATTCCTTCAAGTTCCACGAAATACGCTACGTTCGCTCTGCCAATCGTGCATTGCGTAAGATTTTTGACACGACTTCCAACGCCACTTCCGGCTGATCCATCGGCACCATGTGTCCCGCATCGTACACACGCACGAAGCTGAAGTTGCCGTACTTCCGCTCTTGTCCAGCAGTACGGCCGTTCACAGTAAACTCCACATCGGGAGCGGCATTGAACCCTGCCTTCCCAGGCCACTCCAGTGCCGTTGCCCAAGCTTTGTTGCCCATCCAGTTGCAGCTGTAATCGAGGTCTCCGACGTACAACATCACAGGCACACCGGCGGCGAGGATCGGCGGGATAGCGTAGTCAAAGTTACGCAGCTCATCGTTATCGAACAGCTGAGAGACGTCGTCGTTGCACACAGACCACTGCACGCCGTCTGCCACTCCAAGTCGAGCGCGGAGCTCGGCGTTGGAGAAAAACTTCAGCGTGTGATTCATCGAGTAGCCGAGAGTACCGACGCTCTTCTTTGTGATGTCCATTGCGTTTAATCCGCTACGAGCAAACATGCCTTCAATAACGGTGCAGTACCTCGTCGCCTCCCCGCACGACGCGTCCGTGTCGTCCGGGAAGGAGTTGCACTGCGCAATCAGATCAAGGCAGTGTGGCATCATCGACAGCATCTCGTCGCGGGTAGTCGCGTTCACACACGGCGTGCCCAGTTTTTGCGTGCAGAAATCGTAGGCATAGGTAACATAGAAAGGGTACTGGATGTACAAATTTGTGAACCCGTTGCCAATGCCGATGCCCTTCAGGTTGATCACGGGGCCGTCACCACGCTGGTTGCCCTGGAAGATTCGGTAGCTCACCGCGGGAACGTAGTGTCCGGCGTAGCTCTCGCCGATGATGAAGAAGTCGTTCGCGCCGGTGATGGAGGGCGACGTGAACTTCCTCGCAAAGCCCTGCAGGAAGTGGTACATGTCCTCCGCCACCTCGCTCTCGTTGTGCACGTAGTTGGCCTTGTCGCCGTAGGAGTAGCCCACACCCGTCGGCTGGTCCACGAACAGCAGGTACGCCTCGTCGTTCCACCCGTACGCGTTGCGGTGCAGCTCACCGGAGGTTTCATTGACTTTGCACGGGCCCAGCTCCATAGCTAGCGCCAATCCTGAGCTGCACCCGGGTCCGCCCGTCATCCACATAATCACAGGCGGTTGGCTGCCGTCCGTGGGCCACCGACGAGGACCAAACAGCCAGTAGAAGTAGTGCTTCTGTGTCCCGCTCACACCGGGGATGTCGATGTAGCCGCTGGACTGCACGACGGAGGGGTCGCAAGCAGCGTAGCCGAAGGTTGTCGTTGCGGATGCCAGGTACGCGCTGAAGCACAGGGACATCGCAAGCACGCACACCGCAGCGCACACCACGGTGCGGATCACACGAACTGGCAAGCATTCACGCTGCATTCTGAGCATAGCTGTATAAAAGAACGACAGAAGAACAAGAAGAGCAAGAAGAAAAAGGCGGTATACGTTGGCGGGCTATCGGTTGCGAAGGCAGAAGGAGGAAAAAAAGGGAGGGAGCGTGAGGCGACAGGACTTCCACGCAGATCCGCAGCAACGCGTAGAACGGTGGATTCTGTGCAGAGAGCCGGTGTGGGCGACTTGCGACGTAATATATATATAAGCTGCAAGAGTGAAGCCAACACGCGTGCTCGCGTATTAGATGCTGTGCTAGAGTGGACAGGTAACCAGTAAAAAATACCTCTATCGATTTGGAAGGAGAGGAGAAAGAGAGGAGGAGGCACCGACGTGGAGGAAGGTGTGTTCTACACAAATCAGGCACGAAGAGCCCCAAACGATATTCATCTATAAAAAAAAGGCCCAGTATCATTGCCGTTGTCAGTCCAGCTTCTTTTTCTTTTTAGTTGTTAGTTCTTCTTCGTTTCTTCTTCTTCTTGAGAATGAATCCTCTTTCACCGTGACGCGTGAAAGCTGATCTCTGCAACTGCAAAAAATGCGTCTGTTAGACCCACCCAGACGATCGGCCGAGCGGTCGTTAACTCACAGACCGCAACAGCGTGGGCAGCGCTTCTCAGCTGCTGGTTTACTTGCTTCACGGGGTTCTCAATTGATTCACTAACACGCTTTTAACGTAAAGCATAAAGTAGTTAAAAAATTGAATATGAATCGGGGTTGACATTGGAAAGTGCTTTCGGATTCTCTTTCTACACGACGTCTACACAGAAGTCTCCCGACCTTTTCTGGGAAGACGCTGAGGAGACACCGTCACAATGTGGCTGCTCTTGTTGCTCTTCCCAGCAGAATAAGCCGTGTGATACTGCTCTCGATGCCTCTTCCCCTCCTTTTGCATCCCTTCAGCTTCCTCGAAGGATTACGCCGCAGACAGCCGCTTGTCGTGCAGGAATTGCGACACCATGTACAGTGACACTTCCGGCTGGTCCATCGGCACCATGTGGCCCGCATCGTACACACGCACGAAGCTAAAGTTGCCGTACTTCCGCTCCTGTCCAGCGGCGCGGCCTCCAACACGGAACTCCATGTCCGACGCGGCGTTGAAGGCGGTCTTCCCAGGCCAGTTCAGCGCCGTCACCCACGCCTTGTTGCCGATCCAGTTGCAGATAAAGTCGCAATCACCGGCGTAGATCAGTACACGGATGCCGGCCGCCAGCATCGGCGGAAAGGTGTAGTTGAAGTTTTTCACCTCGTCATACACAAACAGTTCTCCCGCCTCGTTGTTACATGTGGCCCACGTTGCGGCGTCATCCACGCCCAACGAAGCGCGCACCGCCGAGTTGTTGTAAAACGCAATGGTGTGGTTCATCGGATAGCACAGCGGGCCGTCGCAGGTCTTGCGCACGTCATAGCTGTTTAACCCCGTATTGTAGTAATAACTCTGGTAGTCGCCGCAAACCGTATTCGCAAGCAGGCACTCCGCGTTCGAGGCGGCGTAGTCGAGAGAGGCGTCGTTGCACTTTTGGATGTGGTCCACGCAGGCGGGCAGCAACGACAGCATTTCCTCATGCGCCGCCGCCGTGATGCACGGTTTGCCAGTTTTGGCGAGGCAGCCATCGTACGCCATCTCCGCGTAGGAAGGTGCCTGCGTGTACGGGTCCGTGATGCCGTTGCCAATGCCGATGCCCTTCAGGTTGATCACGGGGCCGTCACCACGCTGGTTGCCCTGGAAGATTCGGTAGCTCACCGCGGGAACGTAGTGTCCGGCGTAGCTCTCGCCGATGATGAAGAAGTCGTTCGCGCCGGTGATGGAGGGCGACGTGAACTTCCTCGCAAAGCCCTGCAGGAAGTGGTACATGTCCTCCGCCACCTCGCTCTCGTTGTGCACGTAGTTGGCCTTGTCGCCGTAGGAGTAGCCCACACCCGTCGGCTGGTCCACGAACAGCAGGTACGCCTCGTCGTTCCACCCGTACGCGTTGCGGTGCAGCTCACCGGAGGTTTCATTGACTTCGCACGGACCCAGCTCCATAGCTAGCGCCAATCCTGAGCTGCACCCGGGTCCGCCCGTCATCCACATAATCACAGGCGGTTGGCTGCCGTCCGTGGGCCACCGACGAGGACCAAACAGCCAGTAGAAGTAGTGCTTCTGTGTCCCGCTCACACCGGGGATGTCGATGTAGCCGCTGGACTGCACGACGGAGGGGTCGCAGGCGGCGTAGCCGTGATGGGCTCGGGCATTTGCCGACGCTGCTCCCTGAAGCAGCACCGCCACCACTGCACAGCACAAAACAGCTGCAGCGGCCGTCAGCTTTGGAGCACACCACATTGGCCGTCTCAGAAGGAGTCCGCTGGAAGGGTTTGTTGGTGTGTGTGTGTGTGTGTGCGCGCGTGTGTGGGTGTTTGGCAGTGATCAATACGGCGATACGATGGCTGGCTTTGAAAAGAAGTAGATGGCGCGGGCACCAACGACAACGGTTGAAGATACAGGTGGAAAAAAAAAGGAGAAGGAGACACAAAGGGAGGGGAAGCCAACATGAAAAGAGAGAAGGACACGTAAAGGACTAGAGAGGGGTGGTGCAGAAGCACGGAAGCCCCAGCTGATGGGGGACCAAGAATCTCTGTTGCACACCCCGCCCCAATCGCCAAGCCCTTCCGCTGTGCTTTCCCAACTCGTAGGTGTGGCGACCTAAAACTTTCAAAGAAAATGCTCGAAAGATTCTCAGCAAACCAAACACATATATATATAGGAGAACAAGACACGCGCTTCGGCAATTGATGGTGTACAACACGCCTCCGCAAGCTAGTCATGTCCCTTCAAGTGTCACCTCTCCGGTTGGTGAACAAAGAGAAAAAAAAGTCCTTGGATAGGCGCAAGAGGCAAAAAAAAAGTAGGTATTCCTTTCCATCACTTCACACGTGCCTGTGAAACACTGAACTGCAGCACAGTGGGAACGCTAAAACGATGGTTGAAGGCACTCTACCACGGTTCGATAGTTCGATACCAACGGAAAGCGGCGATAGGCGTATTGAAACGCAGCAGCTAATACATATCACGAGGAGCATTCCAAAACCGCCGTCGTTGAGGTGGGAGAGGCGGCAACTCAACTATCGACCCTCTCACTTCTGCTACGCGCCAACAAAAATACACATTAAAATATATAGAGAGAAGAGCGAAAGAGTTTTTAAAAAATTAAAAAAGAAAAAAGTGAAAGGAACCCAACGGCTGTGAAACGCTGCGCATCACCGCCGAGGCTTCCTCCTGCGCCGTATCGCAGTGGAGGGAGGTGCACTACATGGAAAGCCTCCTGTCGTGCAGGAATTGCGACACCATGTACAGGGCGGCCGCCGGCTGGTCCATCGGCACCATGTGACCCGCATCGTACACACGCACGAAGCTGAAGTTGCCGTACTTCCGCTCCTGACCAGCGGCGCGGCCCCCAACGCGGAACTCCACGTCCGACGCGGCGTTGAAGGCGGCCTTCCCAGGCCAGTTCAGCGCCGTCACCCACGCCTTGTTGCCGATCCAGTTGCAGATAAAGTCGCAATCACCGGCGTAGATCAGTACACGGATGCCGGCCGCCAACAGGGGTGGAACGGTGTAGTTGAAGTTGCGGTGGATGTCATGCGCGAACATCTCCGACACGACATCACTGCTGCTGTTCCACACCAAATCTGGTTTGGCACCCAACGCGCTCATCACATCGGCAGTGCGTAAAAAGTCCGAAAGGTGGTCGATCGGGTAGCACAGCTCACCAACGCACGGTTTGCGGACATCGTAGTTGTTCTTGCCGGTAGCGGAGTAGTACGCGGCAACACTGCGGCAATACGTGTTCGCCTCTCCGCACGACGCGTCCGTGTCGTCTGGGAAGGAGTTGCACTGCGCAATCAGATCAAGGCAGTGTGGCATCATCGACAGCATCTCGTCGCGGGTAGTCGCGTTCACGCAAGGCGCGCCGGTGCTTCTCTTACACCAGTCATAGGCGATGTCAACATAGGAAGGGTATTGGGTGTACGGGTCCGTCAGACCGTTGCCCACAGCAATGCCCTTCAGGTTGATCACCGGGCCGTCACCACGCTGGTTGCCCTGCAGCACACGATAGGCAACAGAAGGCACGTAATGGCCTCCGTAGCTCTCGCCTGCGATGAAGAAGTCGTTCGCGCCGGTGATGGAGGGCGACGTGAACTTCCTCGCAAAGCCCTGCAGGAAGTGGTACATGTCCTCCGCCACCCCGCTCTCGTTGTGCACGTAGTTGGCCTTGTCGCCGTAGGAGTAGCCCACACCCGTCGGCTGGTCCACGAACAGCAGGTACGCCTCGTCGTTCCACCCGTACGCGTTGCGGTGCAGCTCACCGGAGGTCTCGTTCATCAGGCAAGGACCAAGCTCAGCCAGCATACCAAAGCTCGAGCTTCCGCCCGTCATCCACATAATCACAGGCGGTTGGCTGCCGTCCGTGGGCCACCGACGAGGACCAAAAAGCCAGTAGAAGTAGTGCTTCTGTGTCCCACTCACACCGGGGATGTCGATGTAGCCGCTGGACTGCACGACGGAGGGGTCGCAGGCAGCGTAGCCAAAGTTCGTCTTTGCGGATGCGTAGACGCAGCACAGGCAGAGCGTGGCGGTGGCAGCCACGAGCGCAAAACGCGACAGCGTGGTGGTCATCAGGTATCGATAAGGAAAAGAAAAAAGAGGTGTAATAAATATATAGTACATACAGTAAATATATACTAGGGTCAGCAATTTGGAATCGGAGCGTTTGAGCACCGTCGCCGTCGCTGAGCAGCGGTGAAACAGCCGAACCGGGTGCTGCGTCTGTGTACAGCAACTTTAACAGGAACAACCAGAAAAAGAATCCGTGAGAACACGCGCGTTTAGTGCAGTGAGATTTCAGCTTTCGACACGGTGCTAAGAAGAGGAAACGAAAAAAAAAGAGCATGGGTGTTGCTGCAAAGCGTCTCTCAGCCGTTGGCATCTTGCGGCTGGACCTTTTCATACAGCGCAAGTCCTGCTGTGCAAGGACGCTTGCACCGCGGCGCGCGTGTGAGGAATGTGTTTCAGTTGCGCTTCTCATCATATAGCCCTCCCAAACGCGAGCACCGTCGGCGCCCGTTCACCTGGCGTCAGACAGAAGACAAGGGAAGCACTCATGCAGGAAAAAAAAGGGAGGCGATCCATTGCATCGCGCTTGGCTGCGATATCGTTGCCGGGGTGACAATTGACGATTCACTCAGGCTGCGGTGGAAGGCACGGGGATACAAGAAGCAACGTAAGGGTGTCACAGGATTCTTTCAGTTTCTCTGAGAGAAGACTTTACTTTCCTTGTTTGCACGACAGTAAAAAAAAAGGGGGCGATTAAGGGCGATCACCAATGCCCACAGGGAAGCTCAGCTTAGGAGGACGGCAACGAGCGCACGCACACGCACCAAAACTCTCCGCCTTGGGGTTCACGGAGGATCCGCCACGGCAAATCTTTCATTCCTTCAAGTTCCACGAAATACGCTACGTTCGCTCTGCCAATCGTGCATTGCGTAAGATTTTTGACACGACTTCCAACGCCACTTCCGGCTGATCCATCGGCACCATGTGTCCCGCATCGTACACACGCACGAAGCTGAAGTTGCCGTACTTCCGCTCTTGTCCAGCAGTACGGCCGTTCACAGTAAACTCCACATCGGGAGCGGCATTGAACCCTGCCTTCCCAGGCCACTCCAGTGCCGTTGCCCAAGCTTTGTTGCCCATCCAGTTGCAGCTGTAATCGAGGTCTCCGACGTACAACATCACAGGCACACCGGCGGCGAGGATCGGCGGGATAGCGTAGTCAAAGTTACGCAGCTCATCGTTATCGAACAGCTGAGAGACGTCGTCGTTGCACACAGACCACTGCACGCCGTCTGCCACTCCAAGTCGAGCGCGGAGCTCGGCGTTGGAGAAAAACTTCAGCGTGTGATTCATCGAGTAGCCGAGAGTACCGACGCTCTTCTTTGTGATGTCCATTGCGTTTAATCCGCTACGAGCAAACATGCCTTCAATAACGGTGCAGTACCTCGTCGCCTCCCCGCACGACGCGTCCGTGTCGTCCGGGAAGGAGTTGCACTGCGCAATCAGATCAAGGCAGTGTGGCATCATCGACAGCATCTCGTCGCGGGTAGTCGCGTTCACACACGGCGTGCCCAGTTTTTGCGTGCAGAAATCGTAGGCATAGGTAACATAGAAAGGGTACTGGATGTACAAATTTGTGAACCCGTTGCCAATGCCGATGCCCTTCAGGTTGATCACGGGGCCGTCACCACGCTGGTTGCCCTGGAAGATTCGGTAGCTCACCGCGGGAACGTAGTGTCCGGCGTAGCTCTCGCCGATGATGAAGAAGTCGTTCGCGCCGGTGATGGAGGGCGACGTGAACTTCCTCGCAAAGCCCTGCAGGAAGTGGTACATGTCCTCCGCCACCTCGCTCTCGTTGTGCACGTAGTTGGCCTTGTCGCCGTAGGAGTAGCCCACACCCGTCGGCTGGTCCACGAACAGCAGGTACGCCTCGTCGTTCCACCCGTACGCGTTGCGGTGCAGCTCACCGGAGGTTTCATTGACTTTGCACGGGCCCAGCTCCATAGCTAGCGCCAATCCTGAGCTGCACCCGGGTCCGCCCGTCATCCACATAATCACAGGCGGTTGGCTGCCGTCCGTGGGCCACCGACGAGGACCAAACAGCCAGTAGAAGTAGTGCTTCTGTGTCCCGCTCACACCGGGGATGTCGATGTAGCCGCTGGACTGCACGACGGAGGGGTCGCAAGCAGCGTAGCCAAAGTTCGTCTTTGTGGATGCGTAGACGCAGCAAAGCGTAGAACTCACCACCGCTATTAAAGCAGCAGTAATGAAGAGCTTCTGTGCCACGATCATTGCCGACCGTAAGTACGTGACTTTGTGTTGATACAGTCTAGATTAACAATAATAATAACAATAATAATAATAATGAAAGCGATGGACTACGGTGCGCTATGATAAGTCGAGAAGACGGGTTCGACCAGCAAAAGGCTGGGTTTTTTATCAGCGCACCGATGTTCACGTTGTTCCTAAATAACACTTCTTCTGCGCGGTGATTCCATGTTCAACTCATGGAAGAATGGCAAACGCTCAATACTGTAGCCGTTTGTGTCAGCGAAAATCAGATAATAATACTGATAGAAAGATCAATTTGTTGCTCGACACGTAGGCACGCTTTTCAGGTGCAGGCGACGACCGGCAGGCAGAATCGGGTTGAGGCGAGCACAGGAAAATTTGCGGGTCTTTGTGGGCGAGAACGGGGGTTGGCGCAGGGAGGGAAAGAAACACATCAAGAAATACGTATATGATGAGTGAAAAAAAAAGGACAGCGGAAGCAACACACGTAAAGCGTCGTTACGCGGTCGAAGTGTGCGGTGCCACCCACGCGTTAGCGAACCAAAACGGACGGCACTGGGTGTCGTGCGGTGTGTCCATGTCACCGCTTTGCGGATTCTTAGCACACGCACAAGGGAAAGAAAGAAGAACAGCTGCACCGCCCTTTTGTTTTTTTCTTTTGGAACGCAGCACCCCGCGGCTTCGTGAGTGCGATGGCTCTTCACACACCGGTGGAGACGCTGCCGATATGAGAGAGAGAGAGAGAGAGCAACGTTATGCGCAAACAACGCCGAGGGAGAAAAACAAGATCAGAAAAAATAGACGGAGGGAAACCGCCCTCTGCTCCCTATACAAACACGACGCTCGGAATAGCCAGATCACTACCTGATTTATCTCCCACATGCGCTCCGCTGCGCTGAGTGCACGCGTTGCATCGCCGCACGTGCGTCTGTTCCGCTGGCGAACAACGACGACACACACACAAAAAAAAAGGGGCGTTGGAGAAAACAAAAACCCGGCGATAACACTATCAGCGCCTCCCCACCCCTCCTCACAACGAACGAGAGGAAAGCCAAAAGGGAGCTGCACAGCAAATCATCCGTTCCCTCTTTCGTTTTCTGCTGACAGCTTTCTTTTCCTTTTCCTTTGTTAACGGCTGTTAAAGAAGCATAAGTGTAGCAGCGCCAACCCGAAACGACCTCTCTGCTGTTCTCTTCTCCCGGAGCGCGGTACTGTGAGACAACGCCGCCGACTCCTTTGCTGCCATTTCGTCTGTTTGCCCCTGTTGTGCTACGCCAGCCGCTTGTCGTGCAGGAATTGCGACACCATGTACAGTGACACTTCCGGCTGGTCCATCGGCACCATGTGGCCCGCATCGTACACACGCACGAAGCTGAAGTTGCCGTACTTCCGCTCCTGACCCGCCCAACGACCGCCCACCGCAAACTCCAGATCCGGTGCAGCGTTGAAGGCTGCGGTGTCCGACCACTCCAGCGCCTTTACCCATGCCTTGTTGCCGATCCAATTACACGTGTAATCCATGTCGCCAGCGTAGATCAGTACGCGGATGCCGGCCGCCAGCATCGGCGGAAAGGTGTAGTTGAAGTTGCGCTGGTGGTCCCTGTCGAAGAGCTCCCCCACCTCGCTGTTGCACGTGGACCAGTTCGCTGCATCATTGATGCCCAGCGAAGCGCGCACCACCGGATCGGTGTAGAAGCCGAGGGTGTACCCCATCGGGTAGCACAGCGGGCCGTCGCAGGTCTTGCGAATGTCGTAGCTGTTGCGGCCTGTGGCGAAATAGTAGCCCTTGTACTCGCTGCAGAGCGCGTTAGCGACGCTGCAGGACTCGTCCGTGTCATCCGGACCCATGTTACACGCCCACGTTTTGTTTAAACAGGCGGGCAGCAACGACAGCATTTCCTCGTAGGCCGCATCCGTGATGCACGGGGCACCGAGCTTTTCCTTGCACCAGTGGTAGGCGGTCTCCGCGTAAGACGGGTATTGGGTGTACGGGTCTGTGATGCCGTTGCCAATGCCGATGCCCTTCAGGTTGATCACGGGGCCGTCACCACGCTGGTTGCCCTGGAAGATTCGGTAGCTCACCGCGGGAACGTAGTGTCCGGCGTAGCTCTCGCCGATGATGAAGAAGTCGTTCGCACCGGTGATGGAGGGCGACGTGAACTTCCTCGCAAAGCCCTGCAGGAAGTGGTACATGTCCTCCGCCACCTCGCTCTCGTTGTGCACGTAGTTGGCCTTGTCGCCGTAGGAGTAGCCCACACCCGTCGGCTGGTCCACGAACAGCAGGTACGCCTCGTCGTTCCACCCGTACGCGTTGCGGTGCAGCTCACCGGAGGTCTCGTTCATCATGCAGGGACCCAATTCGCTCAATAATGCGAGACTCGAACTGCACCCGGGTCCGCCCGTCATCCACATAATCACAGGCGGTTGGCTGCCATCCGTGGGCCACCGACGAGGACCAAACAGCCAGTAGAAGTAGTGCTTCTGTGTCCCACTCACACCGGGGATGTCGATGTAGCCGCTGGACTGCACGACGGAGGGGTCGCAGGCGGCGTAGCCGTGATGGGCTGGAGCAGCGAAGACGGCGATGGCTGCGAAGGTGCACGCCACGATTGTGATGAGCACCAACGTGAATCTTGTCGGATGAGACGAGAGCATGGCTTCGGCTTTCTGCTCTGCACTCTCGTGCGTAGAAATCAGTTGCGGGAAAAAAGGAAACGGGAACTATGAAAGGCTTTGGACACCGTTTAAGATAATAAATAATGATAAAGAAGTATTCGATAAAGGTCGATAGTAATTGGAATAAATTGATGCTACAGAATAACGACAAACGGAAAGAACTGTACGTTGGAGCCCCTTCGCTTACGTGTACGGAGATTGTTTCTCGATTGTTGTGAACTGCTTTTGTTTTGCGTACAAGTCGATTTCTTCGGCACAGAAAGCAACGCGCGTGACAAACCACCTTACGCGGTGTTGTGTGCTGTTGTCTAATGTTGAGAGGGGTGATGGAGGTTTGCAAGAATGGGCCGTAGCATTCTGCCGCGGCTACACACGCACACACACACACACATCGTAGATGCGTGCGCAAGTGAATTTAAAGACGGAGAAGGAAGCAGAGGAGTTCGGAATGGCAGCGTGAAACAAATGAGATGCATCAAAGCCCTCATCCGCCGACTTCAAATTCAGTTTCACAAGATTGAAGCACGCCAGCCAAAAAGACTTTACCTATGTGATTGCGATGATAGGCTTTTTTCGCCGGGGATTTGGCGAAACAACGCTTGTCCGCATAGAGCGGAGAAACCCCTCACTTCCTCTCAAATATGGAAGTGTTGTTTCTATTTATCTCTTCTCCCTTCGGCAAAGAGCGAAAAAGGTGCTTTCGTTTTGATTTTTCTTTCTTGTTTTGTTTTGGTAGAGCACGCCGCGGCAGAACAACAACGGGCTCTGCGCGGAGTTCAACGTCATGCGTCGCCCTCACCGTTTTTTGCTTTACCTGCTTGTGTGTGCGTGCGCGCGCGCGACGCCGCAAACCTAAAGCGCTCCGCGACAAATAACAAAGATATTGAATGGACAGCATCGCGAACGTCAGGATTTTTTTTTAGAAAAACAAAAAAAAGACAAAGAAAACATTTATATAGAAAAAAACAAGAACAGGACTTATGACAGATCACAAACCAAAACTGCCACAGCTCGAGGGGGGCTTCTTTTCCTCTTTAAATGTGCATCGTAAGACAAACAGTAATCTGGGCATGACAGCCACACTTGTAAAACACAAAATGCTTTACAAAGCACTGCTTTAAAAGGGGAAAAGGGGGGGGGGGCAAAAGGTATCACATAAGCAAAGGGGAACAACAACACCACCAATGATACCGTTAACGCGCAAACGTAGATACTAAATAGATAGATAGGTATATGTGTGTAAAGTAGATTTATACAGCACAACGTACTTGTGCATAGCTTCAAAATTAAAAAAAAAAATACATACACATATACATATATAAGTTTATTATTATTATAATGGCAAAGCGAAGTTAAGATGTTTGAAACGAGTGTTATTTTCATTTGGGTTCCTCGCACGTACCTCACGATGAATGCTCGTTTTATTTTTCGCCACCAGTTCATCAGGTTAGGCCCGTGCTCTGAGCGCATCTAACATACATCGCCACATACATTGATATACATTGATAACTAGATAGCTAGCATACAGGCATTTGGAAGAAAACAAACAGCGATCACGAAAAGATGCGGTTGTAAAAGGAAAACAAAAACAAAAGGTCTTATAAAACACGCAAAGGAAGAAAAAAAAGGCAACACTGGTTTAAGAGAAGAAAAGGAAAAGAGAGGTACAATTATTTTGATCACAACTTGCTCTGCGGCGTTTGTTATGGAGAGCAGAGAAATACCGCCCAAAGGCAAAAAAAAAGAGGGTTAAGGAGACGAGGTTTCCACGTAATTAAATACCTAACAAAGAAAAAACTAAAATAATAGTGAAAAAAAAAAGGGAGCTGTTTGGGACTACTTGCTTCTGCCACGTCCGTGTACTAAGGCGCGGAGGGGAAAGTAGAAATTGAGTTCTGCAGATAGATGCGGCAGGGAAAGAAACGACGCTGGGCCCTTCCGTACTAACAATTCTTTCTCCCTCTCTCGAGCCGTTTCAGAACTCTTTGTTACGCCTCCTTTCTTGTGTATGTGCACCTCTCATAGCACACATACATCGCAACTTCTTTTTTAGGCGATGCCGACAACTTCTTGGGCTCCGTCGACGGCGTCGTCGACGAGTGTGGAAACCGTGTGGGGTCTCTCTCCTCTTCCCCTCGCCGGCCTACATCGAATGGCGGTCGTCCGTGTCATCCGCGCTTCTGACCTCGTGCAGCGGTGGCTTGCACGTGAGCCGTGGACTGCACCGCTGCGGCGCTGCCGGCGGTGGTGGTGCTGGTAGTGGCAGTGGCCACCCCTTCGCCGTTGCCGCGCCGTCCCGTGGTGCGCGAGACGCGTTTGAGAAGCGCGCGCGGGATCGCACGCTGCCGGTGCCTGTCAGTGGTCCGCCAAACCGGGGCCGTTCAGCCGGTGGCGTGACGTGACATGCCGGGTTCTCTGTGGGTGCGCCGACAACGCGTGATGACGGCGCGGCAGGGACGAGATGGAGAGACGGGTCGAGTGCAAACTGCTTGGTTGAGTTCCTTCCCCGCCCTGACCCGTCCGCTGGCGGCAGCGCTGCTGTTCGGTTTAACGTAGTGCACTGCTGGGCATCTTTCCCTTCTGGCGCCAACGCGGGTGCGATGTGCAGCGAAGACGACGTCGACGGCTGTGCGACGACCACCGCAGTGGAAGTCTTTGCGAAAGCGACGGCCTTGCTGGTACGCGCAACGTCACGCGCCGGCGACGCCCTCTCCGTCAGCATGACGGTCGTGGCCTGTCGTGCATCACCCCGGCTGCCGAGAGCAGCAGATACAGAAGCAACCCCGGGCAGCTGGCTGAGCGCAGCAGAGGCGGTGCTAAAGCTGCTATCATGAACGCGCCACTGTCCTTCATGTCCGGCCGCAAAGGGCGCCTTGGACTTGCTGGCCACCAGCAGGTCAACGCCCACGTCAGCGAGACGACCGTCACCCAGCAGCGCCTCTGTGATGTCGCGATGGCCTTCCACCAAGTCGCCGCTCACACCGCACGACCCATTGCCCATTCGATTGAGATGGGAACTGCTCTGGGCCACGTCATCGGTGCTGCGGCGGACGGTGAGGGTGCGGCCAAGCCCAACGCTTTTCGTCGCCACGTCGTCTTCGTCCTCGTCTTCGTCTTCGTCGTGTGGTGCGGGGGCGTAATCTGCGGAGACGATCTTGTGCGGCGTGTTGCGCACTGCGCTGCCCACCCAGACCCCGTCATCATCGCCGAGTGGGTCGCTGCCACTCGCCGTGGGGGTGGTACGCACAACGGCAGTACGACAGTGGTACCGCGCACCACCACCATTGCCACTCTCATCAAACGAGCGGGCCTCGGTGATATCAACTGTCGCCCTTGTCGGCGCTCCGCCCGTAATCATCGGTGTGGCGGGGTTGGCGGTGGTGGCAAGCGGCGTCTTGCTGCGGCTGCTGTTCGCGAGAGCAGCGACGTCGAACGGCGCCTCGTCGAGATAAACCTCGAGGGGATTCGCGCCGTACGATGCAGTGGGAGAAGTCGAGGAAGACGACGACGAGAATGAGGACGATGATGAGATGGCCGGGGAGGCGGAGCGCACATCGACCTTCCGCGCAGCCGCACTGGAGAGGAGAGCTGATGTGGCGGACAGAGGAGCAACCGCAGCTGCAGCAGCGTTCGTGGTGTTGGTTGTCGTGCGCGACACAGCCGGTGCAACCACCGCCGGTGGCAGTGAAAAGGCTGCCGAGGCGAAGGGAGGCGGCGTGGCGATAGCGGCAGAAGTGGAGACGGCGCGCACGGGAGCCGACGCTCGCGCGTCGATGACGCGTCCTCTAAAGGCGTCGATCAGCGACGGAGAAGCCGCAGCGGCAGCAGCGACTTCCGGTGTGTACGGCGCTGGAAAGGACGAGGTGGGTGCGAATCTTGCCTTTCCGAGTTTCAACACACCGACGTTACGGGTGGGAGGGGCCCGATCGGCCAGAAAGGACGCCGCAGCAGTGGTAGCACACGCGAGACCGCCTTGTCTCTCCGTGGTGTCGTCGCCTTCCTCCTCTTCTCCTTCTTCTCCTCCGTCGCCGGCCGTGTCATCCAGTCCCAACGGCGAGTCGCCACCGAGCGCCTTTGCTGCGGGATCGAACCAACGACGTGGCGATACAGCAGCGTCCGCCGGCGACGCACGCGAGGCTGTAGCGGCGGCGTTGCGCCCACACATTCCGCCGTCCGCATCATTCTTTCCGATCGTAGCTCCCCGCGCGCCTTCGAAAGGTGCGAGCCCGGCGTTTGCCGGACAAGTGACCGGCGGTATCGATAGCAGCGGCGGCGAAAGCAAAGGCGCGAGCAGGGGGCTTACATCTATTGGCACGACACCCCCCATCGTTTCTCTTGACGATGAACGAGAAACAGCAGCGCTGTCATGAGGGCAGTCCTCCTCAGCGTCAAGCGGGCTGTGGCTCGTTGCGACGGCGCGCCTGGACGGGTCGGCAGAGACTGAGAGAGACCACACGGGTGCTAGTCCGTGTAGATGTTCCTTCTCCTCCGCGAGGGCGGACGTGTGCGAAGTAGATGCCTTGTCTTTTCCCGCGTATGTCATGGCAGCCGTCACGCCGTCCAGCATGGGTGCAATCCGCTGCACCCCGCTGGGCAGCTCCTCCACCTCGATCATCGTCGAGACCCACTGCGCACCCGTCGCCCTGTCCTGATGCTGCTCGGCGTGTGCGTGGCTGCGCGTGCGCAGTTGGCAGAAAGTGTCCGACTGCGAGGTAGACTCTAAAATAGATCGCGAGGAGTCCGGTGAGTCGGGCGACGAGGAAAGAAAGTCACAGAAAGGCGGCGTGACGGTCGACGGCGGGGGCGGCTTCGTCCCCTTCGCCCTTTCAGCACGCATGGCTTGAAAAAGCGCTTCGTTGTTGTCCACGCCGCTCACACGTTGCAGCGGGGGATCAAGTGGGGAAGGAAACAGACGTAACGCCGAAAACTTTTCCTGCTTGTCTTGTGCCACCGGCGCCGCTGCAGCTGCGGTGGCTGAGGCTGCGTGTGAGGTCAACCACAACGCGTTGACGTCATTGCAGTCCGCCCCGCGCCGCACGCTCGAGCCTGGCAACGCCGTTTGCTGGAAAAGGCCCCTGCCGCTGGTACCGAAGCCGGTGCTACGGCTGAAGGAAACGTTCTGCACCACTCGCGGCGAGACAAGCCACTTCTCTGCAGCAGCTTCACACGGCGACAACGGCGCCTCGACGGCGCTCCTCCCCACAGGGGCTTGCCCGGTGCAAAGCAAAAAAGGGCTGCTGCGTAGTGATGCCGGAGAGGCCTCCCACGAGGTCGGTGTCGGGCACTGGATGGAGAGGACGCCAAAGGGTTCCGCAGGCGGCGGCGAGGCGCGCTGCGGTGCCGCCACGGCGAGCGCTGTGGTGCTCGCGTTAGGTCGCGGTCGTGGCGACGAGAGGGAAAGGGAGAAAAGGGACGACGACGACGGTGCCGCGCCGGCTGTGCAGGGCGCCCCTGCGTGGAAGAGGTTGACGGCTGGTGCGCGAGGTAGGGTGGCAGTGGTGGTGGTCAGCGACCGCTGAGGCAGAGCCCGCGTGGCAGCGGCAGCGGCAGCGATGGCGGCGGCGGCAGAAGCGGTTTGGTTTGCTAGAAAGCTCATCCTCGAGGTGAACTTCTCCTTTCGGCGCCGCTCTCGTTGTTTCGCTTCCATGATTTTGTAGAAGAGACTGTCCACGCCGAGCTCCGTGCTGCTGGTCATGTCGGTGCTGAGCTGCTGGTCACCGCTGTCGGCGGCGGTGTCCGATTCAGATTGCTGACTGGGCAGACTGGTGGTTGCGCCGTTCACGTTTTCGCGGCTGCGGCTGGCGGTGCTACTGTTGGTTCCTGTCACGGTCGCCTCCCGCGTGGACGGCTTCTCCTCTTGCAGTGCGCCTTCAGAGCCACCGCGGTCCGCAGCGCTCATCTTCACGATGCGCTCCGGTGTTGCCTCAGTGACTTTCATAGGGGAGTTTGTCTTGCATGAAGTCAAGGCAACGGAGTCCGTCCGAAGGCCTTCCTCGCGATTCTCCGTCATCGTCGTCCGTCGCGTGCACGCGATGCTGGATGCTGCCGACGGGGGCGGCCCGCTCCGCTCGTCTCCTGTTGCCACCGCCGAAGCAGCGCCGGGCGATGTCGCGACGACGGGTGCTGGATGAGGGATAGCACTGTGTTCCAGCTCTCCCTTTTCTTCTTGCAGAAAAAGGCGTGTCTCCCCTGCCGGCGCTGGGGCGCGCCGCACTACCGACAGCGTGGACGACGGTTGCGCACGCGGCTGCTGCGGTTGCGGCTGATTCTGTTCGGAGGGCGTCGCTGCAGGGTTATGCGTCGCGGACACCAAATGAAGGAGGAATTCCTCCATCACGGCGGACGAGGAAGACATGCTGCTGTTGCTGCTGCCAGTGCTGCTTCCGGACAAGGAATCGGCTGAGCCTTGTCCAATCCCCAAGGGGCCGTCGTCTTCACTTGCACGCATACTCTGGTCTGCTTTGCGATGCCGATCCACCCGGCGACGAGTGCGACACGGGCCGTCCACGGAATCGTGCGGTTCGACGAGTACGATAGATTCGTCCTCAGTCGGGTGTGTTCGCAACGGTCGCTGCTCCCTGCTCATAGAGCGATGACCGGGTTCGCGAAGACGGTGCGGCGTGGCCGGCGCAGACACCATGGGGGTCACGGAGTCCGCCGTGCTGGTGGTGGAAAGTGTGGACAGCACACGGGGCAGCTGGCACGCCTCCGTCACCTCTTCCTCCTCCTCTTCGCCCTCCTCATCCTCAAAGGCAGAGGCGAGAGAAACGGGCTGCAGGTGCTGCAGGTGATGCGGGTTCGCCGTCGGGGTGGCCCATCGCTGCTGCTGTTCACGGAGCGCAGGCGCACCTTCCAATAAAAATGGGTCTCGCCCAGCAGTTAAGGAACCTTCTCTACCCATCATCCCTGTCGTTGCTGCTAATGGTTTGCCGGCTGTAAAGGAATGCGGCTTGACCGTCTTTTGTTCCGCATGCGGGCGTGACGTGGAAGCCGGCAGCGTCTGCGCCAGCCATTTCGGTGGAGGGGTGTGCACAAAACGAGGTCGCGCCGGTACGGTGACTGCGACGATGGAGGGCGGTAGCAGCGGCTCGGCCGCCGACAGAGTCCGGCTGAGCCGGTCGTTCTCCCCTTCTTTTGCCGCAGCCAGCGGGGCATAGCATCGAGGGGAGCGGAGGAGGGGACTGGCGTTGTTCTCCAACGCCATCGGTGCTGGTGTGCAACAGGTGTTGTCCTGTTGATGCCGCCTTCTCAACGCCTCAGCTGCGCTTGCTGCTGCTTCGGCGGCTGTCGAGGTCATGGCGCCCGCGAAGTTATTTGGATACAGAAAGGCGTCACTCGGCCTGTTAAGACTGGTGTTCGTTCTCGCAGCGGTCTCCTCCGACACAGCAGGCACGGCGGTGTTGGATGCTTCTACCGACTCAAGGTGATAGGTAGGTGTAATGCCGGGCAGACTCCCGCCGCAGGCATTCAAGCGGATGCCGTGTGCCTCTGCCGAAAGCACCGGAGAAGACCGCGTGGAGCCCGCAGCGGACTGGTCGCGACCCTCTCGATGCATCGGTAGAAAGAAACAAAAGAAGAAGTTTTGAAGAAAAACAAAAAGGTTAAAAGCTTTCGAGCTGCGCTAACGGCAGCTACCCCCGACAGCGCAGACGTACCTCGTCTCTACTATGGTTCTCTGGTGTACGTGTGTTCTTTGTTGTTTGTTGTTGCCGAAGGGCTTTTTCTTCTTTTTGCAGGCAAGAATGTTTTCCTTTGCTACGCGTAAAGTCAACAGCGGTGTTGAAGCACACGCCAAGAAGATGTAGAACACGATTTATCAGAATGCAAATATATATGTACACGATACCAGACAAGAAAAGCCACGAGGTAGCGCCACGTACAAGCAAGACAGCCAAATAAAAAGAGTAAGGAGAAATAATAAGAAAAGAGAGGTGCGTTAACGCCAGAAACAGTGAAACGAGAATTAGGAAAGCAGAGTCTGTCAAAGAGTTCGGTGAAACTTCAAAGAGAAAATACTTATCGTAATAGTAATGATCATAATCAGCAAGAACAAGAAAGAGATACAGAAAAAAAAACCTTAAGAGACGGCACAGCAGAGAAAGAAACTGTCTACACTTCTCAGGAGAGAGAGAGAGAGACGACAATTTGCGGTTGGGGTGGGGGGGGGGGGGGCAAGCGGACACGCTAGCACTCACACGGAGGACTTTCTTGCCTTCTATACATACACAAGTGCTCTTTACCCCTTTAAATGAGAACCTTCGGTTCCTCTTTCGTGGTGATTCAAAAAAAAGTAAATAACTAAAAAACGGGGGGAGGAGAAGAGAAAGCGAACGAGGAAGAAAAGAAATTATGATCTATATGTTTATGCTTATATCAAAGGAAGAGAGAGAGAGAGAGAGGAATTAATCTGCTTTCTTTTATATACAAAAAGAAAAAAAAAGGGAGGAGAGATTGAAATGATCAACATGAAAAGGGAAATTACCAGGAATTGGAGAGAACTGGCAGACAACAAAGGTCGAACGGGAAAATAAAAAAAAGATGTGTGTGTTTTGTGGGTCTCAACGACTACCTCGAGACTTCTACTGCGTCTGCGACAACGACAGAGGTCGCAAAAACGAGAATTGACGGCACGAGCTGAGAACAGAGAAAAGAAAAGGGGGAGAGGAAAACGAAAACAGCCTGTAGCACCACGAGGAATAGAAACTAGAAACAAACTTCCCTGCGTTCTACGTTTGACGAGTTCAAAAGCAAGAAAACCAGAAAACACCAAAAAATTAATCATAATAAAGAGAACTCTCACGTAGAAATTGGGAAATGAGGAAGTCGGGGACAGTGGCAGACTGTAGTCAAAGTTTTGTTTGGGGGCGAGGGGCGTCGACAGCGATCATGTGTGTACAAAAGAAAAATGGAGCTTCACAGCAACAACACGATTAGACAATTAAGGGGAAAAAAAAAGAAGACAGCAGGTTTCCAAAAAAAAGAATAAGAAAAACAGATGTGTGTAGTTGACAGTGATGATGACCGCTCCGTCGCGCCGCCAACGCGACTGGGAAATTAACAAAGCGAAAGTGTTCTACAAATGACTTTGTTTTTTTTTTGGCCGTCTCCGGTTAAGCTCTGCACAGTAACGGAAGGAAATGTTGATCTCTACCGTCGTACGGTTGAGCATAGATGCCTCAGCGAGCTTCACTCTCTTACTCTCGCCTTACCAGGTGTTTGCAGCACAAAAAATCTCTCCGGAAGGGCAAAGAAAGAAAGAAGGGAAGAAGGAAAGAAGGAAAGAAGGAAAGAAGGGAAGGAGCGCCGTGAAGAAGAGCAGGTTGGAAATGCGAAGAAGGAGTAAAGACGAACATGCGCGAAGTCGCTCTTCTTCTTCTTTTACTTTTCATGGCACGCCCCTCTCTTCATCCGGTTGCGGTGCACGAGATAGTAGCAGCTCCTCCCACGCTAGAGCGACTGGGAAACGTAGATGCGTTGCGTCACTCTAAGGACCGCAAATGATGCGTTCTCACGCTCTCCCGCTGTCCCCCGCCTGTAACTTGCTGCTCATCGTGGGAGAGAAATCGAGAGGGGACATCAACATCGGACCTGTTCTGGTAGAGGAGGCTTCTGTTACTGCTTTTTTGAAAGCGGCTTCATGTTGTTGTTGTTTTCTTTTTTTTCTTTTTTTTCTTGGCTGTATCAGGCTTGTTTGTGGCTGTGCGTGGCCGCAGCCGGGGCCACCACGCACTGCCACTTGAATACGCCTGTCGTCGATCCTTCTTCTTTTAAGTTCTTTTAGCCTTGACGACAACACCACAACACATCCTACAAGTTCATTACATCACCGAAGCACATCGGACAGACGGACCTGAGGGCGCTTAATACGTCTCCGGCGGGAAGTCGCCGACCTCCACCTGGTCTGGCCGCAGCACCCCGCCGTACATGGCGTTGCACGTGAAGAGTCGCACCCCCTTCACCGTACCGTCCGACTTCCCCACCGGTTCATCGAACTCCACTCCGACCCAGTAGCCGGGCTTCAACGCCGCCACGCGGCCGACGTAGCGCACCGTCCCAAGACGCTCCCCGGGCGCGCAGCAGCAGCGATCCCCCGGCTTCATCTTCTCCGCTGCCTCCTTGAAGCTGTTCTCGTCCGGCCCCGACGGCAGCTCGACCCCCGCCTTCGCCATCTCCGCCCGCTGCTGGGCCAGCATGCGCTCCTTGAAGGCGCGGAGGTTGTCGGGCCGCTTCAGCCACTCCCCCTCGGTCATCTCGTACTTCTCCACCTGTGACACGTCATCGAAGTTCTCCACCTGGGCAGCCGGGCGGAGGTCCACGACGTGAATGCGGTAGCCGTTCTCGCAGCCGTAGAAGCCCAGCAGCTTCTCGTCCTTCATGTTGCTTTCAACCTTGCAGTCACGAGCGTCGTAAAGCTCCAGGCGGATTTGCTCGGCTGGAATGCCAAAGCGGGAGTACATGTCCTCTCGAATGCTCTGCACCGTCTGTGCGAGGCCGTAAGCCTTCTCCGGCACCACCCGCTGACTCGCCGAGTGCGTCACGGTGACCTTGACTATCGACATGTTTCTTTGTGCGTGAGTTCTGTGTATGCGGATGTATGCCAAAAAAAAAGGGCGTGAAAGCAGAGCAAAGCTGCTTAGTGAGCAGCAGTTGTTTGTACGCACGATTGCTCAATGGACGTGGGAACGCGCGGCCGCTTCGAACGCCTACGGGGAGGTGGACAAGGCGCGACAACAGGAGGAGAGGGGAGAAGGCCTTTGATCTTCTTCTCTTTGGGGGGGCGCCTCGCGATCGCGTGAGGTGAAAAGGACTTCAAAAAAACAGGCCGAAATGCTGAGCAGCACGCGATGGATACCCGCGTGTGGTACAAGGAACGCGCAATGATCAGGATGGCGGGGGAGGAAGACAAGGTTTGTGCCAAAGAAAAAAAAGGGATGGAGTGTATAACAGCACTGCAGTGAGAGAGGACATCACACACACACACACACACATGGAGAACGTCCATAAATATCTGCTCGTTTACGATTTGCTATTATCAGTTGGGCAGTACACGGAGACAGCGACATCCTGCTTACTGCGTCCCAGTCGCCACCCACGCATCGGCGTGCGTCTCTCCCTCCGCACGCACACACATACATACATACAACGAGCGCTGAGAGAGAGGGGGGGGGGAAGCGGGCACCGTTTCGAAACGGCGCGACGCCTCTCTGCTCAGCCGCGTTACAAGCATGTTCTTCTTCTGTTCTCATTATGATACCGCTGGCCGCTGCCGTATATACCGGTGACACCTTGACGTTGATGCGTGATTTTTGTTTGTCACTGGAGTCTCCCTACGCGTCCGTCGCAACGGCGGCAAGGAAAGAAAGACCCGCAGCAAGTCGAGACGACCTTGTTTGTACATCGAAAGAAGAGAGAAGACACACACACACACACACGCCGAGAAGAGCGGGCAACACAAACTGCACGATCCGGTCCTGGCATGGGGCCCCGCCAGACATGATTATACATAGGCATCCAGCCACAAAAACAATAACACGTAAGCAAGAAAAAGGACTTGGAAATCGAGCTACTGCACTTTTTCCCTTTGTACTCAGACCTCGGCTACTTTACATAGATATCACATTTCAAAGCACACGCGCAAACACCAACCCCAACATCCCGCCCCACCCCCTCGTTGCTTCACGCACTCTACGACCAGTACCGAATCGTCCGGTCGCTCCCACCACTCACCAAAAACCGGCTGCTCGCCACATCGAAGGCAACGCTCTGCACAGGGCCCTCGTGACCCACCAACTCCGTCACCACCGTCTCCTCGACGTCGATAACTTTAATGGTGCCATCATCGCTCGCCACCGCCACAAAGTGCGCCGAGCCGTCGATCGCGGTGCAATTCGCCGGCTGCGGCCCGCACTCCACCCGCAGCAGCTGCGCCATACGCCGGGCATCCCACAACATCACCGCGCCTTGCGTGTCGCAGGAGACAAACACGTTGCTGTCGACAGGGCCGGCGGCGACGGACAGCACCGCCCCGCGATGGCCGGTGAACGACTGGACACGCGTGTTCTGCCGCGCATCCCACACCGCCACGCTTTTGTCGGCGCTGCCGGTGAGAAGTAGGTTCGTGCAGGGCAGCCAGCGAGCGGCGTTGACGGCCTCGAGGTGGCCACGCAACGCCTGCCGACACACACCCTTTTCCACATCCCACACCCGGGCGGTCTTGTCGAGCCCAGCGCTCGCCAGCAGCGCCCCGGTGTCCTGAAAGTCGACGTCCCAGACCCCCTCGGTGTGCCCGACCAGGGTGACGGAGCAGCGGCTGCTGGCGAAGTCCCACAGCTTCACCGTCTTGTCACCGGAGCCGGTCGCGAGCATCGTGCCGCGGGGGTGCAGGCACACGCTAGAGATCCAGTTCGCATGCCCTTGTCCCGAGACGACCGCGTCCCCGCTGGGAAGCGCGGAGAGGCGCCACGTGCCATCGTCGCACCCGCTGGCCACCACCGGCTTGAAGGGGTGCAGGGCAACGCTCGAGACGGGCAGCGTGTGAGCCTGGAAGTTTGCCTGCTCCGCCCACTCCGTGGCAGGGGAACCGACCGGGGGGTTGAGACGCGCCGCCGCGGCAGCAGCAACAGCAGCCGAAGAGCTCCCAGGGCGGCCACTGCTGCTGCCGCCCGCGTTGTGGTGAGCGCCTCCGCCGCCATCACCGCCGACGGCTACGACGGAGCTGGCCGACCACGCACCGGTGCCGCCACGGTGGGGACGCTCATCTGCTGGCCACACAAAGACCTCCGCCATCGCATCGGCCGCCGCCGCGGCAGCATCGACGGCACCGTCCACCGCAGTCCCCTTCGCCTGCGCGGTGGACGACGCCGGGCCGCGGCGGCCCGGTGGTGGGGACGGCCCCTTCGCCTTCCCATTCCCCGGCGACGCCTTGCCCGTCCGCTGCCCCGCCGGCGGCTTCGGCTTCGTCGTCGAGGTGGTGGTGGTCATAGTGTTAGCGTTGGACGCCTGCTGCCCCTCTAGTTCCGCCACCCGCGCCTCCAGCACCTCGTTGTCGCGCTTCAGCTTGTCTCGTTCAATGATAAGCAAGGACTTGGCCTTGAGGAGCTGCTCGCAGCGCACGCGCGACTCCGTCAGCGTCGGGTTCACCTGCTCTGCGTGCTGCCCGGCCTGCTTCAGCAGCCGACTCAGCCGCGCGTTCTCCTGCACCACCCGCTGGTGATTCACGCGGTGGTACTCGCGGTCCTTCTTCGCCTGTGTCCACTGCTCGGTGACGCGGGTGGTGAGCTCGGCGTGCTGGCGCAGATCGCGCTCGAGGGTTTCGATCCGGTTGAGCAGCGCCATCGTCTCGCGGTAGTTGTCCGGCACCATCGGGTTTGCCGGGGAGACAGTGCGGGCGGCCGTGTGGCGGTACCACTCGCCCTCAAACGTCTGCAACGTAGCTCGCATGCCGTTGCGCTGCAGGAAGTTGCGCACAAAGTCGTCCATCACCTCCGGCACACGCAGCAGCTGCGCCGCCGGGGCTGCCGGCACGTCCTCGTTTGCTCCTGCTGGATCGACTTGCGCAGTGTCTCGAGGTCCATGCTGGTCCCTGCGAGAGAGGTGTCAGGGGCAGCCTGCGATGCCGCCGCGGCCGTGCTGATCGTGGACGACGCGGCGTGCACCACATCGGCGGCCGCCGCGCGACTCATCGTTGCTGTCGCGCAGAGTGGAAGTAGGTGAAGGGGAAACACAGAAAGCGAGCCTAGCACTATTGCGTGTCGAAGACAAAAAAGTAGCAGCACTCAGGCCTCAGCCAATATCAACGGGTGTGTGTGTGTGTGTGTGTTGCGCTTGCTTCGCAGTTGCGTGCGAAAATTTTGGTGCGTGTGAATGCGTGTATACAACTTTTTTTGTAGTGTAAGCGAGCGAGAGGCAGCAGACTGCAAGAGCGTTTGCTTTTGCTGTGGTGGTTGTTGCCGGTACCTCTCTTCCACTGCGTACGAGGCAAATACGGTAGTAGAATAGAATAATTGTAGATGATTTAGGTAGAGAAAGGTGAAGGGGGAAATAGGAAGAAAGTAAAGGTTAGGTAGAAGATGATTCAGATTGGACACCATATTCATTCTTCTATCTTAAAGAACAGGAAGTTGTAAACTCTAAAACACTGGTGAGTTTGCTGAGAAAATACGATAATTTATATATTGAATTTTTGAGCGGATTACAAACGAAGTGGTAGCAGTCTTTTACGGATCCGCCTCCAAAGCGGGGCGGAATGGGGTTGGGCGGGCGGGAAGAGAAAGAAAGAAGAATTACGGCAGCTGCAGACGATCGTTGGGAAAGAGGGAAAGGGAAAAAGGGTTAGAAGCAAGGATCACCGATACTATTCACTTCTCATTGCCATCCATACACCCAATCATTCCTCGCTCTGGCTTAAAGAATAGCAGATACGAATAATAAGCAATGACGAGAAAGGTGGTCCGTGCGAAGTGCGACCATTAATGCAAAATAACCCGAGGGACCTTCATCACACAACAGACCTTGCCGCGTCTTCAAGCTGCGCTCTCTCGTTTGCCTCCCTTCTGCTCTTTATGCTGAGCTGTGTCTCCCTCGCCGGAGCATCGGTGCAGTTCCAGTCGATCCTCTCCTCGCCAGCCACTTCCAAAAACGCGTTGACGAGCGAGAAGCACCGTTGTGCGGTCCAGCGAGACACGTGGGAGGGATGATTGTAGCCCTCGATCAGCAAAAACTCGCGATTTGTCCGCTTAAGGGCCCTTCCCAGCCTCTCGAACTCCTCATCTCGTTGCTCTTTGAGCTTTTTCAAAACGGCTCTGAGCAGCGTCACCCTCTGCGCGTCCCTTATACCTTCCCCGCCCACCCCAGCGGCCGGCGCCAACGATTTCCACTCCTGGCCCACCCTCCACGTCGTGGGCGATGACCACTGTTTGAAACGCTCATCATCGCAGCCCCCGGAAGCGTGTTTGTTGGAGAACCGTCTTCTGAAAACATCTCGCAGGACCTCGGCGAAGAGCCTGTACCAGGGAAATATGTGCTGCCTCTTGGCAGATGCCGTCGCCCGCGCAGCCTTCACCTTCTCCTGAAACCTGTTGATCAAACCGTCAGCATCCACGAATACTTCGTCAATCACGTCCAGCGTCTCACTCCGCACAAACCGATCGTCCGTCTCTTGAGGCGCATCCTTGTACTCATAGGCTCCCACGACCGAGAAGAAGTCCTCGTCCCTCTTCATCTTGTCGCGCAGGCCTTTATTCGCGGAGGACAGCACGACGAAGGCCACCTTCTTCGCCTCTTCCCTCTTCCGTCGCGTAAGAGCAGAAATGACATCGTCGGTGAACCGCGTCCACAAATCATTGTGGGCGCCGCTTTGGCTTTCGGACTTGGCGGGCTCTCCGCCTCGTCGAGGAACGGTGAGGAAGGCATTCAGCAGCAGCACGCCTTGCTCCGCCCAGCGCCGCATGTTCCACAGTCCGCCCTTCTCCACGAAGCCCGACTCTCTATCGTGCCGAAGCGCTTCACGCATGCACTGAATCGTTAACCCGGGTGTAACGCTAGCGGGTGCGGACAGCGCCAGTCCGTCCGCATGTCCCTTGTCCTGAACGGGGTCCAACAGAACGAACACCACCTTGACCTTCTCAGGGGGACAGCATTGGAAGGCGTTGAAGATGTCCACCTTTTCAGGGTTGTAGAGCTCTCCGTGTGCCTCTCGCTCATCGAGCTCCGCCTGAATGTCGTCTAAGGTATGCTCGGTATCACAGGGCCGTAAGTAGTCCTTCCATTGTTGTGGGAAAAGGTTAAAGAGCCACTTGGGACACGATGTCATGGGTGGAGCAGCATCAACAGCAGCAGCAGCAGAGCTAGCAGCATCAGCAGCAACTGGCGTTGTCTCCGCTGCCGTTGGCCTCTGAGTTTTCACGGTGACTTGACTGCCAGGAGGAGCGGCATGCACAGAAGCTGCTGGCTCCGCCTCCATCCGTTCTCCAGCGGGATATGCGGCCGCGGGCATGTCGTCCGACTCCGCTCTAGCGGCTGACATGGTGAGCGTGTTCCAACCTTTCTTCGTTCTTTTACGGGATGCTCTGCCGCAAGCACCTCTTCTTCAGGAGCACCCTTCGCTTTTTCGATCGTGCGCTGCGCTCCGGCTTAACGCGTGTGGGAAGGCACGCCTACTGCGATGCGTAAATAATAATAACGGTGGGAAGCACCAGCAAGAAAACGGTACTTTCCGTTAATGTGTGAGGCGGGGGAGGGGGGGTATGTGTGTCTGTCAGCAAAAACAGATGTAGGCGTAGTTTCTACAGCCGTTGCTGCCACGTTGACAAACGAATAAAGCGCTCGTTACGCAACACTCAAAACCCTCACACATATATGTGCCTGCAAGAAGCCTAGTGAGACACAAGAAGCAGTCAAACAGAGAAAGGAAAGGAAACAGGAAAAAGCGATAGAGAAAAAAGGAACGAGGTGCACCGCGACAACCTTCATGGTCGGCGCGGTGAAGTGGGTGTGAAACCGGACACCCCAAGCACGCAACGGCGCAGTGCATTGTGCACCATAAAAACAAAGAGCGTCAACGACCATAAGAACATCAACGCGTGGCTACAAGCCAGATTGCTTCCTTTTGTTTAGGCTGTTTCTTCCCTAAAGGAGAACGTTTTCTTTTTACGTATATGGTTCCTGCGGAGTGAGATGTGCGTCTTTGGCTTGCCATTCCCCGCAAGCCCTCTCTCCCGCTTTCGCGCTCTGTGCTTGTGTGTCGTTCAACAAGCACGATGGCCCTGAGGCCTTACACGGCACTTCACTTAGGTAAAGGCATCTATGCACTACTTCTATGCAGACTGCACAACCCGCGTTCCATTCATGAGCGGGAGAGAGCGCAAACAAAAGAAAAAGCCTTCGCGGCCTCGCCTTTTTCTTTCCTTTTTCCCCTACCCTTTTTTCTTTTGGCTACATCGTTTGCACCTGCAGTGGAAGCTGCCAGTACATCGGTGTGTGGCCCATCGCCCGCAGCGCCGTGTTACACGCCGAGAAGCAGTGGCTGCCAAACCAGCCCCTGCTCGCACTCAGCGGCGAGGGGTGCACGCTCTCGATCACCACGTGCCGCCGCGTGTCGATCAGCTTCTTCTTCTGCTGCGCAAAGCTGCCCCACAATAAAAAGACAAGGCGGTTGGGATGGTGCGCGGAGAGGTGTGCGATCACGGCATCGGTGAAGTGCTGCCACCCACTCGCCTTGCTGTGCGAGTTCGCACTGTGCGCCTCAACCGTCAAGGTCGCGTTGAGCATCAGCATGCCCTGCTCGGCCCAGCTCTGCAGGTAGCCGTGCGTGGGCGCCTGAAAGCCGGGGATGTCCGTCGCAAGCTCCTTGTACATGTTCTTTAAGCTAGGTGGGACGGGAACGCCAGGTAGCACGGAGAAGCACAAGCCGTGCGCCTGGTTCAGGTTGTGGTACGGGTCCTGCCCGAGGAGGACAACTTTTAGCTCCGCAAAGGGGCAGCTGTTGAAGGCGTTGAAGATGAGCGCAGCGGGCGGCAGCACCACCTTCCCCTTCGCCCTCTCCCCATCGAGAAAGCGCTGAATGCGGGCGAACTCACCGTTGCGCCATGTATCTGCGGTGAGAGGTTGAAGAAAGGACTTCCACTCCGGGCTGCTGATCAGGTCCGCAAGCCAGTGGCTGCCCGTCGCCGGCGGCGCAACAATGCGATGGTTATTATCGTTCACGCTACTGGAAGCGGTCGTGCACTCGGATGCGGGTATCGGCGGTGAGTTGCCGCGTGACGGCCGTCGCGGTGCGGGCGCATCCGTCGTCGTGGACACGGTGGCTTCGCGTTTTTCTTCGGCCACCGCCACCACGCTGAGGCTGCTCTCCTCCAGGTCCACCGGGTCCTCTCGGGAGAGGCCAGCGTGATGACGATCACTGCCTGCGCTTTCGTTTTGCTGCCGCACACGTTTGCGCGAAGGGGTGTTGGAGGCCTCGCCGTGGCTGCGCTCGAGCGAGGTGGACGGCGACCTGCGCGGACGGGGGGTCGAGGCAGCAGCCGTCGCACCGGCTCCCACGGTCGCAACGGGAGACGCCGACGCGACCGTCGTCCTTCGCGCAAAGTCGAAGAGGGTACGTTGCATGTTCGGGCCGGTACGGTATTTTGGGGATTTTTGGTGTTGCGGCGAATCTATTCGTTAATAAGTAGGCAAAATACGATGATGCGGCGTCGTGGGGGTGGGTGCTTCTTAGAGCCTGTTTTGCGCGTTAGCCTCCAGATACGTTTGTTGCATCGTCCGGTGTATTTCCCTGCGAGAAAATATATATATATGAAGTGCTGCTCGTGAATGCGGAATGGAGAAGTGAACGGGGGAGCTGGTAATGGAGTGCGGCAGTGAAGAAGGGCAAATGGTGAGATTTCCTTTTTTGAAAGCAGCACAACCGAATACCCTACGAAGTGCAGACAGAGGCGGTCCAAACGACAGACGTTGCCTGCCACGAAGGAGACCATATGTAAAGTGAAGGGCCACATTGCAACCTAGTTCTTACCTCGTCGCACTCTTCACGTCGTCTCACTTTGCTTGTCTCGCTTCTGAATAAAGCTCAGCTTTTGCTATAAAAACTTGGGTTGTGAACACAGCAAGTGCGAACACGCCTGTGTGTCAGGGATTGAATGAGAAGAGAAGAGAATTCCACGTGCAGCGACGCTCTGAGAAGCCGGTGTCCCTCTACGAGCCTTTTTCTCTTGTCTCCCATTCCCCTCCCCTCTACAGTTTACAAAAAGCTGCGCGGCCGTCCGCTAACCGAGCTTGCACCCGATCATTTAAGAAGGCTCGTTCGTTTCCTTTCCTTTCTTTTTAGCGCTATAGTGCTCTCGCCCCATCTTCCCACGAGCACCGTACACACGTTGCGCTTCGCTAGAGTTTCCTTCCGCCGCTGGCCACGGTGTGCCAGTCCCGTCTGGGTTTTTTTTTCTTGAAGGGTTTTCGTCGGTTTGCCTCACAGAGCACCGGGCAGCGTCAACAGCACACGCCCGTGCGCCTCGTCCCAGTGCTGAATCGTGTAGCCGTACGCCGTCAGCAACACCGTCACCAGCTGGTCCAGGTCCACCAGCACCTGCGACGAGCGGAAGGTGACGCTGGCGCCAGTAGCAGCGGTGGTGGCGTTCACCTCCAAGCCCGGCAGCGGCGGTACAATTCGGACACATGAAGAAGAGGCGGAGTGGGGGGAGGAGTCGTAGGAGCCCGACGGCAACGACGGCAGCGGCGGGGATAGGGGTGCGACGATACCACCGGTGGTGGCCGCAGTGGAGGAGCCGGCGCTTCCCCCCTTCGTGTCCGCGCGTCTCGCAGGAGTCACCCCCACATGGGAGGCCTCTGAATGATGATGTGGTGGCAGTGCTGTCTGCGAGGGCGGTTTTCGATCGGCGTTGTCCACAGCCCCCGCGGATGGTGAAGTGTGGGGAGTGTCTGGCCACCACACGTACACGCCATGGGGCAGCTGACGCTTAAAGACGCACCGCTGATAGTCAAAGCAGCCGAGCACGAGCTGCTCCAGCTCCGGTAGTTGGTAGCGCCGCACCTCCTGCAGCAGCATCCCCCACTCATGGAAGTTGTCCGGCACGTTCAGCGTGCCGTTGCGCAGGTAGTCGAGGATGTAGCGAAAGAGGGCGCCGTCGCCGTCAATGAGAAAACTGCCGTCCTCGCATTTGTGGCCCCGACCGGAGAGGATCGAGCCGAAGAGCGGGTGTTCGCGCAGGTTGCGTAAGGTGTGGCGACGTGTGGTGTAGAAGATCCCGCCTACGTTGAGGTGGATGTGGCGAGCCCACTCCCCTGTCACGTCCATGCCGAGGTTGTTCTGCAGCCACGTCACGGCAGCCGACATGCCAGCAGCGCAAAACGAGCTCGGATAGTGGTGGTGGTGGTGGTGAATGATTTTTTGACTACTATTATTACCGTATTTGTTTCTGCGTCTCCTTGAACTAAGAGGACGTCAGGCACCCGACTAAGCAAAGGATAGAAAGGAAGCGAAGTCAAAGCGAAAACAAAATGAAGAGGAGGCGCACAGCAAAGAAAGAGGAGGACCGCCTACCGGTCGGGGAAAAGCGCGGATCCCACCGAAGGCCAGTTGGGGCTTCGTCCCATCGCGCCGCCTCCGGACTTTTCGTTTTTCATCAGCTTCTTATTGAGCGGAAACGAGATAGGAAAAAAAAACCCTGTGCCACGTTTAGAACGGAGAGCTGGAATTTCGCTTTGCACCTGCCTTCCACTTCTGTTGTGATTCAGCGCCGAATGAAGTCGGAAGAAACAAAAAAAAACCAATGACGCTGCAGCCATTCACTCCGCACCCTTACACCGCGTAAATGCACGAAGCTGTTCAACGGATAGGACCAAAAGGGCACATCCGATCTCACTCCTTCTCTGCTGATCGTCTTTTTGCATTTACTCAGGAGCTGCGAGTGTACTTCCTTTTTTGTTTGTTTCCCATGGCAAGCGCCGGCGCAGGGTATAAGCGACTATTCTACGCGGCACGCACCCCCACGCAGCAAAGCACACAAAAGCAAGCACACGGCAAGAAGAAAAAGAAAGCAAAAGCGAAAGGCCTCCTTGATGTATTGCCCCTTCCCCTTTGACTGGCGTTGTCTTCCAGGGTCGCTCTAAAAGCGGCGACGGTGCTTGTGTAACACCTGATTCGACCACACAAAAATCAGCGCCGCGTACGACGCAGTGATCTCCTCCTTCTCCACCGCGGGTAGGCGGTTCAGCACCTCCGACGCGAGCTGGTCCTTCCCCGCCTGCTCGAGCGTCGCGATGAGCGTGGCGTAGCTGACGACGTTCGGCGGCGGTGGCGTCGACAGCGACGTCTGCGCAGGCGTCACCGGTGCAGCTGCCTCTTCGTGCGGGGACGGGGACTCCGTCCCGGCGGTGGCGGAGGAAGACGAAGCAGTATGCTCGCCCTGCGTGGCGTCCTTCTCTTCCTCGGCGGAGGTCCACCCCTGCATCGGGTTCGGCCCCATCGACCGCACCACCTCCAGCGCCCCGCGCCAGTCCTTCACCTCCTCACAGCCACGCAGGCACACGTTGAAGGCCTCCACGGGGACCTCCGCCGCGGGCAGGGGGCAACGCTGGGTCAGATACACGAAGGCCGCACGCCACCCAGGGGCTGCAGCGGCGTCCGTGTCCGCCGCACGCGCGGCGAGGAGCTCGACAACGCGCGCGAACGCATCGGGAAAGGCGGGGGCGAAGAAGGCACCGATTTTCTCCACCAGCGGATACTGTCCCGCCGTGGCACACATATTCAGCAGCGCCACGATGTGGGCTGCGTTGGGGTTTACACCGGAGAGGGACACGGACGGTGCGGATGGGGAATGAGAGGGGACAGCAGCAGCCGTAGTATCATCAGTAGGAGAAGCCCTGTCATTGCTGCTGCCCCACTGCGTCGACGAGTCACCGCTCGCTGACGCAATGGCGGTGCTCTCATGCAGGAGGGCCTGAAAGGCCGGCAGGGCCGTTGCCTCGGCAAACGCACGCAGCCCATCCTGCCAGCCGCCGGTGCGCGCGGCGGCGTTCAGAAACGTCGTGAGATCCGTACTGTTGCGCACGAGGTGGTCGCTGCGGTGTATCGAAAGCCGCCCCGCTCGCCGCAGCGCATCCTCGCGCTCCATCAAGTCAAAAAAGTTCAATTTTTCCTGCCGCGCGGGTGCTGCGAGTTCCTTCATGCCGCGCCGATGCGGTGCTGCGACATCGCTGTGGCTCGGGTGGAAGAGACCGGGCTCTGTCAGCCCGCTGGCGAGGGCACCGGCGCGAGTGGCGCGCTGTGCGTGTGCGTCCACGGCGGTGGAGTTGCTGCCGTGATAGAGTTTGGAGACGTAGCGCTGCGTGCGCTGACGCGGCAGCCGCATCGATCGCGCCAGCACCTGCTCCAGCGTCAGTGGCGGCATTGTTTTTCTCTTTTCTTCTGTTCTTGTTTCTTCCCTATCCAGGACTGGAGTACGCGATAACAGACCTGTTGGCGTGGGACTCACAGAAAGTGCTGAAAGCAGACAACAACAGAAAGGCACGATAACCAAGTGCGAAGCAAAGTTCGTTCTTCTTCCTTTTTCCTCTGTGTATGAATAATTTCTAAAAAGCAAGAAGAAAGGAGATGAGAGAAAAGTGCTTCAATGAGGTGATTCTGAGCATTTCAGTTTGTTTTTTTAGGGCAAAGTTTGTTTCCTTTGAGCCGAAGCCGCTGGCGACGCGTACACCGCATCATCCAAGCAGCAAACAGAGTCATCCTACTCCCTCTTTCCTTCCCACGAGGTTTCTCTTGAGCCGCACTCTGTTTTGTCTTCGAGCACCCCTTGAAGCTCGCCTCGCCTCTCCCTGCTCAGACCCTTCCGTGCCGACAAATGGCCAAGCGGAAAGCTATAGAGAATCCATCGTCTGAGCAGCGGGTTTTTCTTTCCTTTTTGCAGGCATCACACTCGCCAACCGCGTCGAGGGTACGCACACTCTCCCTCGATCTTCCTATTTTGGGGGGTTTTAGCGCACGGCAGTGGTGCGCGTCTCTGCAAGAGAGAGAGAGTTGTGGGAGTTTCGCACGATTCACCGCGTCCATGGATCCTGCGGTCGCCCCCGCAGCTCGTGGTGTTGATGTCGTTTGTAAAACTTCTTTCACTGATGTAGAAGTTCAACGTGCGTATCGACGCGTTACAGTAGGATCGTATTCCGTTAAAGAGAAAAAGAAAGCAAGCAAATGTCAAACAGAGAAACATTGAAACAATTGAATAATCACCAACAGTGAAGGGCAGCAGAAACCGTATGGAAAGACTTGCGACAGGCAGTTCTACGTCGTGGCAATTACGTCTTCGCCGTTTTCTTTGTTGCTGCTGTTGGTTTGGGAGTTTTGTCCGTGGCCGCATCACGGATACGCTGACAATTTAAAAAGAAAAAAAGATGACGTACCGCCTCACCTCGGTTTCATTCCTTCTTCCCTTGGCTAACCACTAACACATCCGTTTTCAAAGAAAAAAAAGTAGTAATGATAAAAGTAGTAGTAATAGTAGTAAGTGAAAAGTTTTTCAAATGTGAGTCTAGGAAAACAAGAAGGAGTAATTCCTAAGTTTAAACCAACAACGACACGCGCACACACAGACGTACACACACACACACACAGGTGAAAGGTAAAAGCAATCGAACAGTCATTATTCCTTTCCCTTTTCATCCACCGAGTCAGAAAACTGATGAAGTGGTTGAAGCTTCGTCCTTGCACCCACAAAGAAAAGGAAAAAAAAAGAAGGCAATTTGGTAATATGTGATCCGTAACGCCTCCGCGCAGAGACACACCCCGCTGGACGCAATGGGGTCCACGCAAATTGGTTACACAGATGAAAGAAAGAGAAAGAGCCTTGCAAGCCGCTAGCAAGTGCACTTTGATAGGCAATTTTTTTCCCAACAGAAAAGAACTGATGTTGCACGAAAGCATAGCTCTACAAATTAACTCTGGTCCAGCAAAGTTTACTTGTGTGTTCCCGAAGCATTTCACCTGCATCGCGATGCTCAACAAGAAAAAAAAAAGCATATATAGCTGTATGTATACGGCTATACATCTATATCGTGACGCTCACTCGTGAACACTGCAGCTGTGTGGCATCCCGTTGCACGGCGCGCGTGTATGCTTCCTCGGTTGCAAACACGCAAGCTCTAACGTGTCTTTCGCTGCAAGGCGTGCTCCCTCGCGAAAGGATCGAAATGACACCCTGCACAACAACAATAAAAGTCAGCAACGAATCAACGTGAGTCAGCACAGGCAGCGCACGACAAAGGAAAGGAAAAGGAAAGAACAGCAAAAAAAAAAACTCCCCACAGCATAACAAAGCGCAGAACCAAAACATTACACGCTTCAGGTCTTTCCTTCTGTACCGCCCGTATCCTCTGAATCAATACAGCTGAGGTGAGACGGGGGGGGCTGCCGAGCAGAGCGGAGGCAAACGACAGAAGAAAAAAAGTAGAATGTGAAAAAACACCATTTTAGAAAAAAAAACACGAGGGGGTACACGCCCAACGTTTCTTTAACTTGGATCATTTTTCTTCTTCTTCCCTTCCGTTTCTCTCTCTCTTTCCCTGCTCATTCACAATCGCAGCTGACAACGTACACAAAGCCCAAAGCAGTCGCAAATGGCCATGCGAGGTTGGCAACGTAGAGCGTCCGGGGTGCCGCCGAGAGTTTCGAAATGGGAACGGCGCATGAGGAGGTGCAAAGGCAAACAGTTCATCTTGGAGGTGTTCGTGTTGAGAGGATAATTAGATATCTGTGTCGTCCGGTTTAAAACAACATATATTATTTTATAAGGGGGTTGCGAGCTACAGTTTCGAATTGTCAAACAGAATGTGCGTTAAAACCGTAGAGGCGGTTGAGATGTCTTCTTATATATCCATTTTCTTTTAAAGAATGTTGCCGCTCGGATTCCTATTATTATTTTTATTGTATGCTTTCATTACCATTTATTTCTCAGCATTTCTACTCGATCTTGGTGCGGAGGACGTAGTTGAGAATGCCGCCGTTCTCCACGTACTTCACCTCCATCTCCGTATCAATGCGCAGGATCGCCGTGAAGGACTTACCGTTGTCGTACTTCACGACGATGTCCTGCCGCGGGCGCAGCTCACCCGAGAAGTCGATCGAGAACTTCTCCTTGCCTGTCAAGCCGAGGGTCTGCGCGTTCTCGCCCTCCTTAAACTGCAGGGGCACGATGCCCATGCCGACCAGGTTGGAGCGGTGAATGCGCTCGAAGCTCTCCGCGACGACGGCCTTCACGCCCTGCAGGAACGGGCCTTTTGCGGCCCAATCGCGCGAGGAGCCGCTGCCGTATTCCTTGCCCGCCAGGATCACCGTGGGGACGTTGTCCGCCTGGTACTTCATCGCCGCATCGAAGATGAACATCTTCTCGCCGTTGGGGTGGTAGACGGTGTAGGGCCCTGTCTGGCCCTCGCCGACGAGGCGGTTGCCGAGGCGGGTGTTCGCGAAGGTGCCACGCACCATGATCTCGTCATTGCCACGGCGAGAGCCGTAGGTGTTGAAGTCCTTCCGCTCCACTCCATGCTCCTTCAGGAACTTCGCCGCCGGGGAGTCCTTCGCGATGTTGCCGGCAGGGGAGATGTGGTCCGTCGTGATGGAGTCGCCGAAGACGGCGAGGCAGGCGGCGTTCTCGATGCTCCTCAGGCCCGGCGGCGTCTTGGTCATGCCGTCGAAGTACGGCGGATTGTGGATGTACGTGGACTTGGGGTCCCACTTGTAGAACTCGCCCTCCTCCACCTTCAGCTCATTCCATTTCTCGTTCATGGTGGTGATGTGTGCGTAGACCTCCTTGAAGAGGTCCGGCGTCACGTACTGGTTCACCACCGCGGCAATCTCCTCGTTGGTGGGCCAGATGTCGCGCAGGTACACCCCGTTCGCGATCGGCTCCTTCGTGAAGTCGATGTTTGTGCGGCCCGCCAGCGCGAAGGCCACGACGAGGGGCGGCGAGGCGAGGTAGTTCGCCGCAGTCAAGGGATGAATGCGGGCCTCGAAGTTGCGGTTGCCGGAGAGCACCGCCGCGGCGACGAAGTTGTTGTCCGTAATGCACTTCGACACCTCCGGCGCGATCTCGCCCGAGTTGCCGATGCAGGTCATGCAGCCGTAGCCGGTGGCCTGGAAGCCGAGGGCGTCGAAGCTCTTCTGCAGCCCTGAGTTCTCCAGGTACTTGGTTACGACGTGCGAGCCCGGGGAGAGGGAGGTCTTGATCCCCGGCGGCACCTTCAGGCCCTTCTCGAGCGCCTTCTTCGCCACCAAGCCGGCCGCCACGAGCACGTTCGGGTTCGACGTGTTGGTGCACGACGTGATGGAGGCGATCACCACGCTGCCGTGCTCCATCGTGGCCTCCTGCCCGTTCACCGTGTACTTCACCTTCTTGCTGTGCTCCGCCTCCGGGATGCCGAAGCCTTTGAAGCCGGACTTGGCCGACATGCACGCCGTGAAGTCCTTCGACAGATCGGAGAGGGCGACGTTGTCGTGCGGGCGCTTCGGGCCAGCCACGCAGGGCACCACCGTCGACAGATCCAGCTCCAGATGCTGCGAGTACTCGATCCTCTCCTCGCCCGTGCGGAAGAGACCGACCGCCTTGGCGTAGTTCTCAATACGCCCCACGTGCTCGATGGAGCGACTGGTGTTCTTGAGGTAGTTGATCGTCTCGCCGTCAATCGGGAAGTAGCCGGTCGTGGCGCCGTACTCGGGGGCCATGTTCGCCAGCGTGGCACGGTCCGCCAGCGACAGCGCGTCGACACCTGGGCCGTAGAACTCCACAAACTTGCCCACCACACCGAGCTTGCGCAAGTTCTTCACCACCGTCAGCACGAGGTCTGTGGCGGTGCAGCCCTCCGGCAGCTTGCCCGTGAACTTGTAACCCACCACCTGCGGCAGCACCATGGAGAGGGACTGGCCGAGCATGCCAGCCTCCGCCTCGATCCCACCCACACCCCAGCCAACCACACCGAGGCCGTTGATCATCGTCGTGTGCGAGTCGGTGCCGACGACGGAGTCGGGGTAGAGCACGCCGTCGTGGTTAAAGACGACGCGAGCGAGGTACTCCAAGTTCACCTGGTGCACAATACCAGAGCCGGGCGGCACAATCAGCAGATTGTCAAAGGCCTTCGAGCCCCACTTGAGAAACTCGAACCGCTCGTGGTTGCGGTACATCTCCATGTCCTGGTTCTTCTCCACCGCGTCCGCCACACCGGCGCAGTCGACCTGGACGGAGTGATCGACGACGAGGTTCACAGGGATCTGCGGGTTGATGCGGCGCGGGTCGCCGCCGAGGCGCTTCGTTGCGTCCCGCATCGCCGCCAGATCGACCACGCACGGCACGCCGGTGAAGTCCTGCAGCACCACGCGCGCCGGCTTAAAAGGGATCTCAATCCCCTTGGTGCAGTTCGTCTTCCAGTCGAAGATGTTCTCCACCGTCTTGGAGGTGACGTCGAACTCGTCGCAGTTGCGCACCGCCGACTCGAGCAGCACGCGAATGCTGAAGGGCAGGTGGTGGTATTTGGAGTCGATCTCGTTGATCTTGTAGTACTTCGCGCTGCCGCCGTCTGCCTGGAGAAGGCCGAGGTACTTGGCGTTGAAGGGGTTCGGCTGGGGGCCCTTCTTGGCCAGTTGGACTGCAGTGCGGAACATGTTTTTCTTTTCTTTTTTAGAGTTAGATGAGAGGTAGAAAAAGAAGTATCCTTGACCTCCGTTCTTTTTCTCGTGTCAGGGGATTCGCTCAGTGTACCGTTTGTGGTAGAGAAGGGTGCTATGTGATATGTGCACCGATGCCCACCGGAAAAGAAGCTCAACGCAGCAAATATATGTATAGCTATATATATATATATAGATCAATACACCGAGCGAGGAAGATATTTCTTTTACTAATTCGTTAGGTGAATAAGAGAGCGATGATAAGAGCAGGAAAAGCTATCATCAAAGAAAAAGAACAAAGAGGGAGAACTAAATTCGGATTCTGGTTTGGCCGTTCGTAAGTGAAATTACTGCTAAGGTGCTATAAGTGTGTCGGTGTGAGAGAAAAAGATAAAAGATAAAGGAAAAGTAATTTCCGCGTACGTGTGCGTGTGCGTGGGTGTGGGTTAGATTTTCTTCATCCTTTAGAGTACGAAGTAAAGGAAGATACGAGAGGGAGCAAAGACGAGATAACGCAAAAAAATAATAATAAGAGGAGGCGGTCGCGGCGAGTTTCCAAGAAGCAAACGCCGCTCGGGTTGTCTTTATTTAATGGTCGGCGTCGCTACCTAGCCTTTCATCCTTATCGTCATTATTATTGTTGATGTCGATGTTGTTTTTCTCGCTGCGGTAACGCAAAAACTCGTAAAAAAAGCCTTCATAAAGGTTCTGCTAAGCAACGAAGTATATCAATGCACACAAGAGAGAGCCAGAGAAATAGCTGTATGTATCATGAGACGATGGTGTAGGTGTGCGGAACCCGTGCGCACCGTTTTGTGCGACGCGAGAGATACAACACAAAAAAGGCGTTCGGCTTCGCTTGCTGTTCTCAGTATTTTTTTTTTTAAGATTATGAGGCGTTGACGAGACCACCAATATCGCTAGAGCAAGCGGGAGTTACAGAGTAATCGAGGAGCACAAAAGAGAAAGGAAAAAACAGCCGCCGCCACAGCCACCGCGTTTATTCCCTTCCTCCTACTCCCCCTCCGCCGCCTCCTTCCGACCTCATCGAGGGGCGCCTGCCATCTTCGATTCCCGCAGCTGGTGGTGCAGCGACTCCAACTGGCTGCCGTACAGCTTCACCATCTCCGTACTGCGGCGCCGCTCCGCGTCCACGTCCTGCCGCGCCTTCTCGAGCGCCGCCTCGTAGCGCAGTCGCACCTGCGTCGCCTCCTCGCCGTAGCTCTCCACCTGTGCGAGCAGCGCCGCCTCGCGGTGCTCGTGCTCCTTCAGCGCCTGACGCAGCCGGGCCACCGCCTCGGCCGACACCGCCGCACTCGGCAGCTGCCCCGAGGCAGACAGCCCACCCGGAGAGGCAGCGTTGGCAAGCCGCACATTTTCCTCTCGTAGACGCGCGGCCTGCCGGCGGGTGTAGCGCAGCTCCTCCTGCGTTTGCTCGACCGTGCGCACCAGCTCGTCGACCTGGTCGAGCGCCTCGCGTCGCTGGCGTGCCTGCTGCGTCATCTCGTCCTCCCAGTGCCGCTCCGCGTTGCGCAGCCGCTCTCGCCAGTACGCCTCGACGGACTGCACCTGATGGACAACGTCCACCCCGCTGGCCAGAGCGAGGGACCCCGCCTCCTCCCCCCTCTTCGCCGTTAAGGGTGCGTAGGGGAGCACAGAAGCAGCAGCGGACGTGGAGGGGCGGAGACCCATCGCAGGCGCCCGCGCCGCCGCCTCCAGCTGCGCCGTCAGCTCTCTGTTCTCTTCCCGCAGGGTGTCAAGAGAGGTTTGGAAATGTGCCCGGCGCTGCCGCTCGTCTGCTTTGTAGCTCTGCAGCAACTCCCCTGCACGGAGCTCCGCGGCGGCGCTCACCTGCTGTTCGGCAATGCGGGCCCGTTGCTCAGCCACCTCCAGCTTCGCGTACAACGCGGCGACCTCGCGGCTGTGGGCCCCGTCTGCCTCCTGCACCACCAGCGCCTTGACAGCGGCGGTTGGTTCTCCACGGTCGTCCACGGAGGACTCCGCCGCCGTCGCATCCGGGTGCACAACGAGGGCGGTACTGGGGCTCATGTCCGCTGCGACACCCACCGCAGACGATTGGAGGTCACTGTAGTGTTGCCCAGCTGGCGTTGTTGTCGACGCCGCACGAGCGTGGCCCAGCGCAGGGAGGACATCCAAATGCACCACCATGAGCGGACCCAAGCCATCCACGTCGAGGCTGACCGGATGAGAAGTGCGGAGGGATTGTTTGAACGAGGACGGGGATAGAACCGTTTTCTTCGCTGCCGCGGAAAGCGCCGAGGAAGACGCCGAAGACGCCGAAGAAGGAGATCGAGAAGAGGTGCGTTGTGTTGAGCCGGGAGACTCGTCCTGCACCTCTTGCGTGCGGTGCTGCGCAGCGGAGGCGGCGCGATGAGTGGATGCCGACGCTACCTGCTGCGGTGTCCTCCTCGCGCGTGTGGCAACGGCAGCAGCGGCAGACGGCGCGGGATGGCGTTGACGCGAGGACGAAGCGGTGGAGGTGGACAGCTCATCCTCTGTCGTCTCCGCCGGTGGGGCACTCACGCGCGCTGCGTGGGACGGGATGGACGCCGCGGCAGACGCCGTCGCCTCCGCCGAGCGGGACGAGAGGGACATTTTACTGTCACGCGAGAGGGAGCGGGGTAGTACAAAACTGTGCAGTCGGTTGTCCAGCACCCGCGGCGACGGCGCCTGAGCGGTGCTGGCGGCGTGGTGCTCGACGGCGCCCACCATCCATGGCTGTGACAACGGCTGGAGTTGTCGAACGCGGTCGCGCCGGCTGCGGCCCTCACTTTCTAGTTGTCTCTGCCATTCCACCTCGTCGTCTTCTACGTCAGCACGATCTGTCCCCTCCCACGTGTCACCTGCTGCGGCGGCGACGGTTCCTGCCTCCTCCTCACCGGTGCGAAGGGGGTCGTCCAACACCCACACCGCCGGCGAGTGCGCGGCACCGCGGGAGACGGAGGCGACGCCGACACGGCAGTCACTGCCACGGCGCGTGGAACTCGGCTCCCCACTGTATGGGCTGGAGAGAGAGTTACCAGGCATAGGCTGCGTGCTGGTCCCATCCGCGTGAACAACAGCGGAAGCAGGAAACGAACTCGAGCGGTGCACGACGGCTACACCTCCGCCCCTGTACAGCCTCCGCTGGCTAGGGTGTTCTCTATCCATTCCACCGGCCACAATCGGTGGCGACTTTTGTATGAAGACCTCAAAAAGGAGGGAGAGGGGGTGAGCAGGGAAAACAGCAAAAAAAAATTCTATTATAATTGTACAGGGAAGCACACGTCTAGAATAATCGTGATATATATATATATATATGTGTGTGTGTGTGTGGATCTATCAACGTGAGATGATGTGCACTTCTAAATGTTGCCGTGACTGGCGGTGCGTTTGTTTGCTTTTTTTTTGTGAAGCGATGTTAGACTATCCGCGCGTAGAGCTCAAGGAGCAATCTATGCAAACAAAAAGAGGTCGATCAGTTTCTTCTCTTTTTTTCCTTTTTTGCGATCTTCAGCTCCGCACCGTTGCCTTTTGTGCTTGTGAGGTTGGCGGTAACGCAGCACGCCTTTTCAGCAGCAGAAACCACAGAAATAACACAGAAACAAAGAGGACTCGTACAGGAGAGCGAACGGAGCTCATGCAGGAGGTGTGCGTGTGTGTGTGCGTGTGTGTGCCTATGCAACTGCATGCATGAAGCCCTCTCTCCACCTTTGACATTTCAATCGCATCGTACACACGAAGAAGAAAAAAAAAGAAGAGAAAAAGGAGCGAGTACCCACAACGTAAAAGGAAAAACACCAAAGAGGATTCGGAGAATTTCACCTTCTTCACACATCAGCAGTGGACCGTAAGCGGTAGGGTGCGTGTTCTCTTCCGGCGCTTCTCGCCGCTTGACTGCTCCGCTGAACAGTGATGTGTCCGTGTCTTCAAAGTCCCTTTTATATATACACCAATCATTCAGATTCTCTCATGTCAGCAATCACGCCGCCGCTAGGTGTATTTGACGCTTTCCGTTTCTCATTTTTGTGGCAGGGTAATTATTATTAAATACCGTTTTTCATCATCATTACGCCGCCGACTTGTGTCTATCAGCCATCTCGATCGTGAACATCTTCTTCGCAGCTCTCAGAGAACAAAACAATAAACAAAAGAAAACATCAAAAATGGGGAAACAAAAACACCCGTACCGTTTCTGCTGGACACGACAGACAAGGTATCACGAAGCCCCCGGGGGAGGGGCTCACACGACAAACAATCGTTGTAGAAGAAGAACAGCAAACCAATAAAAAAAAACAAAAGGAAACGATGAACACACGCCTGGAGAAACGGCGGCTTACGTGCAGAAAACAGAAAGGGGGGTTTCTGGCGTGTGAGCCTACTGCCATCCACACTTGGGGGAGAGAGAGGAAAAGAGGATGTGACGACAAAAGATGCACCCCCCCCCCCTACGCAGCGTCAGGATAAGGGTCAGCGAATCATATATGGAAGGAGGAAAAATAGAGGCGGCCACTCGCTGGGTTTGACCTCCGGCGCTAACACAAAAAATTGAGCGGGGTTCCTTCTCTTTAGTATTTCTTTTTGGACAGTTAATTCGTACCGGCATTCTATAAAGGTGTAGAGAGGCGAGAAGATCTTAGAAAAAAACACACAGAGAAGTAAAGGAACAGAAAACAAAACGTCCAGCGTGCACGAAGCGCCCTTCCGAAGTTGTGTAGCTCGGGTGGGCTTTTTTGTGTTGTTTTCTTTCGTTTTGTTTTGTTTGTTTCTCAGTAACAGCTTTGCAGCGCAGAAGAGAACCGCAACAGCGGCTTTTCCACAAGAAGGTAGAAAAGGAAAGCTACTTTTCATTATTCTTCTTTTTAGAAATCGTCCTCATCTTCGTGTACCGCATACTTGTCATCCGCGTCCGCCGCGTCGCTCTCGTCATCGAAGGAGGAGTACGCCTCATCGTCCAGCCCGCCAGGCATCGCGGAGTGGCCCCCCGTAGCCGCGGCGGTGAGAGCCCCATTCGGAGTCACCGCCGCCTTCTTGGGTGCAGCACCCCGCGCCGCGGCAGCGCCACGAGCGTCACCGTCATCGCTGCTGTTACTGTTGCCGCTGCTGTCACTCGCCACATCGGAGACGGAGGAGGAGTGCACCGAGGAGTGTTCGTTATCCGAGGCCTCGAAGTCGCTCTTGTAAGCAGCCGCGGTGGTGGTGGTGGTGGTGGTGGTGGTGGCCGCCGCAGCGGAGGAAACGGGAGGTCTCTCCGCCGCAGCAGCGGCACCAGCACCAGCAACAGCAGCAGCGGCGGCTACAACTGGCACCGCCGCGGGCATCCCCGTCGTCGCCGTCCACACCTTTGACCCTGTCTTGATGTCGTAGCTTTTGTTCTTGCCCGATTCGGAGCTGGCGGCCGGCATGAGCTGCAGGGCCAGCAGCTGTTCCAGTTCGGGTGGGCACTCCGGGGCGCCGTAGGTGGCGCAGCGGTCCGTCATGTGCTGTTCATGCTCAGGGAAGTGCACCAGGAAGTGCTGCTCCGGCAGGTCCGGCTCACTTGGCGTAAAGTCGTAGACGTGCACAAAGCGGTTCAATTTGGGGTCTAAACGGGCCTCCGAGAACAGCCGTCGCAGACCCGGCAACCGCAGGTGAAAAGGGTAGAAATGAATGTGGTGGCTCATCTCCACCACCGGGTCGGTGGTGGTGAAGATGTGTAGGTCGATGTTCTCGCAGTCGCGGGTGCGCAGCTGCTTGCAGGCGACGTGAACCGTCATATTTTTGCAGTTGCGCAGAAACACGCTGCCTTCGCAGGCGGCAATCACCACCTCGCCGCCCTCGCAGTCGTCGGCTGTCATGCTGTCGAGCTCGTCGAGCACGACGGTCGAGCAGTCCGTCAGGCGATCGAGCTGCACCTGCTGCCCCGACACCTGCTGATATCGCACAAAGTGTCGCTTCGCCCAGTTGGAGATGAAGTAGGTAGTGTCCTCGCCGCCGGGCTGGTCGTGGTCGGAGGCGGCGTCGTCTGCCGGCTCCTCCACCACCGCGGCGGCAGCGGGCTGCGTGGACGAAGGGGGGACATCTGCACGGCTGCCCCCGTCACCAGCACCTGAACCGGCGTGGACGTTCCCTCGCACCAGCGCCGTCAAACACGTCCCGGGCGGGGCAACGCCAAAATTTTGATGCAGCTCTGCGCTGGACTGCAGCGGCACCGCGGACAGCCCCGCCTCCAGACGCAGCACACTTTCGGTGTACTGGAGGCCCAAGGAGTGGAGGTACTCGAAGACGATGCTCAACTCCGTCAGGCCACTCTTTTTGGCCTCGCTGAGGGCCGCGGAAGGCGCAAAAAACTGTTTGCTGCTGTTTGCGCCGTTGCTATCGGAGGAGGAGGAAGAGGAAGACTGCACGGTCTGCAGCGCAGCCTCCATGATCATGGCACGCATTTTCCCATACTGCCCGCTCGCTTCTAATTTTTGACGAATCAGCCGCTCCGTCTCAGCAGGATCGCTTGAGGCCATATTGGTTGAAGCTCCTATTATGTGGTGGTTGTGTATTCCCTTTTGCAAAAACAAAAAAAAGAGGAAAAGAAATCCTCCCCACCGTTTGCTACAAGTGAAGAAGCGACGCCGACGCTACTGCCGTGTAATTACACGCTCTATGAACGACGCCCAAAAATGTACGGCCAGACTGTTCGCGCAAAACAAAGAACAATAATAGTATTAATAACAAAGGCGAATCGAAAAATAAGTAAAGCCTGAGAGACGGTAACCGCGAGGAGTTGATATCCACAACAAAACAAGGGGAAAAAAAGAGAGAGAGTTTCCTTCACGAGATAGGTCAATAATAATAATAATAGTAACAATGATAATTGCGGTGTGTAAGCGATGCGGCGTCGAAAAGAAAGAGTAGAGGAGAAGTAGGCGAAGAAACAGAAGTAATGCATCGTTCGTTTTTTAAGCATCTCCGTCATCATCTCCCGTACAAGAGGGAAATCCGCGCCAGCTCCAGCAGAGAAGACAGGAAAAAAGGGTTCCGCTGCCTCTTTTCCTTGTTCTATTCTTTTTCCCCCGCTCTGGAAACGAAAGCGCTTTCTGTGCCGTCCTCAACGCACGTCCATTGTGCTTCCAGGAAAAGACAAACCGGCTGTCGAGATATCTGCGCCGTCATCATCTCCTACTACACATGTAAGGGCCTTAAAATCACCTTGATAGACAATTTAGTAGAGATCTCAGGCGGTAAACTGATAAAAGGCCGCAAAAATAAAAAGAAAGAGGGAAAAAACGTTATAATGCAAAAAAAAGGGGTGCAATGCTTTGTATTTTTTTTTGGTTCAGATTAGTACGCGACGCAGGAGGAAAAACAAACAAACAAGCCAGCAGACTACTTTAGTAGATACAATAAAACAGAAGAAAGCAAAGGAGCTGAATGAAAGGAAAAAAAAAGAAACAGATCGTTAAAGATTAAAACGCTCCAGAGAAACAACAGGAAAGAAAAAGAAGGTTATCGAGAGAACCAAAGAAAAGTAGAGAAAATTATTCGTTTTTCTTCTCTTTTCTTTACTTTACTAGCAAGAACTCTGCGCGTCGCCGCAGACCTCTTTAGACCACAACAACCACAACCACAACGCAAAGACAGAAAAACAGAAAAACAGCATCTTAGCCTTTGAGAAGCACCAAGAAAGCACGCGTCTCCATTGCTGGACAATGTAAAGAAGTGTCTTGTTGTTTGCTCAAAAGCAATTCATCTTTCACACATACTTACTACAGCGTTTACAGAAGAAAATAAAAGTACAAATTTCACTCACACATAAACAAACACCCTTTTGAACTTGAATGATACATCTGCTTCGGGGCATAATAAGAACACAAAAGAAGCTACCTTACTAGACCGCTGTTCAGAGTTAACTGAGGCGAACAGTCGGTGAGCCTCCCTGAAATAGTGTAACATCATAAAGAAAGGGATTGAAGGAAAAGGAAAAACGAAGAGGCTTCTTTTTCCAAAAGGCGGATTTTAACAGAAACAGGGCAGGCGACGCGAACAGCCAGAAGCGACAGCAACGAACAGCGGCAGAAGAAAGAAGCAAATAAAAAAAGAAAAAGTAGTTGAGTAAAGGGGAAAGCACAGTGAAACCTAGTAAACTTTTCTTCTTCTTTCCCTTCGCCCTCACCTGTGCAACCGCCACTTAACCAAGAAGAAAAGAGAAGCTCTCAAACGTTGCACCGCTGAAAGAAGCACGATCTCCGAGAGTTTGCACATGCGGAGAAGGGGACAGCAACGACACCTACAGAAAACCTTCACAAAAAAAGGGACAACATGTTAGTGATGGCGTTCGTGGTTTTCATGCCTCCTCTTCTTGTTATCGAGACTGAATAGAATTTGCAATGGAGACGGTTGTGTGTGTGTGATCCAATACGAGAAGAAAGAGTCGCTTTTGATTGATTGCTTGTTTATCTGTTTGTCAACATATGCTTGTGTTCTCGTGGAAGCAATGAGCACTGTCGCAATACTTAACTGTTTTAAAGTGAAACCCAGCGGTGCTGTTTTGCAAGACGGTTGGGGTGGGTTATTCTTGAGGGTTCACGTGCATCAAGGCGTCGGGTGATACGGCGGACGTGTCTCTTCTCAGAAAAAGGCTTCTAATGTTCTAGCTCGCCCTATCCCACAATGCCGTCAAGATCCTCTCTCTCCCGGTGGATTCTTGTTGTAAATGACTATTCCGTAAAGCTACAGCAAGGTGCGGGTAGAAGAGAAAGAAACCGTATTCGCGATCTGGACGTGTCGCTCCTTGTCCCGGCTCAAAGTGCTCACACTCTCTGCTGGCACCTCTGCATCCGGCGTGATCGCCGATGTCGCCGTTTCTTTCTTGGACGCGACGGGCGCCTGCTCGCCCAGCAACAAGCGAAGAGCGGAGCGCACGCGCCGATCCAGCAGCTTCGGCTCCTCCTCGTACTCATAAAAGATGAACCCGACAGAAAGCACGTAGACGCTGCAGACGAACCAGTGCCGCGGGTACGGCAGGCGGCCACGCAGGTTCTGCGTCAGCACGAAGGAGCGCAGCGCGTACATGGAGCAGTACAAGGCCAGGTCCATGCGCCGGCCCTTCGGCTCCAGCAGCGTCGCGAGCCCCGCCAGCGAGCATAACGCGGTCACCATTTTCACCCCTCCGCCGCGGCGCTGCACACCGAGGCAGGCGGAGCGGATAATCACGGCGACGTAAGTGGCTAAGAAGAAGGCGCTGACCAGCATGGAGCGGAGGTTGCGTGCGATGGTCGAGACAGGGTGGGAGAGGAGGCGCTTGCGCTGGAAGCCGAGCATCGTGACGAGTCGCAGCGGTCCGTAGAGGGGGATCCCCATGACGAGCATATTCCGGAGAATGAACAGCAGCGCCCACGTGTTGCAGGAGTGATTGCCGTGCGTCAGCTTGCAAAGGACGTCGGAGCCCGTTTGACCAAAGTCCTTAATGATGGGCAGGTTCCTCGACCAGCAGTAGTCCACCAGGTCCGGTACCAGGCGCTTCCGAGCAAAGCCAGAGTGGCCGCGGATGAGCTTCTCCTGGTAGGTGGAGGCACGAACTAGGAAGCCCTGGTACGACTTGGGCAGGGTGTCAGGGTTGAAAAGACAGCCGTAGGAGATCTGGGCGGAACTCATGCACATCAGCAGCACGTCGTAGTGTCGGAACTCTCGCATGAACTTGGGCATGTGAGGCAACACGTAGCGCAAGCAGAAAGTGTGGGCGCTGCGCACGAAAAGGTAGAGGCACAGCTCCGTCCGCGTTTCCCGGTTCATGACGTAGGCAGGGGTGGCACAGATGCAGCCAGACAGCAGGGCGGCAAATTTCTCAGAGACGCCGAGCGGGTTAAGGATGCGCTGCAGCGTCTGAAAGCAGAAACGGAAACTAGAAAAGCCGCCAAAGACCGCAGCCCATTTCAAAGGATCGAGTGAAAAGAACTCCGATGGCACACGGGCAAGGAACGCTCTTGTGAGCCCGCGCTTCACTAAACCCTTCACGATGCCTACCAGGATTCGCCCAATAGCGGCGTAGAGGCTGTTCCGCAGGACTACCTTTAGTGTGTGGTTGAAGGAGAGCTGCTTGCGATACTGGCTCTCACGAACGTCATTCGCGCTGGGGCTGGTGTTTGCGCCGCTGCGTTGGCATTTATCATCGTGTACTTTCTCTGCAGTCATGATGTGAATGGAGAAGAGTAAAGCACAAAGGGAAAAAATGGCAGCCGCTGATAGTGTATTTGTTTAGGCGAGGCCAAACGCAAAACAATTTTTTTTTAAAAAAAACGACAAAATAAGCGTTAACAGCGTTTGTTCTTATTCTTGTAGAGATCCGATTTATTTTTCGTTCAGATCGTCTTGCACTACTAAAGCCAATGACACACGACGCGAGTCACTTGATTTCAAACTATCCGTCAAACTTCCTCTATTTTGGTGATGTCAACAGACGCACGAGAGACAACACTCTGATATTTGACTGTTGTATAATACCGAGAGCGACAGGCGCCAAGTTTGCTACTAAAAAAAGGGGGGAAGTGGTCGGTAAAACGGTTGAGTAACAAGAACATGAAAGGAGAAAACAATGAAGCGAATAAGACACAAAGGGGAATGGAGTAGAAAAGAAGTATCGGAAAAACACCTTTATATTTACAGAGAGTGTGGGAAGCTTAGTCATCACGCCGTCGCCACTCATTCAAAGTGCAATGTAATGCACGCTGTCTCCCCTACAAAAAAGGAGAAGTGCAATCTCCTTGTAGTAAAGACTACAAAGAAGACAAGATTTACCTCCTTTGCTGTCGAAGAAGCAAGTGTTTCCCGATATTACCGCATCAAAGATGAGTTCAGCAAAAAGCACATTTTCCCTGTTGAAGGGAGGTCAGCCAGCTTAAGCACAACACCTCGTTACTTTAAAAAAAACGCGACGACCAACAACAGCCAACAACACTCCCTGTGCACAATGTTTTTCACGCATAAGCACCGACAAACACCCATTAAAAAAAAGGAACTAAATGGAAAGGCAAATCGCAACTCTTACAGATCAGAGAAGAACACTTGCTTTTCTAAGGCGATTGATTGCCTCTGGACGCGACGTACAATGATCATTTCGCCGTCCGCATCCATATATGACTTAGCTGTACGAACATTGGGCTCATCGTCAATAAGAAATTTTCTTTTGCGCTCTAGTTCCTTACGCCTCTGCTCTCGCCGCTGTGCTTTCTCGCGCTCCATGCGTTCCAGTTTCGCTTTGAAGCGCGCAGCATCCCTCTTGAGCATATCATCTCGTTCTTTGGCAATTTTCTCCGCCTTCTCCTTTTCTTCCGCGGAGTCATCAACTTTGTAAACGGAGAGGCGGACACCAGCGACCTTATTGGACCCAGATTCATCATAGACAACAATTAGTTCCCTAGTGTTGTCAACAGAAGCTACAGGAAATAGAAGCAGCGGCGAACCGGCGGCTGCCTTTAGAACAGGTATACTCGTAGAGTTTGATGCTAACGGACGTTTCGCAGCTTCCTCCATAAGATACCACCCGGCTGCCTGTGATGTTTCGTTCGAGCACGCGTATTGCATCATTACTCCTGAAGAAAACGCCGCCGATGACGGCGGAGCAGTCACGTTAAGCACTTTTAACGCAGACCAGAAGCTCCCTGCGTAGCCCGAGGACACGCTGGTGTAAAGGGAGTTCTTGTGCGCAGACAGAAGCGTCAGTCTCCGACCGCCCTCGTAGACAAGATAATGCCTGTCAGCATTTTCCAAATCAGGAATAACGGCAATAGCTCTAAACACCAGGCCTTCCTCAGATTTAAAGACTGTCACCTTTCTTTCCTCAGCGTCGTTTACGATGGTCGAAACAAGTATTTGAGTGTCATCATCTTCATCGAAATGGATTGAATTGCCGTCAAACAAAATTTGCTTAATCTCCCCAGTCTGCTTACCACTCTTAAACAGAAAGAACTTTTCGGATTCTTCCTCGATTAGCTCGTCACCCTGAGCAGCATACATCACAGATGAAAACTTAAGTTCTCCATTTTCGTCGTGTGGCAGCTCTTCAAGAGGGCAGTAGAGGCGCTGATCCACGAAGGCACCGCTCGAGCAAATCCTGTGCGTTGTTTTAGCCTCCTTTACAGTTGCGCCGCCATCAAAACTGCACAACGTAGCTAGATCATCACGCTTCGATTGATCCTGTGCGGGTGTCGCAAAAAAGCAAAACGAACGGTTCGTGAACTGCACGCTCCGTGGTGAAACGCTCAGTCCTTCCAGAAAGTGGGGTTCTTCCTTCAGTTCGGTTGTCAACGCAGTTGCGAAAGGAGCAACACAAACACCAAAAAGCAGCAGCACCGTGATGCTGAAGCGCCACATGCTTCGAAATTTTGGGGAAACACACTTCGAATACAATCAATAAAAATTTAAGAGCTGAAAGCGATTGGAGAAGCCAATGTTTTTATATGATCACAAAAAGTGTGTCCTAAGTATATTGTGTTGTAACGCGAAAAGGTATTACATACCACGAAGTGAAGGACGAAAAAAAGAAGAAAGGAACAGCTCAGATTTAATTGAGAGAGCAAAATGCTGGGTTTAAATTGAAAACGTGAGAGCAGAAAACAAAAAGTACATCGTGTTTTCATTAACAGTCTGCTTACTGATATACGCATTTATTACGCACTTTCAGTGCACTGCGAACGGATCGCCTACACACAAGAAAGCATAATTGAAGAACCCCAAGAACACGTCAAGGGGTGGCATAACACGGATAAAAAAAAAGGAGTGAAAGACTCCCAATGTGAAATCAAGAGCCTATTTTTTCTGCTTTAATAATAGCAACACAATGCACACAAGAAAACGTAATTGTGTGAGTTTTTTTTTCTGCGGAGGTCACATTTTCCGTTGTTCTCTTATTGATCGTAATTTTCCTTCAGCATTTTTTCTTTCCTCAGCCCACGTCAAAGTCAACACAAACGAATAGAAATGTCGCTAAAGAAGAAACGGTAACTTCTACAATAAAAATAAACAAAAACCTACTCATATTTCGCCCTACTTCTGGACATTCGCCACTTTCAAAGAAACATACGGATATTCTTGTTGCAAAGCGCCACTTTCGATAACTGTGTCGTTTGCCAGCGGGGTTGTCAGGTCAGGATAGACCTGCGCAATGCGTTTCCGAATTTCGGCTTCCTTCTCTGCCGGGACCTGCAGCACGACCGCGATGTAGCGAGGCGGAAGGCCAAATTTCAGCAAAGACTCCACAAAGACACGAACGGCCTTCAAGTGAATCCATGCAACATAGCACGTGCAGTACTGTTGCCAAAGCAGCGTATATAAAGCTTTCTTCTCCTTCTCCGCCTTCAGCTGCAGTTCCTTGAGTTCGGCCGAAGACAGATCATCGGCACCTTCCACTTCGCGGATAACGTACCGCTTTTTACGGCAAATCGCTTTGACATCATCCATCACTTTTCGAAAAACAACGATGCTGTTCAGGACATACTCTTTATCCTCCGCGACAACACGATTGGACTGGGGACACACATATTCATTCATCTTCCAGTAGCTCTCAAGCCACTCCTTCTGCGATGCCACCGAGACGGCTACAAACAGTGTAACGAGTAAGTCAGTGTCAACAAAGCACTGATGATCGCGGTTATAGATTGTGACCAGCTCGCGGATAGGACGGATAGACAAGTTGCCCTCGCCCTTCCGATTTGCAGCGGTCACCTTGTTGCGTGTGTCGTTGTACTCGCCCAGCATGACACGAACACGCTCGTCTGCCGTGGCGTTAATTTGCGCAAATTTCTCTATGAGGTTCTGGATCGTGTCCTTGGGATCGAATTGCGCAGAGCTCCATAAGAAGTTTTTGATGTAACCCGCCGGCGACATCTCTTGCGTTTGGTTGATACGAAACGTCGTCACTATGCTTCGAGGTTTGCCAGACGTCTCTTCCATCAGGCCGATGAGCTTTTGTACGGTGTTCTCCATCATCGGATCCAGTTTGGTCAACTCGTCGCTCGCCTCCATCAGAGAGTCCAGCGTGCCAACCTTTAGGTTCGGAATCACAAAGTTGCGAAAAGTTTGTCCAAGCGGACCCATCTGCCGCACTAGCGATTCATACTGAGCAGATTGCAACGAGTCTTGCGATTGCTGCAGGTACGGCAGCGCCAGAATAATAAAGCTCTCAGTCATTTGCGGCCTTTTTCCTTCTGATATAACACGAACACTGATTAGGCACTAGATGGCAGATTTATGTATATTATATCGGTTGTAAAGGTAGATAGAGAACGAACGACAAAAAAGAAGAGTAGAAGGCCCTGTCAAACAATAACTCCTTCTCAATCAAAAGAAAAATGGGAATTTTCGCTTTTTGGGTAACGGTTTACGGTGTGTTCCGTCACTGGAAATGACGGTGGATCACCATTATGATTTCCTCGCTTACGTTCCATTATTGTTCACTTTTCAGCGCCTCATGCTATCGCGCCCACGATTTCAAAAAGGAATCCTAGTACTGCTTCTCTTTTCTTCTTTACAATTTAATTCTTCTTAAATCAAACGACGAAAAATTCGTCGACATTAATTCCCCGGGCCCCAACAAACAGCGCAGGAATAAGCCTTGTCGATTTCTGGTGTTATGTGAAAACAAATTTGGAGCAAGCTTCCACGTCGCGTTGTAGCACTGAGAATTGCTGGCTCAGCACAAATAAAAAGGTACAGTCGCTCTTTTAAAATGTGTTTCTGACACCCGACAAGAGGTTTGCTTCCTCCAACCTGAAAGTGTCTTCTCCCTTGTTCTGCAACAGTGTTGGGGCAGTCGTTGGTAACCATCGACCTGGCTTAACGCTACACAGACTTCTCACAGCTTCCTTCGACGGTGGAGTAACGCCGCCTTCTGAAACATGCAAACGGCCCGATTAGCGGAGGGCACGCCGCTGACTCTCAAGGCGAACCTCTTTTCTCCCTCTTCTCGCTCTAGAAGCCCACACTCTAATGGCACTCACTTCCTGCCCCCCCCCCTTCTCTCTTTCTCTCTTCGCTATGCCATTCCCCACAAAGCGTTTGCATGCACACGTGTTGATACAACCTTCAGTATCCGTCATCAGATCCTAGTGTTTCGTCAGTGCAATTATCGCATTTGTCTCTGTGTGAACGTTTTGCTTGTATTTGCGCGGGTGCCCTGTCTTGCAGAGCAACTGTGGAAATCACTTCCAACGTCGCGTTTTTTCGGCTTCCTCCTAATTTCCGTCTCCTCGAAAAAGCTGTCGACAACTACCTCCATTGCTGTAGTGTTAAACTGGTGCGTGCGGATGTGCTTTCAGGAGTTTATTAGAGTGGCTCTTGTTGCCTTTGCAAATGAAAAAGAATCTAAAGTGTAGTTGAGGTTGTCGCGATCTGGAAGCTTTCTTTGCAACGAACTGTGCCTTCAACAACTCTTAACGTTTTTTAAACACAATGAGACGTGATACGTTGTCCATGTTGTGCCCATTTGGCCCCTTAGAACTTGTGAGATTTCCGCACTACCGTTCTTTTGAGGAGTCCTTCTGCTTAGCAGATAAAGCTTCGCTGTTCGGCGTCCTCCGAAAGCAGATGAGAACCAGGTCGTTTAAGATCAGCATTTTGCAAAAAAAAAAGTGTGTCTCAACAGTGAGAGTCCAAATAAGAACAGAAAAGAGATACCGTTAAGAGCAGCAGCACCAGAAAACGCATTGCACCGAAGTGACGAGTGCTATTTTATTTGGGCTAGAATAACAGCAAGTGTAGCAAAGCTGGATGCTATCCGGCGTACTGTGGCCGTACAAAAGCGTTACTGGGATGGCCTTTCAAAGAATTTTTTTTTTTTTGCGAAACGAATACGGAAAGTTCCGTGGTTTTGTTCTCGTCCATTATCTTTCTTTTGAATCCCGCTTTTTTTTCTCTCTCCACTTCTCTTACTTGAGTAAAAGCTCCTGCACTTTGAAAAGGCCAAGAATGGAGTTTCTTTCGTTCGACAATGGAACAATAAAGCATCCCGCGTACCGGGAGGATGCTGACAGCCTTGCAGTGATACAAACTTCTCAACGGAGACGAAAGCGTCAGCTCGTTGATAACGTAAGCCTCATCTCTCCAGGTTATACACAAAACCTTCTAGCACCAGAATTGGCGCCATTTTCATGCACACCCGAAAAAGTGTCTTTTATTAATTATGATGTGGGCAAAGAGTACATCATTAAAGTAGCTTTTCTCAACAAAACAACGGCTCCAAAAACTTTCCGAGTTATGCCGATCTTACCTAAATTTGCAAATGTTCTCCAATTTGACTATGAAATTCCTCCTCGGATATCGCCAGGACTCTCATGGGAAGTTACTTTGCGTTTCCGCCCGCGCGAAAATACTGATTTTTCTACCGCGTTGTATTTGAAAGCCGAGGAGGGCTATTTCAAGCTGCCAATCTCCACTTCGCGCAAAGCTTTTCTTTTTTCGGTGGAACCGAGTACTGTCGATTTCGGCACCGTTGTGGTGGGCGAAGAGCAAACTCGCCACATTACGTTGAGGAACAAAGGGGCCTTAAGCGGCACTGTCATTGTCGGTGGAGCGTTTAAATCGTTACTCGACTTGAAACAAACGAACCCGGTGAATGGCAAAAAAGTCAGCTTCTTCCACATTTTTCCTCAGCAGTACAAAATGGAGGTGCCTCCGTTTTCGACTCTTGACATAGCCGTGAAATTTGCTCCTTTGAGCGCGATAACACTCGACACCAACATTACCTTGACGGATAAAAATAATTCCTGTGAAGTGTTCACGATACCCATCACCGGGGCAAGCACAGAACTCCCGGTGTATCTTGCGAAGGGTAAAATTGACTTTGGCGCGTGCTTCTTCAACGAGCAGTACTGGGACGAAGTAACCATCGTAAACCGAACAAATATTACGGCCGTTGCAGATTTTCGCATTCCCGCAGCTCTTTCAACCGTCATCTCAGTATCACCTTCACGGGCTTGTGTACAGCCTGGCGAGCAGTATATTGTGCAAGTAGCTTTTACCACTACCAAAAAAATGCCACGCGACTTTTCTTCAACCGTGGAGTGTGTGGTGCGAGGGCAAACGCTTCCGCTGCCGCTTAAAATTGGCGCGATTCTATCGGAGAGATGCCCGCAGCTTCCAACAACCACTTTTGATGTCGGCAAGCTCATTTTGAACACGACCCACGTGGTGGAGGTGCCTGTGACCAACGAATCGAGCGTCGTGCAACTAGTCGGTTTTGAGAGCCTACCGACATGGATTAAAGCTTCTCGTGCGGTGTTGGAGATGGTTCCGCAGGAAACATCGACTTTCCACCTAACGGTCGAGCCACCTCAAAAGGGGCGTTTTTCGCAGCGCTTGCGCGTTATTAACGAATTTGGAGATTCGCAAACCATCACCATTAGCGGACAAGGCGTCGGTGCTTCATTTGGTATGTCCTCCCGTACTTTGCGACTGCCAGCGTGTACTTTAGGCTCCAGTGTCTCAGCGACAACGGTTTTGTTCAACGCGAGCGAGAAAGCAGGCGAATTTTGCTTTGCGGTACCGAACTCCTTTTTTCGTGTGTCACCCGATACTGGTGTTTTGCAGCCCGGCGAAAGTATCCCCATCGCAGTTCTATTTAACGCGCCAACCGAATTCGAGGCTGCCGGGCTTTCGCTGCGGTCCGTTGCTTCGCAGAGGTCCATGAAAAATAAGAGAGATGCTCCCGCAGCTACAGTAAGCGACGGCATTACGGCGCAGAAACGAGCAATGTACGACGACTGGGAATCAGGTAATGAATACCGCATGTGGAGCAAGCACCGACAGTTTCGTTTGAAATGCGACATCAATAACGGCAGTGAAGACAGTTTCCTCGTGTCTGTGCGCTGCTGCGCAGTGAAGCCGCTGGTATACATCGAAGAGGTTGCCTCAATTTCGAACGCACTCACGACGGACGCCCAAAACAGTCGTGTGCCACACACACTTCAGTCTCCCAAAAAACACGCTGCACCTGCAGGCGAAGCCGAGCAAATGGAGAGCGAGTCGAAGCAAACTTTTGAAATTGTTCTTGACTACGGAAAAGTTCCAATCCACTGCGTGAGCATGCAGCAGTGCCTCATCTCCAACAAAGATCCGGAGTACTGTTTTGTTCGTGCACCGCCGATGAACCCACTTTCGGCATTCTCCGTCTTGAGCTACGCATTCAACGGTGTTGCGACGCAGTGTGGTACCAACGTATACCTCGCATTTCAGCCTCGCAAATATGGAAAGTATTGCGAAACTCTCAGATTTGAACTGGCGTCGCAGTCCGGGCGGAAAACAAGCGTCCTCGTCCGAGCGCAAGGTGTCTGCAACCCTACGCAGTTGACAATCTCGATAGCGGATAGTGCTCCGTTGCCTGAAAAGGGGCAATCGGAGTCGTTTTCTCAGCTCTACTTCCATTGCACACAGAAGAATGATTCAGTGAAAAAGAGTCTGAGTTTCTTCAACGTCGGATCTTCTCCTCTCGCTGTTGTCATCAACGGCGCAGCTGACGACACAACTTTATGCAGTGAAGGGCACACCCGTTGCTCTTTTCTGGTTCACCCTCGTATTTTTACCGTGGCTCCGAATTCGAAACACCCTGTCCATGTTGTTTTTGCACCAGCTGATGAGGGACTGCACTCTCAGCGTCTGAGCATCGCCGCGAGTGGCGAGACCCGTGAAGTTGCGCTTGAAGGTCGTTGTGTGAAAAGCGTCGTATATGCTCTTGTCCCACATACTTTTGCAGGAAGTGTCAAGGTAGTCGCCATATCTTTCACGGAAGACATCGGATGTCGCCCAGAGTTCCCTGTCTCACTCACCTTCGAGGAGAACGAATCGAAAACAATCGTTGTTGGTAGTGTTGGAAACGGTCCAACTGGAGAATACGAGTTACTCAACTGGGAGAAAACGCGTTCTTTTGCCATTCCGCCAGATTGGAGTGTCACTCCACCTTCTCAACCCATTTTAGCAGGAAAAGAAGCGCGCTTATGCATCCAGCGCATCTCTCGAGGCAGCGACAAAGTCCATTCTGCAGGACTTGTGGGCAATAGCGGCGCGCTTTTTCCTCTTCGATTCACCATAGTGTTGAAGGGTGAAGCTGCAAGTGTCTCTCAGCATAATGCATTGTATGTAGTGTGCTCAAGCGCATGATAAGGAGCAACATACATGCCCTATTTTCGGCTCTTTTCTTGTACTTTTCTGGAGCGCGGCATCTTTTTTTTTTAGCCTGTTTGACACCTTTGATGTAACAGTATGTATACATTTTGCTGGTACTTGCCTCTGTAGACACGCCCTTATTATGCGGTGCCACTTTGCGTTTCAAGACAGATCACATAATCAGGGAAAAACATCGATGCTTTGCAAAAGGTACTGCAGGTCTTCAAATATCTGCAAACTTCAGCTTTTCGCGGATAAAGTAGCAGTCCACCTCCTTTTGCGACTTTTCTGGCATTTCTGCTTTGGTAGTTGTAAAGGTCTACTTCAAGAAAAGAAAATTGCAACGGTGTTGAGAACCTTTTTGAGAGAAGCATACGCACGAGAGAGCGCTAAGTAAGTCACTTAAACTTTTCTATTTTTGGCATGAGCTTGTGTGGCTGGATGTCGGCATTGACGTTCATTTCTTTCCGTGTGTTATCATCTCCTATCTGTTTTCTGTTTTTTCTCACCACAAAGACCGTACGAAGATAATTGATTTGGGCCTTCCTGTGTCCTTTCAATTTACCCTTTTGTTGTTGCTGTTGTTCGACTTATCACTATATCAGTCAACGACAATTGGAACAGTTTCAAGCCCCTACACGCATACACTTCTCTTTCTTTACGCGTTCATCTCTCTTTCTCTTTTGAAAATGAAGCACTCCCTGCGACTGTTGTCGTCAGCCGAGGACTCGTCTTTGATCCGGTGTATCGGTCCCTTTCATGTTTGCCGCAGCAGCACCGCCAAGGGTGTGATTGAGGTGCTCTCCGGAGACCCTAAGCACCCGGTGCAAAAGCTGAATCTGCTCGGCGCAGATTATTTCTCCGCACTCAAGGGGGTCGCTGCGCTGCTGTCGGAGGAGCTGAACGACGAAGCCCGAGTGGCTATCTTTGCACCCCGGGAAAAGTGCTCTTTCTCCGCCGGCATCGATTTGAAGGAGCTTGCCGGCGGTCTAGTGACCACCGAGGCAGACGTGGCGGGCTCCAAGTACCCGGCTATGCGCTTGCAACAGCAGCACCGCATGGTTCGTGTCTTTCAGGACGGCGTTTCGTCCTTGGCACGATGCCGCATCCCTATCATTGCCGCTATCGACCCCCACTGCGTCGGCGGCGCAACGTCCGTCGCCAGTGCGTGCGATCTGCGCTATGCCACGTCGCGGTCTGTGTTCTCGGTTAAGGAGGCTGCGGTCGGGTTGGCCGCCGACATCGGCGTCCTGCAGCGCTTGCCCGCCATTATTGGCGAGGGCCGCACGCGCGAGTTGGCCTTCACGTGCCGCGAGTTCGACGGCGAGGAAGCGAAGCGAATCGGATTTGTGGAGGAGGTGTGCACGGATTACGCGGCGTTGATGGCGCACGCGCGTCGCAGGGCTGCCGAGGTGGCGTCCAACTCGCCATTGGGCGTGCAGAACTCCAAACGCATTCTGAATGGGCAGCGCGAGAAAGCCGTGCAGGAGTCTTTGGAGTACCAGGCGGCGATCTCGGCGTTTAGCCCGTCTTGCCACGACGTCGCGGAGGCCGCGCACGCCTTCGCAGGGAAGCGGGCACCGGTGTTCACCGATTATGTTGTGAATCCTACCGGTGGTCATGCGCGGTCTAACCCAAAAGGTTCTTAGTTTTCGTTTCTGTTTTAGTTTTCCTTCTCCCTTACTATATCCTTCTTCGGCTTTTTGTTGTTGTGTCTCTGTGCGCGGAGAGAGCCCAAATACAATTAGTATTATTGTTTTTCTTATAAATCTCTCATTGCTTCTCTGTTGTTGCTTCTTGCCCCTCTCGTCTCGTGCTCTCGTATGTGGACTCTTTTATCGACTCTCAGCATATGCCTCTTTTTCATAGTTTGCTTTCTTCTTTCTACACATCTAATAGCGTATCTCGTTTTTTTTTTTGAGTCTTTCCTGCTCTTTCCTTTGGAACAGAATCGCCTGCCGCCATAATTTGCTCCACTATCCAGTCCGCCCAGCAACAGCACTGGTTGCTGCAGCAACCACGTCTGGCCCATTATGAGAAGAAAAACTGAGGTCTCTGTCTGCGCGGTGTTCACGGAGAGAGACAAATGGGTGTGAGTAATACTCAAACGAAACGGATGAGTTTTTCTGAGCAAGTGCCTATCGTGTCACTTTCAAATGCTAGCGCTGAGGGAGCGGCGTGCTTTCATATAGATGTCTTTGTATTTGTCTTTCCCCGTTTGCTCCTCCCTGGCCTTTGTACGTTCACTTTGCTCTTTTGAACCCTCTTCTCTCGCTCTCTCTCCTTCACTGCCCCGCTGTTATTTGGGGGTACGTTTCGTCTCCTTTGTTGTTGTTGTTGTTGTTTTCCTGGTGCGTTAACGTTCTCGCGCCTCCATGCAGTTCTCTGACTTCTGTTGTGTCATAACCCTGAAAAGATTTGATTGGACCTCTGTTTACATTCTGTTTAGTTTTCCACGCGCACTCACTTATACATCATCTCTCTTGACACGAAAACACGGATTGTGGTCTAAAGCCGCCTCCCACAAAAAAAAAGGAGAAGAACTCATCATCAGCACAAGTAAAGGCTGCTGAACTTCCTTTGTTATTCATAAGGAACGCGCCTTCTTAAAAAGAAAAAAGAAACTGGTTAACCACGCACCTACAACTGAATAGTCTCTTATTAGGTTCCCTTGTACGTTCGCCGTTCGATCCTTTTGTGGTTGAGTCTTGTTGTTTGTTCTATGGTGAGCGTTACGTGACAAGTTCACCTTTCTTCTTTTCCTTTTTTACTGCCCCTTCGTTTCTTCTCTTCTTGACTTTTCTGTACTTTGAGCTTATTTCTGCTCCTATCTTCAACATATTTTCTTTCTTTTATCTTTTTCCCTTTTTTATCGCTGCGGTGCTGTTGAACTGTTGAGAACAGTGCATTTACCTCTTGTTCATTTTCATCTCTCTTTCTCTCTCTCTCTCTTTCATTTTTGTAGTCATATTATTTTTTTTTCTTTGTTCGTTCTGGGTTCACTTGGGAGCCAGCCCCAATTTGTTTTCTTTGCGTTACTTTTATCCGTACCGTTCCGCTTTCACACCGCTCTTCTGAAGAAGCGCTTCGTCCAAGAAAAACGGCGAGAAGCTACAGTGCCTTTTTTTTCTTTCTGTAAGTTGAATTAACATCACCATTTCATTCATTAGTGTTGTGTCACGGTTTGCAGCTCAAACTCCCGTTTGGCACTTACTTTTTTTTTAACTCTCTGTATTTCTCTCCACGCCTCATTTAAAACAAGAAAAAACGTTGAGCTACGTATTTTTCTTTCTTTCCTTCCTTCTCTTTCGCACTTAGTGTTAGCTGTCTCTTGAACTGTGTTGTTTTCTTTCCTGTCTCTTTTCGCCTCTCTCTTGTTGTTTTTGTTTTCTCTCTTTTTCTTTCTGCTCTTTGGGCCTCATCTCGTTGAAGTACGTTTTTTCAAGTGCCTTTCTTTTTGTGGTGGTGTTGTCTTCTTCGTCTTCGTCTTCTTCTTTTCTTTTATTTACTCTTCGTTTTCCTCTTTGAACGTTTTCACTCTAAAACTGCTTTCTTTCTTTTATGCGAGAGACCTCAGTTGCACCTTTTTTTGTTGCTGTTGTGCCGTTTTATATCCACAAAAGGGAAATAAAAGGAAAAGGGAAGCAACTATACATCCCATTTCGGCAAGATACCGGAAGGCCACACAAGAGAAACTGTAGTAATCCTGTTTTTTTTTGTTGTTGTCGTCATCGCGTTCTTCCTCTCGTCTTGTTTTCTCCTTTCTTTCTTTTCGGCTTTTCTTATTATCAGTCTTTTTGGTTTACGCGCAATTATCTGCGGAAGGAAAACTAGAAACGCAAGTTTCCGCTCTTTTCCAAACAGACCAACTGTAAACCTTAAATAAAAAAAGACAGAGAGACGTCGCAGACGGAGCGCTACTGATTCAATTGGAAGAGAGACATCTGGAAGAAGTACTGAAGTACATCTGGTACTTTTCTGTAGCGAGTAGATTTCTTATTTTTGCTTGGACTTTGCATGCAACAAAACTAAACTGTTCTTCTTTTGCTTTTCTTCTCCCCCCAAAAAGAAGAACTTCTTTTTTTTGTTCTCTTCTTTAAAGGACCTCATCTCTCCATAAGGTTTTGAGCATTTCTGTGGACTTGGTGAACTTATTTCACTAGCACAACTCACGGATCTTGCCTTGTTTTCCACCCTCGTGTCACACACACTGTGTGGTGCCACTTTCATATCTTTCTATCTTTTCCTTCTAGTTTCTGTTGCGGCCTCACTTTCTATTTGTTGTCTGCCCCTTCCTGACTAATATTATTAATAACATTATTTTCTTCGTGGTGGCTGCTCGAAAAGTTTTGTGGCTTCATATTCCCCTTGATTATTTATTAGTATTTAGTACTATTATTGTTATGTTAATTCCCCTGTTTTTTCTTTCTTTCTTCTCTTTCTTTTCTCTTTTTTTGCTGACCTCGTTTCACCCGTTATTTCATCTTGTTTTATTTTTTTCCTCCCTTTCTCTTGTATTCTTGTGATGGTTTTCTCCACTTCGTTGTGTGTGTGAATTACTTCTCCTCTTCTCTTTCTTTTGTGTCTGTGTCTCTTTTGGAGCCTTGCTCTCTTCCAAACTCCTGTTTTAAATATTTTTATCTTCCTTCGTACATAATCCTACCACTTACCAAGAAAAAAGGAAAACGAAAATAACGTTGAAACGACATCCAAGTCCCCCCTCCCCCCCCCCCCAAAAAAAAACGGCAGTTTCTTTTCTTTCTTCTCGACCGCTGTCTCTGATTATCGTCGAACCTTTTTTTGAGTTGTTTTTTGTTTTGTAGTTGTTGTTGATTCGTCCTCTGCTTCGTTGTGCACCGATAGAGTGGCAGCAAAGCGGATCTGCGTTTCAGTAGTCCCCAAATCGAGGCGGAATGAATCTGAGCTCGTACTCGTACGCAAGCCAACCCAACTACTCGGGCCGTAACACCCCTCTCCACCCTACCACGCAGTCAGCGATGTACAGCAGCAGCAGTAACAGCAACATCAACATAGGTCACGGCGGTGCGGCACCGTCGCACGCAGCGATGTACGCCGCCACTGCCACCGCGTCGTCCGCCGGAGCCTCCTCCAATTACCGCAGCGCGATACAACCGCAGCAGCAGCAACAGCAGGGCACGCCTTCGTCGTACACTTCCTATGCTGCTGGTGGTGGTGGTCCGAGCGGACCGACTGCGGCCAACGCGGCGGGGCGCGCCGGTGACATCTTCTACTCAAGCCCTGCCGTCGCGGGTGCCCTCTCCACAACGGCGGGGCAGCCCGTGTACCAAACAAACGCGCCCCCCACCACCACCCTCTTCCAGATGGGCCCATCGCCGTCGGCGCTGACGCAGGCGAATGCTGGGTCGCAGATGCTACCCCCCTCTCAGCAGCAGCATCAGCAACAGCTCAACGTGAACGCGGCGGCGATGGCGGCCTACGGGAGCCCCGCCACCAACATCAACATGGGCTACAAACTTTTCGTGGGTCAGGTACCCGCCGTGTGCACCGAGGAGCAGCTACGGCCGCTGTTTGGCCAGTTCGGCCGTTTGTTGGAAGTCAAGATTATGCGGGAGCCGAACGGGCGCAGTCGCGGCAGCGCGTGGGTGCGCTACGAGTCGGAGATCTCCGCGCAACACGCCATTGAAGCCCTCAACGAGAAGCACGTCGTGCCGCCGCACACCAACGCCCTGCGCGTGCAATTCGCCACGCCGAACCAAAACCGACCGCAGGCCCAGCTGATGCAGATGCAGCCCGCCCAGCTGCAGCCGGCCGCAACGCGCGCCATCAGCGCTTTCATTGCCCAACCTCCTCAGCAGCAGCAGCAGCAGCAGCAGCCGAATTACACGACGGCGACATACGCGTCCGCACCGCAGGGCTACGCGGCGGCGCCAAGCACGACAACCACGACGACGGCGTACCTCTCGCAAGGGCAGTACACGCCGCCGAACGTCATCTCGTATGGCGGCGGCGAGGGCGCATTTGCCGTACGGACTTCTCTGCAGAACCCAACTCCGCTCTCGCCTCAGCAGCAGCAGCAACAGCAACACCAAACTCCACCCCAGCAGCAGCAGCAGCAACAGCAGCAACAGCAACAGTTCGCCGGTCAAATGGAGTACGTCCGGGCTGGCCAGTCGGGCGGCGGCGTGCTGTACACCACATCTGTCTCTTCGGCGGCGGCTGGTGCCATGCAACAGGCACAACGGCAAGGGCAGCAACAAGCACAGCAGCAGCCATCGCCGCAGCAGCAGCAACAACCATTGGTTTACACGACTGGGGGGCATGTTCGGACGGGTGTGGTGTACGCCCCCGAAGGATTTACCGTGAAAAATCAGATGCCGTCGACGCAGCAGAAGCAACAACAGCAACAGCAACAGCAGCAGTGGCGCAGTTAGCCGCTCGACGTGCAGCTCACCTTCTACTTATTTTTTTTGAGGTTCGTGGTGGCCGACATGGTCTGTTAGTTGATGTTATTGCGTGTGTGTGTGTGTGTGCGTGCTTTTTTTCATGTCCGGTAAGTGTTGCTGGCATGGTTCTTTTATAAAACTATACGCCTCTCTTTGTTCTCTGGATCTTTTTTCCCTTTCTTTCGCCAATCGGTTCTGTTGTTTTTGTTTTCTGTTACGTTTGTTTCATTGCAATCTGCGTTGACGTCAGCAAGGCCAGCCCACTGCTTTCGCTTTGCTTTCTGTCTGTTTGTATTCGACAGATTCACAACTCTCCTACACATCCGTATAATGCTTCTCCCTTCCGTTTTCCCCAAAAATCTATCTACCATTTTTTCCTTTTTAAACTTTTTCGTTCTTTCAATCGTCATTCGCTTTTTCCTTTACCCTTCCCAAGTTTCTGGCGTGGTGCTGTGCCCGTAGCATCTTGACAGGTCATTTTTTCTTCTTCTCTCTCTCTTTGTTTATTTCTTCTTCTTGGCTTTTCTTCTCGCTCCACATCGCGTGTTCTTTTCCCCCCGCTTTCCTCCTTTTATTTCTTCTGTGTTTTTCCGCGTTTACGTTTCGCTGTTGCCCCGTGTTGACCTCGTCTCTTTTCTTCTTCTCTCTAACGGCGGAAGTTTTTGTTCTCCTCTTAATTCTCTTTTCTCCCTCCCCTTTTTTTTACCTTCTGTTAGGCGTATCCAAGTGTACATATCTTTTGTTTGCTTGTATCGTTTTGATTTTGCCCTCCTCCCCCTCCCCTCCTCCTTTCCACCACTCTTCATCTCTCGCCCTCTCCCTCCCTCTTCCTCTCCCTCCTCTGTCTGTGGGTGTGACACTCGTGGGGTTATGCAGACCGCTGCGCCGCCTCGCGGCCACAATGCCGCGGCGAAGTGGGCCACGCCGCTCTCTTCTTCACTCGTCTTCTTTTTTTTTCTTTCTTCCTTCTTTTCGTTTGTTTGTTTGTTTCCCCACATGAGAGAACACAGGTGAAGCCGGCGGAAGAAAGAGAAAGAAAAACAGTGAAGGAGGAAGAAAGAGATAAGCACGTAACACTGAATTCCTACATGGATCACCGTTGACCGCTTTTCTTCTTTCTTTTGTTTTCGAACTTCTTTTATCCCTCCCTCCCTCCCTCCCCTCCTCCTCCCCCTTATTGGATGAGTCGTCACTTTACTCCGTATATACTGTGTCGGACCACGACGTACATGGATGTTTGTTGTCCATTCGTTCGCTTCCTGCGTCCCGCTTTCAACGTATTCCGTCTTCCATTGTGACCTCACTTGTCAGCTTCTCCTCTTGATGGTTGCTTCTCTCATGTTCGCATTAACAACTGAGCCATTTTTTCCGCCTCTCCACCTTTTTTTTTACTGGACCGTGCAACGATGAGCAGGGTAAAGATGTACGAGATGCCAGCGCCGTAGAGAAGTTTACGGGGTGGCAACGAAGAGGGAAAAGGGGGGAGCACATTGAGCACCTCAGCACGGAAGCGCAGGCCGTCTCGGACACGGAAGCAGGTTATGTGTGTGTGTGTGTGTGTGTGTGTGTGAGTGTGTGAGTGTGTCACAAGTGCAAAGGAAGGCGCTGATTCTGTCTTCTATTTTATCATGTTGCGCGATTCTCGTTCGTTGTTTTTTTTCTCTTTCTACTCTCTTCTAAATACAGGAAAGAGAGGTTCTTTTTTTAAACCGTGCTCTCTCCACCAAGCCAAGTCACTATCGCTGAATCACAGTAATGTCTATCTCTTCGTAAATGCGTTCCCCCCCCCCTTCTTCTCCCATCCCCATTTTTTTTTGTCGTTGTTGTTGAACGGAGAAATGCACTTTCTTTCACTATTTATAACGGTGTAAGATGCTGCCTGCCAAATGGAATAGCACGTTGTCGTCGTTTTGTGCACCTGGTATGCTGTACACGCTCATTTCTCACCTTTGTTGTTCCTGTCGTCTCTAATTCTGATCCTTCTCACCTTTCTCTAATATTTTTTTTTCCTCGTCCATTTTCTTGTGCACCTCTTTCAATCATTCGACATAAGAATTGTATCAACAAAGTAGTAGTCCATCTCGTGTGTGTGTGTGTGTGTGTGTGCTCATCTTGACTTTCTGTTTTCGTTGCTTGCAAGATTATCAAAGAATCTCTTCGTCTTTCTTGTCTTGCACTTAATTTTTTTCTTTTTCTCCTCTGCAATATTCCTGATTTCTCACGTAGCTCCTTTACCGTTGCCCCTTTCCCCCCTTTCGCTCTGTTTTCATCGGAAGTGTTTGTTTGTTTGTGAGGGTGCAAGAGAGGTGTGTGTATACGTGTGCGACATAAAGAGGTTTGTGGAGTGCACCGAGTGCACAACAGTGCGCCAAACGCGACAACTCAACGTGTTGCTGTTGCCGCTCTGCTTTGCTGTGGTTGTTGTGTGCCGAGGCGACCGGTTTTTTTCTCCCCCGTGCTGCGTCTCGTTACGGCACGCGACCCTTTTCTCTTTGTTTCCCTTTTATAAAACCTTTTCTTCACGCGTATGCGTCTTTTCGTTGCCTTTTTGTGTTGTCGCCTTTCTCTCACCTTAATTTGCCATTCTCTCTCTCTCTCCCTCTCGTTATCTTTATGCTCGTCTTTTATGGCTCCTCATTGTCACAGATGTTGTGAGCACCACTTTTTTTTCTCTCCTCTATTGACTTCGCATCATCATTCATCCTCGTCCTTTCCAACACGACGGCACCTTTTATTATTATTATTCGTGAGTGTGTGTATGTGCGTGTGTGTGTGTGTGTGTGTGTGGTGTCTTTGGGTCTCTTCTTCTACTTTGGTTGTTCTCTTTTTTCGCATCGCTCTATGATGATCTCCGCCTTTCCTTCTTGCGGTTTTTTGCTTCCTATTTTCCTGTTCAGCAGGGTCTTTTCTTCTGTTTTCCAGGCAAATTGGAGTACCCTTGTTTTGTACGATGTACATCGTGCATGTATCATCTTTCTTGTAAGCGCTGTCGTCCGTGCAACGAAATGGAACGCCGTCGATGACGTTCCCTTTCGGCAATAATTGCTTCATCAAAAATACGCAGGTAACATGCAGGCACGGCTGGCGTTGTTCTCTCTCTCTCTCTCTATATATATACACATATAGCGCACGTAGTTCAGTTTGCCTTTGCCGTGGAGTGTTGTGCCCCCGCATTTCCGCGCATCTTTTCTATTATTATTTCTTTTTTGTTTTGGTTGTTATTTGTCAGCTTTTCCTTTTTAACCTTTTCATTATAGCTATTTCCGTTTTTTTTTCCCAGTGCCGAGAGAAAAGGCTAGCTGATCTTCTATTCTCTTTCTTTCTTTCTTATATATATATATTCCTAACTCGAGATGATTACATCGATAACTGCGTTTTAATTCTTGCTCCCCACGCCTTGCAGGCGCCAGACCTCTTTTATACACATACCTCTTTATTTTTGCTTTATTTTTTCAGGATTGTTGTTTTCCCTTGCTCGTGCATTCTTCTTGTCTCGTGCGTTTGCCAAAAGGAGCTGCCTCCTCGCTATTTCGAACTTCATCAGCTGTCGACGTAAAGGTGCGTGGTTCAAGCATCGTAGAACTACACACACACACACACACACACACATACTTACCTAAAGAAGACGGTGTTGAGGCTGTGGTGGTTGGCTGTCGCATTCTTTTCTCGCAGCTCTGAACCGGTTCTCTCCAGCTTAAATCTCTTATACAGTACTGTTCTTTTTTTTCTTTTCTTTTCTGAGAAGTAACGCGTGTTAACAGTCGCAGCATCACTATAAACTATTGAAGCAGATTCGAAAACAGCCTTGAGTATTAAAAGAAGAAAGGAAGGATTAGTAATAGGTGAAACCCGCTTCACGGAGGCTCGCAGAGTTCAAAAAAAAAGAAGGGAGCGTGCGTCAGCCTATCCTGTTAGCGCCTATACACACCCGCGTGCGGTGGTTTTGTTCACTTCTCTCGCAAGGGATTTCTTGTGTGACAGATGGGTGTTTGGTGTGTATGTGCGTGTGTGTGTGTGTACGTGTGCGTGTCCGAGGCTGCAGTTCGTCCTTGTCCTCTTTCTCTATAACGCGTCTTTTCCTGCTTTTAGCTTCTCTCTGCTCTCGTTGTTTATGTATGCTTTCGAGCATCTGATTTACGTAGATTTAATTTACTATTTACGAAGAAAGGCTCTATTTTCTCCTGCCAAGCACGCTATAAACTGTGTGTATTTGCTTTCGTGTTGTGCTCCTCTTTTATTCGATTTCTGTAGCTTTCTTTATTTTTAGTAGTACTGTTGTTTCGCATTAGGGCTCCTACTTCTTGTTGGGCTCTTTTAAGGGAAAAAATGCATTTGATTTTTGAAAGAGAGGTCAGATGGCGACGCATTCCCAACGACTTCTCCCATGAAGTGCAAGTGGAAGGTAAGCGTACTGAACAACGTCGAACCGACACAGATGAAAATGAAAAAAAAAGAAGAAAAACGAAATTTCACTCCCTTTTTTTCTTTGATTTTGTGAGAGAGCGGATTTGTTCGACGAGCGTGGAGAAAAAAGCTGCACAGGGTAACTTGTGAGAGCGTGGCCAACGATGTCGACTCAGCGTCTCAACAACAACAACAAGAAGAAAAGAAAATATATGCAGCCTTCGTGAGTTTGTTACTGTAAAAGGAAAGAGGCGAACGGAGGCGAGGTGAACTGGTGCGCGTATATATAATGTTTCTCTTCTTCTTCTTTTGTTTTCATCTGTGCTGGACAGCGCGTGTTGAGCAGGTTTCGTTGTTGTTGATTTCCTTTTTAATGTTCGTCTCGTTTTGTTTAAGCACAGCTTGAAGTACTCCTACCGCCGAGTATGTGGACTGTGAGAATAGCTCACTGCAGTATCGCTTTATGCTTCTTTAATTTCTAATGTGTTTCTTTTTTTCTCTCCCTTTTTAAAATTTAATTTCTTGATTTTCTTTCTTTTCGGCAATATAACTTACTGTATGTTTGTTGCAGACGCCGTTCAGCACGGCGGACCCGTATCGGGGTGTCTCTTCGATTTTTGTGGTCGTGTTTTCTGTCGCTTTCTCTTGCGTTGGTGCGTCTCTTCGTGTTTTTGTTTTTTTGTTTTCTCCTGGTGTGTGCGTGTGTGCGTGTGTGCGTGTGTGCGTGTGTGTGTACATTGGAGAGTACGAGTGGGTATTTATAAATGCTTGTATAAACTGCGTTTAAGTTTCCCATGTGCCTCTGCGCATAACGTGTATTTTCTCTTTCTTTGCGCCTGCGTGTGTGTGCTTCTCGTCGTGAGTTTATCCTTCTTTTCACATTTCTGTTTGTGTCAAAGAAAGAAAAAGACATCAAGATCGGCGCGTAGCAAGCATAGAAGCACATGCACAACGATCGTTTTTTTTTATATTTTTCCTTTTTCATAGAAGATGGGGTCAGCGCTCTAGTGCCTGTACCCTTTCCGCCATGCTCTATGCAGAATCAAACGGAGGACATTCGCCACCGTTATCGTTGTTTCGCGTGTGTGTGCGTGTGTGTGTGCGTGCGTAGGGTGGTTTATCTCTTGTGTTTTCGTCCTGTTTGCAACTGTGTCGCCTGTTTATCTTTTTTCTTCTTCTTATAACATCCTCGTTGCTTGGTGCGGGACGCACAACGTCATAGATATTCCTCTGTTTTTGTTTGTTTGTTTCTTCGTTGGGTGTGAAATGCAGTTAATATACATATATATGTGTGTATGTTCTGGTACGTTGTTTTCGTGTGAATGCGTTCTCTGTCGTTCCTTTGGAAACTTACTCGGTTGTGCTTAGCATGCGCGCTGCGGTGCAGAAGGAAAAGAGCGAGAAGGGAAGCAACCCTTTTCTGAAGGGTGAGGAGGGGGATGGAGGGCGAGGAGAAAGAAACTGCGGCATGGGATAAAGAAGGCCGCAAAGGCTGCGCTGTTTCCGTGAAGGCCTATTGATCGTCGTCAGAGCAACATGGGATGCGGTGGTAGGTTGGCGTGGCTCGCCCGCCCTCTTCGACAGAATTAATGGACTTGCCTCGTCTTCCTTCCTTGCTCTGCTTCTCTAAACGCAGTCTTTTTCTCCCCCGTAGAGCTGGCATCATACTGGAGGACAAAGAAGCAGGTTTGCGCATCATGCGAGCTTCTCATGTCTCACACAACTGCAAGCTGCAGAGACACTCCTCAATAAATATTAATTTATTTGGCCGGAGCGCTATCGAATTATAATCGCGGTGCGAAGAAAATGGCTCAGGCGCGAAAATACCAAAACGTCCACCACAAGCAAGGAAGAAAAACTAAAACTCGTTTCGTGGTATCAGCAGGCCAGCATAATACTTTTTCTTCCGTCTCGATTCTCTCCATCTTATATATATATATATATATATATATATATTTGTTTACTTTATTACAATAGTTTTTTTTCTTTCAGTCTTCTTTCGCCTCGTTCTCGCCGCGTAGTTTCCGTCACATATATGTATTCATATATATGCATAAAAAATCTACCTCGTCGGTGATTACTTTTTGTTGTTGATTTGCGCGTCGTAGCTCGCTTTCTTTAGCTTCCCTCTTCTTTTTTTTCTTCGCTCATTCTAACCCTCGCTTCGCTATTCTTTTGTTGTTGTTGTTGTTGTTGTTGTTGTTGTTAAGCTTCATTCTTGTTAATTTGCTGAGTCCAACATCACCGCTGTCTTTTCGTCGTCGTCGTCGTCTTGTTTGTTTTCTGCTCGCTTTTGAATCTCCGGTTGTGCGTGTGTGTGTGCGTGTCTTCTTTGCTGTGTTGGTCGTGTAGGTTAACTGTCCTTTTCTGAGTAGATAAGAGGGTCGATGCGTACAGCTCCCTCTTCCGCCGCCGTGGCAAAGCGCAGCAGAAACTAAAAGCAGGGAAAAGGAACTCCAGAAATTGGTTGATGGGTGGGCGGAGCGCTTTCGCTTTGAGTAATAATTGAAAAAAAATGTGTTTATTTCCCTTTCCGTTCGCACGTAAGGAAAAGGGGGAAGATAAACGCACGTGTTGTTGTTGATGTTTTTTACTTATCTTTTCGTTTCTAAATGCCTAATGTTTGTTTGAACCTTGAAAACACGTCGTGCCCGCCACGATGCGCTCAACCGCAGATAAACCTCCTTCCTTTCATCATTCAAACAGGGGCCGAGTTGAGGTAGCGTTTTTGCTGATAACAAGCTTGCCGTTTCTCTCGCGCGCTCTCCCTCCCTTATCTGTAAGGGTGTGTGTTTGGGGTGTGTCAGTTTCTAACTGGTATTTTGAGGTGCGGTAGCTGCAATGGTGGTGGTGTCCCCGCTTTGCCCTACTAGAGGCGGATGCCTTTTCTCCTGCTCGCGCTGCAGACGACCCGATTTTGAGCCTGGATAGGTCAAGATGACGAGCAACGGCTCAAAGGGCACGCGCCGGTGTTGAGGCATACCCTGCAAAAGCCGTGTGAAAGCGCCGGGTAGCAAGGCCAGCCAACCTTCAAAGAAGGCACCCGTCCTGCATTTCGTGTGCGTTTGTGTGTTCAGTGTATCGCATTGCGATCGTCTCCAACCCTTTTTTCTTTCCTTCTTTCCCCATTCTGCTTCCCCCGTGCTGTCACTGTCTGCACGACTTTCCCCTGTAACGCACACGCGTAAGCAGTTGCACCAACCACAGCTTTACATAGCAGCAGCAACACTCTCAGATTCGCGAAGAAAGCGCGTACTTGGAAAAGCACCCGTTTTCATCAGCTTTGTCATATTTTTGTTGTTCGTTCTGTGTTTTCGTGGACCAATCGTTGGAAGAAAAAGAAGCCTGTGTCAATTTTTTAGTCTATGAATCCGCATTACGCAGAAGCGCCGCCGCCGCCTCAGCAGCAGCAGCAGCGGCCCAAGGTTGACCTGGACGACTTGTTCGGCGGCGTGAGCTCCCCTGCACCGTCGGCCAATGCGAACAACGGCAGCGGGTACGCCGACGCGGCGGGTGCGCCGCCGCCGTCCTACGATGCATTGGGCGGCAACGGCTACGGCGCGCACCCGGCCGCTTCAAACGAAGTCTACGCTGCACAACCCCCACCTCCACCCCCACTACCACAGCAGCAGCAGCAGCAGCAGCAGCAGGGGTACTACGGTGTGCCCCCTTCCCTGCCATCGATGCAGAGCTACGCACCTGGGACGGCACCCGGTCCACAGCCGGTGCACCCCAGCTACAACGCCTCCTCCGCTGCGTACGGGATGAACCCGGCGCTCCAGCAGCAGCAACACCAGCAACAGCAGCAGCTGGCATACAACGGCGCTGCAGCAGGGGCAGCGGTGGCCGTTCCGCAGGTCCCGCCGTCCCCGCAGGTGTACCTTCCACAGTTGCAGCCCAGCGTGTCGTCGCACCCCAGCAGCCCCGGCAGCCCTCCCGCGGCCCCTGCGGCCGCACCGGCCGTCGAGGAAGACGAGCGGGCGCAGTTGGATCGCATCATCCGTCTGCGCCGCGAGCTAGAACAGGAGCAAGAGCGGGAGCAGCGCAAGAAGGACGAGTTGCAGACGTGGGGATGCACGGTGTGCACCTTCCGCAACAAGCTGGGCGTGGTGAAGTGCGAGATGTGCGGGTCGACGCGGCCGGGCTACGCGGCTCCGACGACGCCGTCGCCCTCCTCCTCGTCCGTGGCGGCGGCCCCTCCTGCGCAGCCGACTGCTGCTGCCACCCAGCCCAGTCGTGCTGGGGTAACGGCGTGGCAGTGCGGGATGTGCCTGGCGCCGAACGACGCGAGTGCGGAGCGGTGTAAGGTGTGCTACGCCTACCGCAGCAGCGGAACGCCGGTGCCCACCACGGTGTCGAAGGCGGGCAGCGGCAGTGGCGGCGGCATGGGTGTCGCGTCCAACACGCCCTTCACAACGCGTTGGAAGTGCAGCGTGTGCGGGGAGGTCAACGCGCCGTCGGACGCGCACTGCAAGATCTGTCACGGCTTTCAGCGCAACGGGACGCCGGTCATGGAGGAGGGCGGTGGACCGAGCGCGGCCATCGGCGGCCACAACAACACCAACGGCAGCGGCGGTGACCCCCCGCCGCCGACCTCGTGGGCGTGCTCCGTCTGCACCTTCGAGAACCCGATCTCGGCGGCGGTGTGCACGGCGTGCGAGAGCGGGCAGCGTCCGCGCCACCTAGCCCCGAAGCGCGACGAGAAGAAGGCGCACGCGAGCTCCAAGCAGCACGGTGGCGAATCCGAGAAAAAGACGGGCGACGACAAGAAAGCGGCAAAGCAGTGGCCCTGCCCCACCTGCACCTTCCACAACCCGATGGGGCGCAAAAAGTGCGACATGTGCGGTGCGAAGCGGCCGGAGAAGTACGCCTCCGCTGCGGACACGGCCGAGGCCCGCGCGGAGGCGAGTCGTGAGGCGCAAGACGACGAGGGCGAGGTGGCGTGGCAGGACGACGACTCGGTCACGGAGTGCAACAACTGCCATACCACCTTCACCTTCCTCACGCGGCGCCACCACTGCCGGCTGTGCGGGTACGTGTTCTGCGCGCACTGCTCGAGCTACATGCTGAACTTGACGGAGGGCGGCTTCCCGCAGCGCGTGTGCCTGAACTGCTACAAGGCACGGAAGGAAGAGGAGAAGAAAGTGGTGAAGGGACGCAAGTGGCTGGCAAACTAGGGAGAGGGAGAACACTTATAAAAATGTGTATTCATTAGCATCTTGGTACTTCTTTCTTGATCTTTTCTTCCTTCTCGCGGCAGGCGTGTTTGAGCTTTTTGCATAACACGTGTTGATTGATCTTCCTTCTTGCTTGAAATATCGCCGTTTGGTCTGCCTGGCGTCTGGTTCTCCACTGCAACATAACTTCATACTCGTTTAAACCGCTCCTCAGAAGTATCATGTGTTTGTTTGGTTGGTTGGGTTTTTTTTTCTTAGGAGTGTGTCTGTGTCTGTGTCTGTTTTATCTCGCCTGCGCTTTCAAGGTCACCCTACCAACAACGACATCATCGGCTACCACCACACCCGTACTCCCTTGCACATATATATTTTTCGGTGCTTTTCGAGTATATATAGCTTCTGGGGGAGAAGGTGATGTGTGGAGTCCAACGCGGCCGTATTAACCTTTTTCTTTTTTCCCCTTTTACAAACCATTGCTCTGGAATACTCCTTTATGCATCGTTCGGCTTCTTGTAAAGCTGTTGCTTCTCTTTTGCCCCCTTGTCGGTGCTACTTCCCTCGTTGCTTTATTCCATTATTCGGTGTTCGGTGCTTCTTTAATAGCGGCCACCTGCTGTTGATTTCTTTTTCTCACTATTATTATTATTATTATTGTTGTTTCCTTCTTCAACGTTTTGCCTCTTTGAGTTGAAGTGTCGGTGTGCTTTTTCTTTTTAAGTGTGGGTGTGTCTGCGTGCGGAGGTGCGTTATCAGTATTACCACTAGTATTCTGTTGATGGTTGTTATGTTTTGGTTTTAGAATTACGATTGTTAGGATGCGCATTGGACCCCCTACTTTAGGCGCTGTTTTTTCTTCTCTGCTGGTGCGCCTTCGTGCACACCACAATTAGCACCGCTGACGCTGTCGCCGCCTTCGTACCTCAAAAAAAAAAAGCGCAATGCTACTATTTGTGATGGCGTTTCAAAATACCCCCCAAAAGGAAAAGGAAAGAAGAAGAAAGAGGTGGGGATCACATAAGCGTGAATGCCTCATCAGCTCTATTTTATTATTATTATTGCGGCTTTCAAAGCGCGCTGCAGCACCGCCGTGTACTTCTTCAAAAGCCGTTTTGAAGTGAATGGTAACACCCATCGGCACTCACACACACACACACACACACACACACAGACTGCTTGTATGATGGGGGAAATGATTGCGTTTACTTGAATATTCTAAGTGAATGGAGGAGGCACGGACTTCAGGCTGTATGTTCATGGCTTCATGACAATTGGGGGGAACCTTAGATGCGCCGTTGACGAACCCCCACTCCCATTTTTCTTAAAGTGTGTTGGCTGGTCTGCATATGATTCTCATCCTTCACGTGTCAAATCTTTCATTCACTGTTCACTTTCCTTCTTCCTCCTTCTCCGATGTCGTTGTTGTTGCTGTTCAACACGTAAAGGACGGTTGTATTTGAGGGTTGTTTTCTCCGTATCCGTGTTGGATCTCCACTTCTCTGCATTTCCACATCCACCTCTGCCATCACGACACCAACGCACACATCATGGGCTTCTTCGACGCGGATCTCAGCTACCCCACCGTGCGCACGGAGCGCATGCGCCACAAGCGCCGCCGCCTGGTGCAGGGCCCCAACTCCTACTTCATGGACGTGAGCTGCCCGCGCTGCAAGTGCGTGACGGTCGTGTACAGCCACGCCACGACTTCGGTGGAGTGCAGCAAGTGCTCAAAGAAGCTGTGCCGCCCGACCGGCGGTAAGGCGATGCTCGTCGAGGGCTGCGGCTTCCGTCGCAAGCCGGACCACTAAGCCGAGTGAAAAGCGAGTCGCCAGTCCTTCTCTCTGTGTTCGTGTGAAAACCCGATTCAATCGCTCCTTTCTCCCTTTTTTTTTTTTTCTTCTGTCGGGGGAGACGGAGCTGTGCTTCTCCCTTGTACCTCACTTCATTTTGTGAAACACCAAATAATATATATAATAATAATGAAGAGGAAATGAAGATCATTGCTCCTCTCCCGCGCTCTCCTAACTGTCGCGACTGCGATGAGGGGGGGGGGACGGCGTACAGAGGCATCCTGCTAGCGGAGCAAAAGGGAAAAGGAAACGCGGCGGAGGCACGGGCCCACTTGCTCTTAAATGCGTTTGCTGATTCCCTCTTTCCTTCTCTTGAGCTGGAGCCGCCTCGCTGCTTCGGCGGCCACTTGGAGGGTACAGCTGGTGTTTAACAATGGAAGTTGGTGAAGAGAGGAGAGGGGACCAGCACCGCTACTCATGCATGAACTCTCCGCCTCACCGCCGAGGTTAACGCCAATTTTTCATTTCGTCCTCCTGCTCTCGCCTCAACTACTGGTCCTCTCTGTTTTCTTTTCTGCAGATATCGTCACCACAGCGCATATCAATATACATATATATAATTAATAAATTCGGAACAGGCGGTTGCTTTCGCCATGCAGTCCCCCAACAAAGTAGACGAGGAAACGCTGCAGGCGCTTCTTTTGCACCTCGGCCCCGAGAAGCCCGTCGCCGGTGCGCAAGACCCATCCGCGGCGGAGACCATAACGACGAAGCCGAGCGAAGGACTTGGACCAGCGGCCTCCCCTGAACGGCCAGCCGACCGACTCAGCGGCACGCTGTTGAGCGGCAACCTAGCACAGGGATTCGCCCGCCCCTTTGCCGGCGGGGACGCCGAGGACGTTCCGGACTACGCCCTGCCGGATGCGCAGTACATCGAACGCACCATCCTACCGCTGCTGCTGCGAGGACTGGAGGAGGTCGCGCTGACTCGCCCGCCAGACCCGCTCGCGTTCCTCGGTGCCTACTTGATCAGCAACAACCCACAAAGACCGACGGCGGCCTCGGCAGCACCCGTCGGCGCGCTGCCAACAATCTCGACGAGCAGCAATGCCACACAGGACGGTGCGAGGGACGGCGCCCATCGCGGCTCCCCGACGCAAGTACTCACACAGCAGCAACAGCAGCAGCAGCAGCAACCGTCATCGTCTCCGTTTTTACCCACAAATCAGCCCGCACTGGCGGAGGCGGTGCAACGCGCAGCAGAGCGCTTTGCGCCGTATGTGAAAGGGTCGCCTGCAACGGCTTAAAATGGAAGAATAAAACGGCGAACGGACACAGACGGGTGGTGTGTGTGTGTGCACACCTGCAAAGGAAAAACAGAAAAGGGAACGTGAGAGGTGCGCGAGTCTCGCGCACCTCTCACGGTCGTACACCGCTGACAACGCAAACCTTTCCTTAGCATGGAGTTGCGTAAATATATCTTTTGTTTTCATGTTTATTTACCTGAGCGATGTATAGAAGCAGCCGGCTGCCTCAGCAGCCGGACTGAAGAAGTAAAAATATAGTATAACACATACATCGCTGCCGTTTATAGTGGACAAACTCTACACACCTCGCGGTTTCAAAGCGGGCTGAAGCGCGGCCAATCCGTACGACGTCGAAGAGCATCTTCTCAACGATTCGTGTACTTTTTCTTTTTTTGTATTAGTGAAGGTGGCGCAAATGGGGCTCAAAGAAAAGGTCTGACAACGTGATGGGGGCTCTGTCTGTGACATTCTCGTGGTCCATTCTTTTCCTCTTCTCTCTCTTTTTATTTCTTTTTTTTTCCGTCACTCTCTCCCTCATCTCTTGGGCTGCTTACGTAAACACTGATACATGTGTAAACGTGTTGCCGAAACACAATAACCACCCCTCCCCCTTTCTACTCAGGAAAAAGCGGCAGTTATTGAGTTCCCTTTTGTTTGTTTGCTTGCTTTAACATTTTTTGCTGTCTTCATACTCGCGTGTTGTGCTGTTTGTTTCTGTCGTACCGAGTAGGCCGAAAACGCGAACACTCCAAAAGAAAAACTAAAGGAGTACAGAGACGATGTCTTCCACGGCCAGCTCTGACAAGCCGGAGTACGAGCGTGGCGTCAAGGACGCAGCGCGCCACCGCCGCGCCACGGAGGAGAATTGGATCCGCCCCACCCTCGGCCCCATCCTGTGGCTGGGCGTGCCGCTGCTTCTTTCGTACCTCTACCTGCGCCGTGTCACGCCTGCCGCCGCATCCACCGCGGGTGGGGCCAGTGGCAACCCTTTCCAAAACCTCATGGAACAGATGATGCCCATCAAGAAGCGTCAGTTCCGCGTCGACGTGAAGGGCACGAAGTTCGCTGATGTGGTTGGCATCCCCGAGGCGAAGGCCGAGGTCCGCCAGTACGTCGACTTCCTGACGGACCCAAATAAGTTCACCCGCCTCGGGGCACGACTGCCGAAAGGGTGCCTGCTGACGGGGGAGCCCGGCACTGGCAAGACCCTGCTGGCGAAGGCCGTCGCCGGGGAGGCGGACGTGGCCTTCTTCAGCTGCAACGGAGCTGACTTTATTGAGCTGATGGGCGGCAGCGGACCGAAGCGGGTGCGGGAGCTCTTCCAGGAAGCCCGCGCTGCTGCCCCGTCCATTATCTTTATCGACGAGATCGACGCCATCGGCAGCCGCGCCGGCAAGCAGGGCGGCAGCGTGAGCAGCGAGGAGAACCGCACCATCAATCAGCTGCTGGCGGAGCTGGACGGACTCAGCTCGAGTGCGGACCCGATTGTCGTGCTGGCCGCTACGAACTTTCAGGACAACATCGACAAGGCCCTCCTGCGTGAGGGCCGCTTTGACCGTAAGATCTCCATTGAGATGCCAGACCTGGCGGCGCGGCGGGAGCTGTTTGAGCACTACTTAAACCGTGTCTGCACGGGTGACCCAACCGGCCGCACCAAAGACGAGGAGGGCAACGACCTGCCTCTGGAGAACGGGGTGAGCAACAAGGCGCTGGCAGACCAGCTGGCCCACCTTACGCCCGGACTCTCACCCGCCACCGTGGCCACTGTGGTGAACGAGGCAGCGTTGCAGAGCGGGATTGCGGGGAAGCCGCTCGTGCAGCTACCGTCGCTGCTGGAGGCGCTGGATAACACGTTGATGGGCCGCAAGCACCGCAACCGACAGAGCGAGCACTCTGCCCGCCGCACGGCTCTGCACGAAGCCGGCCACGCCCTCACTGCCTGGATGCTGCCGCCGGTGCAGACGGTCCTGAAGATCAGCATTATCCCGCGTGGGCACGCCATGGGCTACACGCAGCGCGCGGGGACCGAGTTCCACGAATACCAAACCAACGCGACGCTCTTTGCGGATATGGTGGTGATGTTAGGCGGACGGGCGGCGGAGGAGGTGCTGCTGGGCAATCCGTCTGCCGGTGCGATGGACGACTTGCAACGTGCGACGGACATGGCGCTGAAGCAGATGCTGGCCTTTGGCATGAGCACGCACACGGGGCTGCTCTCGTACCACCCAGAGTACACGCAGGCCGGGCGCGACTTCACCATCTTCTCGAATGATGCGCAGCACCGGGCCGAGATGGAGGCGCAGCGCCTGGTCGCCGCCGCGCACCAAGCAGCGGTGAAGATCATCACAGACAACAAGGACAAGATGCTCCGCATGGAGGAGGCACTCATGGAAAAGAAGGAGCTGACGACGAAGGAAGTGGAGACGCTGTGGGGGCCGCGGCCCACGGAGCCGAGCGTGGAGGCGCTCGTGCAGGAAGTAATCAAAGTCACAGGGAGCTACACCGAGGAGTCGTCGTCGTCGTCATCACGGCTGCCGTCTGGAGCATCGCCGGCCACGGCGTAAAACAGCCTGCAAGCCTTTTATTTTTATTTTTGGAAGTGGACATTGAAGGCGGCCAGCCGGCAGCCTTTTCGGCATCAAAGCGTGTTCCAGCTGTCTTACTCTTGGTCTTCTCTTGTAAAGCATTTCCCTTCATGATGCGAGCCGCGAACTCATGTTTCTTTTGACTTGTGTGCGTATGCGTGTGTGTTTTGCTGCTGCAGCCGTGGTTGCCTCCGTTGTTGTTTGGGCAAGTCTTCACATTCCGTGTTTTTATTTTTATTATGATTGTCACTTTTTTTTACTATTTTAGTACCGCTGTTCATTATCAGGACCCGACACACACACACACTCCTACGCACGCATGTCCGATTCCACCGTGGTGGGGTGGACTGCTGTTCCTTGCCATACGTTTTTTTTGTTGTTGTCGTTATTTTTTTTTTTGCTTTACCCCCGTTGCCCGCTTGTATTGCTGTGTTGATGGTGATGGACATTATTCTATATACTGGTCGACCGCAGCTGTTGCGCGGACGTATCCTCTCCTTGTCCCTTTGTGTGTGGGTGTGAGCTTTCTTTGGTTTCCTCTGTCCGTTGCTGCCTTATGTGATCATCTCGTGTCCTCCTTTGCACTTCCGTTTAGCGACAGCGATTTCCTTGTTTAACGCTCCAGGCATACATATTCAAGAGCATCTCTTGACGATGACGTACGGTAGTGTGGTCGCAGGGAAAAACAGCAAAAGAAACACTGCCGCTGTATGGTGTGGCAAGTGTGTGTGTGTGTGCACTTCCATGCAGCACGGGAGATGCGTATAAGTCTGACGAGCGCACGCTTCTTTTCGCTGTGTGCCCTATCGAATTCTCTCTCTTTACTGCAGGGAACAGCAAGAGAGAGAGAAAGAAAAATCAATGTGGCGTAAACCGTTTTTCCTCTTTGTTTTGGGGTCCTGCGCACGAGAAAGTGCATGGGAAATGGATCCCATTGTTTGCCACCCGCGTCGCACACTCCTCTCTCCTGTGCACCACCATCTCCTTCACCTTCTTTCCCATTTCGACTCTATAAAAAACTGTTGTGTGTGTGCGTGCTGCTTGAACGAACGCGTCTTTTCTCGTCACCGCTGGCTTCTTTGCCTCCCTTACTCCCGCCCTCTCCGAAACAGAGTTGCTCTCCGAGCCACAAAGAAAGAAAACAACAGCCGAGTCCAGTTTAGCTCCGTTACCAGTGCACCCTCAGTAATCCCCTTTAACTTCTTTTCGTTTCTAAAGCCGGTTTTTTCTTCTTCCTTTTTCTTTGTATTGAAACTCCTTCTTGTTCGACCATCATGTCCAAGATCCCCCCGCAGGTGCTGTCGGAGGCCATCCAGGCCGTCCTGAAGGTGGAGAAGGAGCGCAAGTTCAAGGAGAGCGTGGACCTGCAGGTCAACCTCAAGAACTACGACCCCCAGAAGGACAAGCGTTTCTCTGGCTCGCTGAAGCTGCCGAACGTGTGCCGCCCGCGCATGTCCGTCTGCCTCCTGTGCGACCTCGTGCACGAGGACATTGCCAAGAAGGAGGGCGTGCCGACGATGAACCAGGAGGAGCTCAAGAAGCTGAACAAGAACAAGAAGCTGGTGAAGAAGATGTGCAACCAGTACGACGCCTTCCTGTGCTCGGAGTCGATCATCAAGACCGTGCCGCGTCTCGTCGGCCCGCACATGCATCGTATGGGCAAGTTCCCCACCGTGTGCTCCCCGAGCGAGTCCCTCACCGACAAGATCACCGAACTGCGCGCCACCGTGAAGTTCCAGCTGAAGAAGGTGCTGTGCCTCGGCACCTGCATCGGCCACTTGGAGATGACGGAGGACCAGCTCCGCCAGAACATCACCATGGCGCTCAACTTCCTCGTGTCGCTGCTGAAGAAGAACTGGCAGAACCTGAAGTCCGCCTACCTGAAGTCGACGATGGGCAAATCGCAGCGCATCTACTAAGCGCTTGATCTCTTGCGCTTTTGTGTAGGAAAATCACATTTAAGAAACCGTTTTTTTTTCTTTAAAGGGATAAACTGAGGTGTGTGTTTTTACTTCTACTTTCTGACAGCGGATGTTATCGATGCCTTTTTAGCGAAAAGGAAGCGTACGCCGTGACGTGCTCCGGCGCGCTCGGTATTTGGTACACTTCTCGCTTGCGTGAAGAGCATCGGTTCTAAAACGAGGAGCATCTCAAGAAGAGTGGAGCAGAGACGCAAAGGTGCGAAATGTGTGAAGGACCGAGTTCTCGGCTCTACGCCCGTTTCCTTTTTCTTTTTTCTCTTCTTCATACTCCAGCACGCGTCTTCTGCCTTCACGCTTCGCTCCGCCCAACTCATAAGAACTGGTGTTTTCACTTTGACGGATATCACTCCTTTCCACTTCCCACTCCCCCTTCCTCTTTCTCTTTCGTCCTTCTTTTGGGGAGCCGAACATCTTCATGGGTGCGTGTGTATAACAGGCACGATGAAGCGAGGAATGGGTGGGGTGGGGTGTGAAACGAAGGGCCCAGTCACGGCTGATTATGCAAGTAAATTGGCACGTTGACGACGGGCGTGTGTGTGATGGCATCAACTCAGTACTTTTATTTTTTCTTCTTCTTCTTTTTATTTTCATGGCTCATTTTGCCAACGACAATAAACAGCAAACGAAACCTACTACTAGAATAATGGAGCTGCAGGCGCGCTCTTCGCACTTCCGCCTTCGAAGTACCGCAACGAGCAGGGTTGTTTAGTGTGCGCTTACGCGCCGAGAGTCGAATGAAAACTGCTGCTTTACTTCAGCGGCCGCATTCGGCCGCGTCTCCTCCGCGTGTCTTCTTTTTTCCTTCTTCTTCTCGAAGCCTTTTGAGCGTACGCACTTTTTATCTCTTCTCAACTTCAACTCTCTGCATATATATATATAGATGTAGATATGCGCTCTCCTTCGTAGGAGACCGACTTATCTCTTCTTATCTGTTTGTGCATGTGTGTGTGTGTGCTCCTCAACGCATCCGTTCGCCTGAGTTCCTCCACTCAGCGCCGTCTACACGGATCCGAGTCCATTCTTCGCGGTGTAAATGAGAAAAAGAGGTTTCTTCTGCGTTCAGTTTACGCTTTCTCCGTCCTCACACACATGCGTCATGCAAGCTTACATTGACAGCATTTGCAGCCGGTCACCCCCGTCCACAGCCGCCGCCGTACGGCCCACCAAGAGCGCACTGCTGCTCCAGTCCCGTCAGCTGGAGCGCAAACGTCAGCTCGATGAGAGAGCTGCACACGACCAGGCCTTGCAGGCTGGCAAGGGTGCCTCCTTATGGGGATTGCCCTTTTCGAAACAACGCAGCGACTCGCGGAGCCGCGTGCGACCCGCACAGCCGCGGCCTCACCGCCTCCTCCATTCGGCGGCATCATCGTTTTTCGCATCAAGCACGTCACGCACGCAACGCAACGCATCTCCGCCGGCGTCAGCGGCGTCACTTCGTCGTGGTTCCAATACAGGGCCGCAGCGCACACCGCGCCCCCTCGGCCTCCCGCCCACGTCCCCATCGCAGAGACAGCAGCAGCAGCACAATCAAATACGGATGTGGACGCCGTTTTCTTCTGTTCCTCTCTCTGGGCAGCGCACACCAGGACGCGAACAACGACTTCCACAAGAAGGTGCACGCTCCAGTGCACGCGACCCCCTCAACGACTCCTCTTCCCTGTTGAAGTCCTCGCCGTGGCACCCGCTCTTCACTCACTCGCCATCACCTGCGGCTTCTCCGTCGGCGCCGCAGCGACCTGGACGATTTAGCGAAGATGTGGGAGAGGAAGCAGGTGAGCATCGAGATGTGGTCGGTGCTGCCGCGCCACAAGTATTTGACTCTGCTCCGTTCTACGCGCGCTTAAGTCGTGCGGATGAAATACAGAGCAGATCTCCAGTGGAAGAGAACAATCAGCGGACGCATGCCCCAACAGCGCAAATCCGACGCAGCAGATGGAGTGCTGCGACGATGAGCGCGGAGGCGAACGTTCCAATCTCGTCCCCTTCACATTCTCCACTCCCCCCTTCTCCGCCGCGCGCTGCGTGGGCCGCGTGGGAACCGCCCAAGGAGAAACAGCAGCTGTCAAATATGCAGCGTCAAACAGGCTCGGCAAGCCGCCTCCTGCACGCCGCGTTGGGCTCCTCCGGTAGCGGCTCCGCATCCGTTCTCAAAACGTCCGCCACGCACCCATCGCCTCCACACACACGGGCCAACGCGGTCTATCCAAGTTTCGGACGGTTCGTATCTGCTGTTCCCAGCGGAGTGTCCGCCTCCCCACAGTTTGAGGCCTCCACTTCTCCGTCTCTCCACCACACATTACGCGGTCTGCACGCTGACCTGCGGCGCCAAACCGAACCGCAAGCGACCCCCTCACCTTCAAGAAGGGCGCTGCGTGATGATGAGAATTTTTCCATTAACACCTCGCGCTTCCCCGGCTCCTCTTCACACGTACTGTCTGAGCCGTCGCACTTTGTGCGGCAGTCCTCCGCTTCCCACCCTCCCTCTCTTCCTCATCACCGCCGTCATCACACGCGAGGCGCCCCGTGTAGTCTGCGTGACCTCCACGAACTTCTCCTTCACCGCCTCGAAGCGCAGTCGCGTGTTGCGGCTGCTGCCGCGGCGCAGACTGCACGGCCGCACACCAACGCCGCTCATTCGTCGACGACGACGGATGCTGTGTTGACCGACACGCGCGCAACGGTACAGCTGTGGCGTGCCACGCGTGAGGTGTGCAGGCGCCTTGCAGAGCAGCGAGATTTAATGCACTCGAGCTCGTTAGGTGATGGCGAAAGGCGCGATACCTTTGACGGAGCCGCACGAGGTACGCGAAACTTTAGAAACGGAGGAGAAGGGCAGCGACAGGACCAGAAGCGTAGGACTGCGGCATCCACGCGTGCCTATTTGTATGGGAGCGACGCGGAGGGAGGTACTCGAGCCACGTCCTAGGACGGCACACTCTACCAACGATCATACATTGTAGACGCACGAGATACTCCCCCTAAAAAAAAAGCTATGTATCTTTTATGTTGCTCATTGGAAAGAGCAGTACTTACTGGGCGTGACATCGAGCGTGACAGTCCTGCCTCTCAATGAGTACACTCGAGAACGAGTTTCTGTGCGGCTGCTGCGGATGCGTGTTACTAATAGTTTTTTTTCTTCTCTTCTCCCTGTAGCGCCGCCGACGCAGTCTGAGGTGCACATGTATATGAACGTGTGTTCCTCTGGCGTACGTTTACGTTTGGCTAGTGGCACTTCCTTCCTCCTCCCCGCTCCCCATCCTCCGGCGCACACAGTGATGCGGTATCAGAACTTTCCTTCTTGCCTCTCTCCTCCTTCCTCCTCCTTTAACCTTTCACATGCAAGTTCACAGATCCAACGCCGATCCCACAGAAGCCTCCCCCTCCCCTCCCTCTAACAGTTCAACTCAGTAAAAGAAAGAAAGAGACCAAAAGGCAAAGGTTTTTCTCTTCTCTTTGTCTAGTGTTCCTACTTATTGCCTTGATTATTATTGTTAGTATTGAAAGAAACATCCGTAACCCCTGCCAGGGTTACTTCACCAAATCGCTCAAGAATGGATCAGGCTATTATGGCTGGCCAGTACAAGCTGGGCAAGCAGATCGGCTCCGGCAACTTCTCCAAGGTGCGCCTCGGCACCGATCCGCAGGGCCGCACGTGGGCTATCAAGATCGTCGACAAGCGCCGTCTGAAGAAGGAGAACATGGAGGACCAGATGCTGCGTGAGGTGGCCATCATGCGCAGTCTGCGACAGCAGAACGTGGTGAAGCTGCAGGAGGTGCTGCAATCCACGAACCACTACTACCTCGTCCTGGAGCTGGTGACTGGCGGGGAGCTGTTCGACAAGATCGTCGCCGCCAAGCGCTTCGATGAGCCGACGGCACGGCGCTACTTCCACCAGCTCATCGCCGGGATGTACTACTGCCACTCGAAGGGCTTCGCGCACCGCGATCTGAAACCGGAGAACCTGCTGCTGGACGGCAACGGCACGTTGAAGATTTCGGACTTCGGTCTTAGCAACCTGCAACAGGATGTGCTGCTGCAGACGATTTGCGGGACGCCGAACTACGTCGCACCGGAGGTGTTGATGGAGCGGGGCTACAACGGTCTATCGGCGGATATCTGGAGCTGTGGCGTGGTGCTGTACGTGATGCTGGCCGGCCGTCTGCCCTTTGAGGATCGAAACATGAACGTCCTGCTGGGGAAGATTGAGCGGGGTGAGTTTCAGATGATCCGTCATATTTCAGATCAGGCGAAGGACCTGATAGCGCGTATGCTGACCGTAGACCCGCGGAAACGCATTTCGATGGAGGACGTAATAAACCACCCGTGGTTCCAGGTGGACTGGGATCCGAGCCTGCTGACGAGTTGAGAGGACACTCGTGATTGGCATCTGCACTTACGTGTGTGTGTGTCTGTGTGCTCTTGGCCTCAATTGTAGTTGCCTTTTTTATGTCGTTGTTGTTTCGGTGCTCCTCAAGGCGTAGGTGTCCTTTGCCTATTTTTGTCATCATTTCCTGCTCGCTCATCGACCGGCATCGTGTCGAACATGCCGCCCCCTTTTTCTTCTTCTTTATATATAACTGCTCACCGCTTCCTACTGGGGTGTATTTGCTGTTGGTTGATTCCTGCTGCGTTACTCGACGACGCATGTTGAGTCCTCCACCAGCTCTTCCGGATCCCTTTTCTCATCATTGTTTTTTCTTTGTTTGTGGTAGAAGGATTTTGTATAGAAGAGCAAGCGGTGTAGCGAGAGACGTTTTCTTCTGTGTTTTTTACTTTGCTTTGGTTCTGTTTCCGTGTGCACAGCTGGCGTTGACGAGGTAAATGTTTGGGCCTTCAAGGACTTTTTCTTTTAGGTGAAAAACAATGAAGCAAGCAAAGAAGTATATATGGTTAATGCAAAACAAAGGACATCAAAACGGAAGAGTTGTACAGATACAAGATCAATGTTTACAGATAGGGTTTTATTATTATTGTTCAGAGTGGAATGGGAACGGAATGATCACCTGAGTTGTCCACGTCTTGCTGCGACTCTTATAGCGCTGTTCTACTTGCAGGGAACGGTATGTGCAGATCGGTTCGTTCGCCGTGCGTGTTTTCGTGTTCGTACTCCTTTTCTTTTCTTTTCTTTCCTGTATTTACAATGTGTTCCAGCTGTGTTTGAAGGATGTTGATACGGCTCTTTTCTCTCTCTCCCTCTCTCCCTCACACACACACGCATTGCATTTTGATGTCGCCACTGTCTTTTTTGGTTTGTTTGGATTTTTTTTTGGAGGGGTATGCTTTGTTTTACGTTGTGGTGGTGGTGGTGGTTGCTACTTCCTGCCAAGCGAGAAGCTGACTTCGATGTCTACTCCTTCTGTTGGTTTTCCGCAGCTCTCTGTCTCTCTCTCTCTCCGTCTTTTGCGCTTATTTCCACTGTTGGTGCCGTGAGTTTTCGTCCTTCCCTATGTGTTTTTCTTTTCTTTTTTTTATCTTCCACGTAGAAGAGAGTGATGAGAATCGGTAAAGGCGTAAGGCAGAAATTGTTCTCCTGTCTGTATGTGTGTGTGAAAAGGGAAAGAGAAAGCGCAGACAATCGCCGCGGTCCGGGTAGTGTGTTGCCCCGCCGTTTATTTGTTTGTTGTTGTTTTAGAATTCTGTCACTACCTCTCATCTCCTTCTGTGGATGTATTCCTTTTGTGTTTCTTCTCTTTTTGTTGACGCCTTCCGTTTCCTTTCCTTTCCTTTCATTCTCGGCGAACGATGCGGAAGGAATGAAAGAACGCTTTCAATAATGCAGCACCCCATATATATATTGTTGTTGATTGGTGTGGGATTTGTCTTTGCTCCATTTACGTCATTCAGCTTATGTGTTACGCACGCACATGTCTTGTGGTATGGTGTGCGTGACAGCCTCTCTTTTTTCTCTTCTTTCTTATTGAAAGGCTTCTCAGCCACAGAACGCAGTAGAACAGAAAAAAAAAACGAAGCAAAAGAAACTGAAGCTCATTCATGCAACTCCGATTCCGCCTGGCTGTGTGGAAGCCAGAGCACAGAGGTAGGCTTTGGCGTCTCTATTCTTTGGGTTTGTTTTTCCTCATGGGACTTGGTGCTGTTGCGCAACACGTGCTACATTGGGAAAATAATTAATAGTAAGGTTTCGTGGCATTAATACGCTGCTGCTGCTGCTGCTTCGAAGTTCTGCTTCGCTGTGCTACACGCCCAACGCAAGGGTCAAGGCTTGGAAAGTGGCTAGGGATGGTGCCGCTTTCCCACGCTTACCTCAGCGTTGAACATCCACATGGTGGTGCCATGCTGGCGGCCACTGCACCCAACGACGCCAACTCTTTCCTCCTCATTGCAGTTCTGTCCACAACCTTCTGCGTTTTCCTATCTATCTATCTCTCTATCTCGTTGTGATTTCCGTTTACAACAACTTAAAGCTCGCCTTCTCTTTCTTCGTCGTCGTTTCATCACAGAGTGCGTCTAAGCGGGTCTGTAGGTCGACTCTCCCCGTTTTTTTGTTCAGCCTCTTTCAATACATACATTTTTTTGGCTTCTGTTTTCTCCTTCCTTTTTTTTTGTGTGGGTCTGTGTGTGTGTACATCACATCACAGATCCGTCGTCGCCTTCGTGCGTCTTGTTGCGCTGTCTGTAGCTGTCATCGGTGCCCTACAGTGGTGATAGCGTATCACCATCTTCCCTATTCTCTCTTTCTTGGGGTGTTTTCTATATATATATATATTCATCTCCTGTGATCGACTCTTATTCATTTATTGTGAATTACTAATACTATTATTAATATTATCATTGGTTGTGAGTGGTCAGTGTTGCTGTCTCTTTTTTTGTTTGTTTTAATATCTACGTTTGAGAGTGGTGCTGCGTAATTCACCTCTCTCTCTCTCGCCCTCGCCTGTTTTTCCGTGACAGCGGTTTCTTCCCCGCCTGCCGTTTGTGTTCGCGGACTTTTTTTTTGCTTATTCGTTTCTGCGTTCTTCTTTCCCCCCGTGTGGTGGTGGCCGCATCTATTGTGTGCCGAAACGATAGTGGGCGGCGAGGAGGGAAAGCGAAAGAGCGAGTTATCGTTACGCGACATACAGCATCACTGTGTGTGTGTGTGTGTGTGTGTTATTGTCTGCTTCGTGCGTTGACTAATACTGTTAACATTATTATTGTTGCCTCGATAGCTGCTCGTATCGGCTGACAGGCACCTTTTTTTTTGCTGTTCTCTTTCTTCAAAACGAGTCCCGTTGCACCTGCGCTAAAGATTCCATACACGCATCTCAACTACTCGTTCCTCTCTCTTTTCTGTGGTGGTGTGGTTGTGTGTGCGTGGGGGTGGAGGTGTGCTTACGAGTATTCCTTCTGTTGACATTATCGCTACTGCTCCACGAGCGGCACCCTCCATTTGATGCAAACTGCGGTGCCGTCCTCCTCCGCCGTTTGCCGCGGTGGCGGTGGTCATTGGAGCGACAGCGGCACACACGCGGGGGGTGATGCAGACCACTACGACGACAGTGCCGCCGCCGCCTCGGATGTGTTTCGTGACTTCACCTGGTACAGCGCGATGCTGCTGTCGCACCTGTTTGCGCTCGAGTACGCGCAGGTGGCGCGCGATGCGGCAGCCGAGGAAGCACGCCGGAGCGCGGCTTCGGCACACAGTCCGCAGCTGCTCATGCGAGCGGCCATGGCCGCCGCGAACACACCGACGACGACAGCGGCGACCACGCAAAATTTATTCGCCGCAGCCCCAAATGTCTCTGCTGCACAAGATGACCACGTATCGAGGCTGCGAAACAGCAACAACAACGGGGCTGAAGACGGCAGTCAGCCGGCGGCCGCCGCAACTGCCGCAGCGCAAACGGCGATGGAAGTTGCAGAAGAGATACTCCCGCTGCCGCACCTCACCGCGCAGCACCGCCCACACATTTTGCTGGGCTTCACGACGAGCGGCGCCGCGAGCGGTCACGCAAACCGCAGCGAGGAAAACGTGTGGAATGACCCGTCTACCCGCTGGACGGCGCCGGCGCGGCTGAAGGACGCCAACGCTGGAGCTGCCGTGTCAGCAGACCGCAACGGAAGTAAAACGGCGGCCCTTCTCGCTGCTTTCGACGCCTTCTATTTCCCCTCGGAACTCTTCTCTTCCCCTGCAAATGCGCCCGGCGCATTGGCGACGGCGGCGAAAACCACCACCTCGGCCAGCCGTACCGCGCCATCCGGTGCAGTTGGCAGCGACGCGGCTCCGCTGACGACGGACGACGCTGACGGTGACGGCGGTGTGAATCGAATGAATCTCACCGCTGCTGCTGCTGGTGGAGGTGGTGGTGCACCCGCTGGTGCATCGCGCGTCACGCCCGAGGCCCTCCGCGAAGCCTTCCACACACTTCTCCAGCTTGGTCAGCGCTGTGCCGCCTTCTCTTTGACCTTCCACGGCATCATCGGCGCTGCTGCCACAACGGAAGACGGCGCAGGCGACGGCACCGCCACGGTGATGGTGACCTCACGCAGCGGCGACAACATCGTCCTCTCCTCAGAAGACGAACTCCGCAGCGGCAGCGGTGCGGGGACGACGGGGGCGGCGCCGCTGACGGTGGACAACGCCGGCATGCAGCAAGCCGCCTCCGCCTCGTTGCAGTTTATGCTGCAGCTCGCCTGTAGCTGCCCCTGTGCCCCCTTGTCCTACGCGGCACAACTGTGTATTGCGCATGCGCTGGCAGTGCAGCCCACGCCCCGCAGCGCCGCCGGCTGGGCCGCACGGCAGCAGCTGCTGCGCTTCTTACCGACTCTTCAGCCGCCTTCTCGCACCTTGGCGACGGACGCGGCTGCGGCTACGGCTGCTGGTGGAAATGGCGGTGGTGGTGGTGGTGTACATCATCATTCCAGCACCACTACGGGGACTGCACCCGGCACAGCAGCGGCCGCCCCTTCGACTACTACTTCGAGTGGGCCGTCAATGAGTGCTGCGGGCGCAAACACGAGCAACCGCGTCCCCGCCACGCAGTACGTGCGGGCGGAAGATCAGCTCTTGTGGTTCGACGAAGCCGGCGCCGTGCACGTGACGACAGCGCAGCGGTGGTGGGAGGGTCAGCCACCGCCGCCGTCACGCTCGTCGCGTGGGGGCTCCTTCTGTGCGTACTGCGGCCCGCTGCCGGCCACCACCGCTCTCCCTACCGTGCAGCGGCTCCTCATGGAGGAGAACCAGTACGCTGGGCCGAACGGGAGTGCCGCCGCGGTGCTGCTGTCGATCCTCGAGGCCGTCTCCACCGAGGTAACGCTGAACGCGCGGCTTATTCCCGGCTCGTCGTCGTCGTCGTCGCGTGTGCACACAAGCCTGCGACGCCGGCGTGGGGTGCACAGTGGGGGCGGCGGCGTGCACACCCCTGCGAGTCTCAACGGGGGTCAGCGGACCGCAGCGGCGGGGCTGATGCGCGCTGCATCGCCCACCCTGTCCAACGCCTCGCTGGATGTGGAAGGCGGCGGTGTGCGCGGTGGGTCACCCACGCTGCCGCGGCCGTCCTCTGTTGGAAGCCAGAGCAGCAGCAACCCCCACAGCACGAGTAGCACAGCCGTGGCACGCACACACGCCACCGCTGCATCCTCTCGCCTCTCCAAAGCGGCGAAGCGTCGTCGTGCCCTCCTCTTCGCCCTCGCCCAGAGTCACCTCCTGCCCCCGACCGCGCAGCTGGTGACCACCAAGACGCTGCTCTACGGGGTCTTCACGGATGGCGGGGAGTGCCCGTCCTACTACACGCTCCTCTCTCTTTACCCGGAGGTCTTGCGCGCCCATCACGCCTCGCTGCATTACGTTCTTTTCGAAGAGGGACCGCTCTCGGTGGACGTGCGACTTATGGTCGCCACGATGGCCGCTAGTCGCCACCGCTGCGAGTACCTTGTCTCGCGCTTCTCCGCACTACTGCTGCGCTACGCGGAGGAGGCGATGTTCGAAGACGGACACGACGACGATGGCGATGACAACGACGTGTTCAGCGAGCTGCCGGAGGATGACGACCCTGGATACCGCAGCGGTGGTGGTGGTCGGCACTACGATGCGTACCGTTTTGGCCGAGAGGATGAGGTTGGCGGCTATCACGGCCCTCGGCAGCCTCGGCAACAAAGGCAAAAGCAGCAGCTGCCCTGCCGTGGACAGGCACGGCAACGTTGGATCACGCACGGGCCACCATCACGTCTACGCGCCGTACAGCACTTCATCGCCATCGCCGCCCACACGCCGTGGACGCTGAACGAGGACGACATACGCGGTGTGCTGGCGAACGGCTGGACCATCCCGGAGGTGTTTCAGCTCGCCGCGATTGTGGCGCAGGTGGTGCCGCTCTGCAGCTTTGTGATGGGCCTTTTCGTGCCGGCCGAGCCGTGGACGATGACGCTGCTGCCGCTCGAGGTGGTGACGCGACTGGGGCACCGCGCCGTGGCGGAGGAGACGTCTGCGGGGGGAGGGGGCGGCATGGTAAGCAGCGGCAGTAGCGGCACGCTTTCTGTGTTGCGCCGCGTGTCGAACATGCCGAGCGATGCAATGACCGGTGCCTGCCCAGGTCCTGCGACTCCGCACCAAGCCGCCACGAGTCGCTCGCTGCTCGGGGCGGCGATCAGTAGTGGCAGCGACACGGTGCTGATCAGCGGCGGCAGCGGCACCGTTGGGTCACCGCCAGGGAGCACGACGGGCACCAACAGCAACGTCGCCGGTGTGGCGGACGTCTACCGACGCTACGCCGGCGAGGATGCGATTGTCAGCGAGCAGCGCATTAAAGGCAGCAACGCCACGGCGAACCCGCACACGCTCTGGCGCAGTCAGTTCACGTGGAACGAAGTCGGTGCCACGTCGATGGAGCAGTACTACCCCGGTGCGGCAACTCTCATGAGCGAGGAGATCGAGTGCTTCTTTGATGTGGTGCGTCAGCTGACGAAAGCGGACTGTGTCGGGCTGATGAGCCCCGACTACGCCCCCTCCTACGCCTTCCGCTCCCTGCAGCTGTACGTGCAGAACCTGCTCGGCTTCATGGTGGAGGACTACCCCTACAACGACATCAACAAGGTGCTGCGACGACCGGCGAAGTGGTTTGCGCAGGTGCTGACGATGCGGCCCGAGACGCTGACGCGGAGTGCGGTGGTACGGTGGTACGTGCCGACGACGCCGCCGATCGGCAAGTCCACCGACCTCAACGCGGAGTCTTCGCTCGTCACCCACCAGCTGAAGCGGGAGATCGAACTGCTGTCGGTGGTGGACAGCGCGCAGGGCGGTCACCGCGGCGGCATCGAGTCTGCGAGCGCACACCCCGACTTGGTGGACAGCCCGCCGCCCACCCCGGCCGAGGCGGCGCGAGACGCGGCGGAGGCAGAGGCGCTGCAGACCGCCTTGACTCTGCAGGACGAACGCGTGTTGCTGCTCATTGCGCTGGCCACCATGGAGGCGCGGAAGGAGGGTCTGCTGCACATTCTGCTGCGTCCGGTGTGCTCGGTGCTGAGTAACATGTAGGCCACAACACAAAAAGAGGAAGCCAAAAAAACCACTCACGTCCTCAAACGCAAGTTACGGTGTGTGTGGTGTGTGGGGAGGGGGGGGGGCTTTTTGAGTGTTCTCGACGCTGCTAAGCCACCCGCTTCGTTGTCTTTATCTTCCAGCTTTTCGCTGCTGTCGTGTGCGTTGTGGATCGATCTCCTCCGCTGTTCTCCGGTTTGGTTTGTTTGTTTGTTTTGCCTTCTTGTCCTGCGTTTGCATCTCTTTGTGTGTTTTTCGTAAAATCTCCATTTTAAGAACAGATACACTCTTTCCAATCTTTTTTATTTTATGTATAACTCCTTTCCCCCTTCTCCGATGCTCGTCTACACAGGTGGTAGGGGCGCGAAGGTGTCTGCCGTTAACACACGATGCCGCTCCCCACAAGACGAAGCGAATTCGCTGGTGTGAGAAGGGGGGGGGGAGGGTGAACGCACGTCGTTCGAGTTGCTCTTTGCCGGTGCTACCGGAACTCCTGTTGACGGAATACCACACAGACTTGTGTGTGTGTGTGTGTGCTTTCCTTTTTTGCCAATCTCCGTGGAACGAAGAGGAAGCTCTTCTTAATGTTGACTATGGCATTTACAAACTCTTGCTTCGTTGATGACAGCGCTCTATATTAGCAGATGAAAACGGAAGAAGAAAGTGAAGACAGAAATCCACACGGGGAAAGAGAATATGTCTGCCAGTAACTGAGCAAGCGACTCGTTGGATATGTGTGTCTCCGCCTACGCGATGCTCCGTCGGGCGAAGAAACTGAAACGCAAAATGAAAGGGTTTGCTTCTGCCGTGACTGTTATGCGACGAGTTCCCGAGGCGGTCCCGTTATCGTCGCCCACGCGGCACCCCTTCCACCTGAGTGCGCTCCCCGAGTTGGCGGGGATGTGACGTCTTTCTGCCTCCCTACGCGCTTCTCTTTCCCCGCCTCTTTCCTCTACGTTATCCGCTTCTCGCCCTGTTTCCACAACAACACACAACGGTGTCAACCATCACGTTGCATGTGTACGGCCCCTCTGCAGTTGCAGGCCTTGTTTAGCTTTGCTTCTTTCTTTCTTTTTTCTCCCCTAGGCTTCCCGCTCGCTCGCCGTGATTCGCCATCCAGCCTTTCCCTTCCGGTCCGCCTTTGCGCTATCCTCATTTCGCCTCTCTGCGTGTGCGCGTGGTCGCCTCCCTCAACGTGCAGCAGCGCCTTATTGTTCTTCTTCTTTTTTGTTTTTTAGCAGAGACGACGAGAACATCGACGTAAAAACCGCCAGCAAAAAGAATCCCCCCTCCCCAGTTTGTAGAACTACTCCGAGCCACAGCTAAAGGAATATACTGTGATTTAACCAAAAAGAGAAAGAAAAGACAGAGCAGCAGATACGGCACAAAGCCAAACCACCGTACACCCCGTACGACCGCGTTTCGTAGTGATTGAGATACATACCTCCCTCTTACGTCCCATTTATATTTAGAGATAAATATATATAGCTGTGTTTCTCTTCTTACTCCTTACACCGCGAGACGCATCAAGTGTAACCCTTTTTTCGTTCCGCTTATATATGTGTGTTAGTGCACTCGCGTAACTAAGAGTGCCTGACGCAGCAGTAACGCCCCTTTTTCTTTTTTTCTTTTGCGGCTCCGCTTCGAGTTACCGACGCCTGCTTGTGTGGTTTTTTCAAAGAGTTTTTTTTTGTTTATTTATCCGCGGACAAAAGGAAAGAAAAGAAGTATTACACACGCTCGGAGATCGTCAACGTCGGCAGCGGTTTTGCGTTCCTCCTTCGATTGCACGCTCTTCGACTTCGCCAACCTTTTCTTTTGCATACATATATATTTATTTATTTATTTATTTATTGCCTTTATCTTTTTTCTTCATATAAACTCCTCGTGTTTATCACAAATTCACCTCTGCTCTTGTTTTCGCCCTCCTGCCGCCGACCTGCATCTCGCAGCTGCTGCTTTCCGTTACGCCTTCGCAGCCACGCACACGCACACGTCGGTAAACCGAGGTTTCGTCGTGGCAGTGTGCCCCGCTCTTTCTCTTCGTGACGACCCCGCAGAGCAGACTCGAGCATACTCCTTCCATTTTGCTACGTGTACGGAGGGAAAAACGGTGTGAGAAAGCGTTGTGAGTCCGACCTCTAGTGGGTGTTGTTTGCTGCTGTTCTCTCCTTGGACGGAACACGCCTATTAAAACAAAACCAAAAAACTCCAACAGCGATATCATATTTATCACCATCACCACTGTCCAAGAGGGAAGTACGAAATCAAGAGAAACAAGAAAAGAAAAGAAGAAGATGCCGGCAGAACTTCTTGACGAGGCCAACCAGGATGCCGAGGAGGAGTTCATCTTCAACGAGTACGCCATCGACGACACTCTCGACCCGCTGAACCGTCTGCTGCTCTACTACCAATCCGATTTCTCTCTCCAGCGACTCGTACTCGTGCGGGAGCTTTGCTCTACGGCGCAGTATGCCGGCTACGCCGAGAGCGCGCGCGCCATCGTGCCGCTGCTCACCTCGTTCACCCAAGACGCCGAGCCGGTGGTGCGGCAGGCCCTCGTCGAGCAGCTCTTTCCCCTCGCGGAGTTCTTTGTCCAGCAGGGCGGCGATGCGGGGTATCAGTACCTGCTGAACGCTTTCCTCCCCACCGCCTTCGAGCTGCTCGTCGACAAAAACGTGGAGGTGGGCGTGGTGGCCCTGGAGACGATCCAGAAGCTGGCCCAGCTCGTGCACAAGGAGCATGTGCAGTCGCACCTGCTGAACGTCGTCATGACTCTCGCGCACGACGAGCGTGCGGAGGACTACCGCGTCGTCGCCGCGCAGCTCTTCAACGACCTCGCACCGCAGTTCGGCAGCGTCTTCTGTACCACGGTGGTGCTGGGGGAGTTGGAGCTGTTGTCGAACGACTCGAGCTTTACGGTGCGCCGCACCGTCGGCAGCAACCTCGGCGGCGTCTGCGCCGTCCTGACAACTGAAGAGGCGCAGCGCACGGTGCTGTCCTTGTATCTCGCCCTGTGCGCTGATGAGATCTGGGGCGTGCGTCAGGCATGCGCGGAGTCGATTGAGAAGGTCTCGGAAGGCCTACCAGAGGCGATGCGTGTGCAGTTTATTGTACCCGCGTTTCAGAAGTTGCTCGAGGATGACTCGCGGTGGGTGCGGACGCGTGCCTACGAGTCCTTAGGACGCCTCCTGCACACCCTCCGCAGCGAGGACATCAGCCCGGAGCTGCTGCGTCTCTTTACGGAGATGGCCTTCCAGTCCGACAACGTCGAGAGCCCGTTGAGTGAGTACTGCGCCTTCTGCTTCCCTGCGGTGGTGCAGGTGATTGGTCCCTCCCGCTGGCCCGAGGTGGCTGACGCCTACGCGACGATGCTGAAGGACGTGCAGTGGAAGGTGCGCAAGTCGCTTGCCTACTCGCTACACGAGATGGCAGAGCTGCTCGGGACCGACATCACCGAGGAGGCGATCGTGCCTGCCTTTGAGCTGCTGCTGCGCGATCTGGACGACATCAAGCGCGGTGCCGTGCTGAACGCGGAAAAATTTCTGGCCCTCGTCACACCCGCTACGCGCGACCGTCTCGTACCGCTGCTGTGCCACGTGCCGCTGGAGAGTGAAAACTGGCGTCTGCGCAACGAGGTGGCGAAGCGGATTGGTGCAGTGGCGGTGCTTCTCTCACCTGACAGCCCGTCCTTCTCCTCCGTCCTGGCGCTTGTCTCGCGCCTGCTCGACGACAGTGTGATGGAGGTGCGCACCTCCACCTATGAGCCGGTGGCCGTCATCCTGAAGCACCTGCGAGGGGCGAACGATGAAAAGTATCAAAACTATCTCTCCTCCATCGTGAAGCTGGCGACAGCTTACAGCTTCCGCGGGCGGCAGATGTTCGCCTACGTGACGGAGCAGGTCGTGAAGGTGGGCGCGGACGACGTGCTTGAGAACGCGCTGCTGGATGGCATGGTAAAGCTCGCGATGGACCCTGTCGTGAACACCCGCCTCGTCGTCGACTCGGTGGCTGAGAGGACAATCCTGAAGAATGAAAGCTGGGCTCACAACGCGAAGGTGCAGGAGGCTATGTCGGTGCTGCAGCAGCAGGCCACCTCGCAAGAGGCGGTGGACGCCGCGGCCGAGAATGCGGAGGCAGCCGTGGCGAACACCCAGATCCTCCACGACGACAGCACGGCGGATGCGGTGGGGATGGAAGTGCAGGCGCAGCAGCAGCAGTTCGATGAGGGACAGGAAGAATTCCTTCGACAGCAGCAAGAACTCTTTCATCTGAAGGAGAAGCAAGAGCTCCTTCAGCAGCAGCGCGAAGAAAACCTCCTTCGGCTAGATCAAAAAGAAAAACAATTGACGATGATGGGGGGTAGAGAAGACGGCGGTGCGCCTTCGCCGCCGCAGGCAAAGGCAAGCACAGAAGGGCAGCCGTCCGTTGCGGGCAGTGGGGTCAGCGGTGTTGTCGGTGCTGGCAGCAGCAGCAGCAACGGCTTTAGCAACAACGCGAGAGCGACTGCGACGAGTGGGCTTGGCGATGCGGCGGCCGCGACGGCGGAGGGTAAGGGTAGCGGCACACTAGGCGCTCCGGTGGTGGGTGAGATTTAATGCAATAATAACTGTGTGTGTGTGTGTGTTGTTTTTTTACTTTGTGAGAGAGGCCAGAGCAGTAATGGCAGCGACAGCGGGGAGGGGGGTAGAGCGGCATTTGCGGTTGACGCTCGTGACCCATGATGGTTTCTGTGTGTTCTCTGTTGTTATTGCTGTTTCGTCGGGATGACGCTCGCACACTCGGATACTCTCAAGCCCCTCATTGTTATTATTACTATGATTCTGCCTCTTTTATTCGGACCACCGTATATGTACATGTACATATCTATCTCTATACGTTTTTGTTTTCTCTCTCTCTCGTGTGTGTGATGGTGCTCACGTATGAAGGGCTTCGGTGTGCCAGGAAAAGGAGAAGAGTTCGACTCACTTGATTGCTTCTGTGCGTCGGGGCAGCAGAGGGAAAAAAGTTTGTATACTTTTCTTCTTCATTTTTTTGGTGTTGTTGTTGATGGTAATTCGTGGTGTTTTCGGTCTACTTGTTGTAGTGAACGCTTCCGTTTCAGCGCTGCCTTTATTGCTGCCGTTTTAGTGTTCATTTTCTCTGTCACACACACACACACACACACACACACACGTGCGAAAAAAAAACCCACAGCTTATTCCTGTTAACAAACACCGATTGCAACACAGACGTTCTTTGCGGCTCTTCGACCTAACAGCTTAAGTAACGCGCGCACATACACAGACACGTGCGTCGGACAAACATCGGTTTTCATGCGTGGATGTGGATATGTGTGTGTGTGTGTGAGAGAGAGAGACTCTGTATTTGAGCTTGTGTTGTTGTCATCGTTGGTATTGCTGTTGCAATCACCTACCACTCCAAACAATGTACAGGGCTTTTGCGGTTGTTGTTGTTCGTTGGTTGTGGACTCGGTAAGGATCGATAAGTGCACCTGCCTGTACGCCTCTTGAGTGCCTATTATGTTTGTATTTGAAGAGCTGTAGCGTGTGTGGAAGCGTCATTTTTTTTCCCCGATTGACGGATGATGGATGACACACGCAGGTTCACACGACTCCTTTATGTGAGTCAGCTAATTCATAGCTTCTCTGTTGGCCTCTGTGATGCGAAGGGTGAACTGTGCAAGCAACAAGTGCCGGCCAAAAACATAATAGTCAATCAGGAGTTGTGCACGTTCTTTTTGTGGTTTATTTTTTTATTTCAGTTGTGTGTGTGTGTGTGTGTGTGTGTGGCTGTTGTTCTTAGGTTGCCTTCCTTTACTTCTTAAACATCTCTATTTCCTTTCTTTTTTATTTCTGGATGGTGGTAGCTGTTGTTTTCGTTGGCCTACGATTCTGTGTTAATGCCTTCTTTGTCGTGTCGTGTCGTGTCGTGCGGAGGTGCGTTGTGCTCTTATCTGTCGTTGTCGTTGTCGTTGTCGTTGTGTGTGTGTGTGTATTTTGGGGAGGAGAGCGAACCACTGAATCGTCTCGTATCATGTGGAGGCTTGCTGATCATCACATCGTTGTGAGTGGGCTGTGCGTGTTTTTCTTCTTTCTTTCCTTCTCTCTCTCTCTCTCTCTTTGCGTCTTTTCACTTTTCTTTTATTACTATTATTCTTCCTCTTTGCCTTTTGGAATACTTTTGAAGCCCTCCCCACACACTCCCGCAGACACACAGACAGACATTGCTCTCCTCTCTCTCTTTATTTCTTCTTTTTCTTTTTCGATTGTTTTACTTCGAATTTTTTTGCTGTGTGTTGATGGCACGCGTATGTGGTAAACTCGCCCTGTGCATGGCCTGTGCGTGTGTGTGTGTATTTGTTGTCGTTCATTCTAGCTTGTTGGTTGCCCTCCACCTGCCGTGTGTCGGTCACAACAACTGCAAAAAAAAAAAAGGAAACACAATACGTGAAGCTTCAGGGAAACCAAAAACGAGAACCGTGTAACAAAGCCATGGAAAGGTGGTGAAAACCGCGTCCACGGTGTGCACAGCGGCAACGAGAGGAAGGAGGCAAAAAGAGAAACAGCCTTGCGAATGACGGCATGTGTGTGTGTGTGTGTGTGTGTGCAGCATCTCGCTGACCAGTTACCTCCCCCTCTCCCTGCTCCCAGCACGCCAAGCTGCGAGCTGTGCACTGTTTGATTCCTGTATTCAGCTTTGCTTTCGCGCAACGCCGCAAGCTCGATCCCAGCGTGATGGTTTTTGTTTCCCTGATGACGATGCAGCTGTGCAGACGGCGTTTTGCGAAGCTGACCTGTACCGCTGCCGATGACTGCACAACGTTAAGAAACTGTTAAAAAGAGAAAAAACCGGACACTATTTTTCTTTCTTTCTTCTCTTTCTTGTTTTGTCATCTCATTGCATACACTTGTGGACACCACGCCAGAGTCTCTGTGCTGCTATTCAACTTCATCTCGATCGTTGTATCACGGTTACCTCATACAAACCTATATATATGAAGAGAAAGAGAAAGAGAAAGAGAGAGATTTGTCTCGAGGATCGAAGCTTTAGGTGAAGGACGGCAAATCATCACAATGGCGGGGGCCGCACCGGACAACAAAGGTCCTCGGTCCTCACGGCCCTACCTACCACCGCTGTCGCACGGCGAAGACACCGACGCCGCCCTGCCCCATCAGCTGCCTTCGCTCCCCATTGCGACTCTTCACGCACCCCTCTCTGCACCGCTGCGCTCGTCAGGCTCTCTCAACATCCCTCAAACAACTTCAAGTAATAATAATGCTGCTCCTGCTGCTGCTGCGTCCTTACCAGGGAACAAAACAAAGCACGCCGAAGGCGACGACGAGGGAGAAAAGAAGCTGCCGAGCATTACACGGTCGGCAACGGGTGGCGTGTGGCGCTCGAACAGCGTGATTGGGAGAGCACGTGGGATGAAGCCGCTGTCGCTACGCGTGAAAGCCTGTCCCCCCTCTTCCCCCGCTGCATTAACCGATGAAGGCGCGGAAGATGCTGCGGCTACTGCTCCTGCGAAAGGCCCATTTCAGGGCACCGCATCGACAGAGGAGCGCCACCTGCATTCTGCGGAGACGCAGCCGCACCCACCATCGCCACCTCGTTCACCGCAACGTAAACGTCCGCAGCGACCACCGCCGCAACAACAAACGGCTACCTCGTTTTCACTTGCACGACTGCGCAAGTCTACAACTCCGTCATCACCGTCGCCTCCACCAAATATGGATTCCGTTCCTGCGGTGTACCGCCCCACCGCTGTTCAATTTTCGAAAGCGGTGCTTCGGCTCAACAAGATGACAACCAGCACCTGCACCGCAGCGGACACGACCTCCTTGGAGTTTGTTGAAGAACGAAATGGCAAACGGGTTGATCGACGTCACGCCGACAACGGCGGCCCCTCGTACGAGACACCAACCCCGTCATTGTCGCTGTCACGTCTGCGCAAGCTCATGCACGTGTCGTTGCTCCCGCTCACCATCTGCACCGACGGTGCTGCGGTGCTGCTGGTAGACCCGAACGGTACATCGCGGCATGGAAACTATGTGCAGGCAGTGAAGACGTATCTGCGACGGCGAGCTACAGCTCAGCTTTCCGCCTCATCGGCTTCGCGTGTGCTGTGGTGGACGGCGGAGGACGCACACGACTGCAAAGGTGTGCTACCGCTCTCGCGCGCTCGTGCCTCCTGTGCAGACGGCGATCTCGCATTCGGCGTGTCCGGCGACGACTGCGCTCCACTCACGTCATCGCTGGCCAAGGTCCGATGCAACAGCAGTATTTTCCTTTCCAGCGTCCAGCCAGACCGTTTGACGTTACCGTTCGGGAACGGCCTGCTTCTGCTGTTGATGCCGGAAGCAGCGGGTGCATCCACGGCGTCGGCGGACGCAGCTCTCGGTGACGACGCACGCTCGAAGGAGCAACGGCACGCCGATGCCGATGCATCCCCCCGCGCTGCTCTCCACGGCGTCCGCCCCGCCTCTCCAGCCGCCTCGTCGCTTAGTCAGGACCTTTTGACAGACCTGTGTCACGGCTACCTGCCCTCGCTGTTGGAGTCGGTGTACCCCAACGGCGGTGTGCAGCTGCGGGGGTGTTGGTGCACGCTGAGCAGCAGCGGAGATGAAAGCGACGTCAGCTCTGCGCGACATCAGCAGCAGCCTCACAACGCTTCCCATACATCCTCGCGGGTGTCAGCGGATGGCGCCTCAAGCGGAACGGAAGGTGCGGTGGACGACTGCGTGGCAGCCCTCTCAATTGCTGAAGCGCTGGTGCATCCTCCGCACCCCCTCCTGACTGGCACATCGGAAGATCCTCGTCTTTCATCGTCGGCGGCGGCCGTGGCAGCACGAGTTATGCAGTCACTCCAGCCCACCTCGCTTCCACGTGCACCTGCGAGGGCAAACGATGCATCGCAACGCGATCTCCCGCCGGCGCTCGTTCTGGACCTTCAGCCACCTGTCATGCAGTTTGCGCTGCACCTCGGCGTCGCAGCACCGATGCAGACGACGAAAAGCTCTGCAGAAGCGCGTTCTGACGAAAACTCGGAGCATGTACCTCAGTCCCTCTCGTCTCATCCCTTGTCCGACACCACCACATCAAAGATGCGGTTTCCAGCAGGGGCGATGACACCGTCGTTAGCGCTCGCCGTGCACGAGGCTGACGTAGTGATGGGAAGTGACCAGCGGGCCCTCATCACGGCCGCGCGATCCACTTTTTCCAAGAGTGGTTTGGTGTTTGTGGGTCCGCTCTTACGGGGTTCTCCACGCGTCTTTGGCACAGCAGCAGCTGCACTGTCGGCCCGTCCTGCTGTGGAAGCTCACCGCAGTCCATGTCAGTCCGCCATGGTGTTGACGCCCATGGGGCGCGTAGAGCTGGTGGTGGAGCAGGGAGCCAACAAGGGCCTGACAGGCAGCGTCGCATCCGCGTCCTCCTTCGGCTCTCCCGTGACCATACGCGACGTGAAGCGCAGTCTTTGTCGCTGCGCGGTGGGGCAAGCGCTGCAGCTTACGGAAGCAGACGTGGCTCTGGTGTACGCCCCAGGCACGCCGGTGTTGCAGGACCAAGATGAAGTCCCACGGAGCCACGTCGTGTTGCGGCTCAGGCGGCGTTCGATCCACGTGAGGTGATGCGTCGAAGGTGTGCCTTTGCAGCACAACAACGACAAAAGGAAGGAACTCCTTTTCTGCTGCAGAGGCAGCGCCCCACCATCTTCCTTCCTTCTTTTGCAAAAATATTTTATTTGACTTTCGCCTTGTTGTTTTGTATGTGTCTCGCGTGAGCACCAACGTGACGGTGCGTGGAGCGAAGTGGGTGACCACCCTCTTCGATTTTGTTTTTCTCTTTTTCCTCCTTCCGCAGCCAGTGAAAAGAGAGAAGGAGAAAGACAAAGGATTTGTGTGTAACAACAATATATAAAAGAAAAACGCATTGTATTTCTTCACACTCCCGTTGATGTACAGTAGGACTTCTTTCTCCATGTGACTTCTCGCTCTTTCTTTATTATTATTATTATTATTATTATTGCTATTATTACTATTCTCTTTATACATCTCGTGCGTTCAACAGCGTTAGTTCGGATTCTCTTTCCTATGGTGGATACTATTCGGTGTCTTTCACAACGGCGCAAATTCCACGATAGATAGAAGAGAGTGCGTCTTTGCGGGTTGACAAGACCAGGTCGTTTTTTATATTTTTATTGCCGTTGTTGTTGTCTGCTCTCTACATTAGTACTGCTGCAATATGCCATGGCGAAAGCCACCGCCCAGGTGCGTTTCTTTGGGTCGAACAGCCAGCTCAACACACTTCCCTGTGAGACACACATACGATGCTGCGCTGCTTCGTGCTCACGCTTCAGGAGACGCCCTTCTTTTTCTTTTCTTTTTTCCTGTTCTGGCATCAATAGTACGTACCTCCTAGTGCGTCATTACGTTCTCCGTGGATTGCCAGGGAGGGGGGGGGAGGGAGGAGGACGGAGTGAGTGAGCCGTGTGTTTGCGTGCTCTCTTAGCGAAGGGCAGCTCTTGTGCGTTTAATACGTTCGCTCTTCTTTTGTTGTTTTCTCGTTGGTATCTCTTTCGGCCAGCGAGTGTCACCGGGATCGCCGCGGAAACAGGATCGTCTCCACAGACTCAACGGCAGCGGTGCACCTCAAGCCAATGCGAACACGTCGGTTCCACCGCCTCGCGTAGCTCCTGTGTGTCAACGCCTCCTGCTCTTCTCCCGTATTAGCCGCGGAGCCGTTGTGCCACCGTTTTCGATTTATCAACGCTGGTGTATGAAGAGGCGCTACTGTTTACTGCCTTGTGCTAATCTCCCCTTTACTGTGATTTTATGTCGGAGCCACCCATCCCTCTTCACTCCCTCGCTCACATCTCTGTTTCTCACCTCCTCCTGCCTTGCATTTTGTGCTTGCTGTCCGCCTCCCCTCTCCTCAACGCTGTGGTTCCCTCCCCACTCCCACGTCAAACCATCGCGCCGCGCACACCGCATTACCGCAGAATTAACACTCACCCTCTACACGCTCTACCCACCCCACACACACACACCAGCTCTAGCTATAGCCCTAGCTCTCACGCATCTTCCGCTTTCTCCACTACACGCAACAGTACCCTCGCCACTCATCCCAACCATGCGCGCTGCTCGTTGCTCGACGATCTGCGGCGTGGCGGGCCTGCGCATGGCGTCGTCGGTGGTGGACGAGATGAAGGACCAGATGCTGAAGCGCAACAAGGAGGACGCGCCGAAGATCGCCGACCTGAAGAAGAAGCACGGCCACGAGAAGCTCAGCGACGCGACGATCGAGGCGGCGTACGGCGGCATGCGCGGGATCACGGGGCTTGTGTACGAGTCATCGCTGCTTGATGCGATGGACGGCATCCGGTTCCGCGGCCGCACGATCCCCGAGTGCCAGAAGGTGCTGCCGAAGGCCCCCGGTGGCAGCGAGCCGCTGCCGGAGGCGATGTTCTGGCTGCTGATGACGGGCGAGGTGCCGACGGCGGAGCAGGCGAAGGCGCTCAACACGGAGCTGCACCGCCGCGCGGACGCGGAGGCGATCGGCGCCGCGCAGAGGGCGATCGCCGCGCTGCCGAAGAACGCGCACCCGATGACGGCCTTCAGCGTGGGCGTGATGGCGCTGCAGACGTACTCGAAGTTCGCGGAGGCGTACGCGACGGGCAAGTCGAACAAGAAGACGTACTGGGAGTACGCGCTGGACGACGCGCTGGACCTGGTGGCGCGCACGCCCTCCGTGGCCGCGATGATCTACAACCGCGCGACGACGGGCGCGACGGAGGTGGCGGCTGCGAGCAACAGCGACCTTGACTGGGCCGCGAACTTCTCGAACATGCTGGGCTTCAAGGACCAGGAGTTCTGGGACTGCATGCGGCTGTACCTGTCCATCCACGTGGACCACGAGGGCGGCAACGTGTCGGCGCACACCACGACGCTGGTGGCGTCCGCGCTGAGCGACCCGTACCTGGCCTTCAGCGCGGGCCTGAACGGGCTGGCGGGGCCGCTGCACGGGCTGGCCAACCAGGAGGTGCTGAAGTACCTGTTCAGCATGCAGGACCGCGTGAAGGCGGACGGCGTGAACGTGAGCGACGAGGCGGCGCTGGAGAAGGCGCTGACCAAGTACACGTGGGAGCTGCTGAAGGCCGGTCACGTGGTGCCGGGCTACGGCCACGCGGTGCTGCGCAAGACGGACCCGCGGTACATGTGCCAGCGCGACTTCTGCCTGCGCCACCACTTCGAGGACGACCTGTTCAAGCTGGTGAACACCATCTACAAGATCATGCCCGACATCCTGACGGAGCACGGCAAGACGAAGAACCCGTACCCGAACGTGGACGCGCACTCCGGCGTGCTGCTGCAGCACTACGGACTGAAGGAGCAGGACTACTACACGGTGCTGTTCGGCCTGTCGCGGCAGATGGGCGTGATGTCCGGTGTTGTGTGGGACCGCATTCAGGGCCGCCCGCTGGAGCGCCCCAAGTCGACGACGACGGAGGCGCTCGCCAAGAAGTACCTCAACACGTCTTTGTAGAAGAGTGAGACGGGGTTCGATGGGGTGGCGAACCTGTTGTCGCGTCAGCCCTCGATGACCAGCCGCTTAAGAAACGCGTAACGGAGAGACGTCCACTCCCACGCACCTACACTCCTGGGCCCCAAAGCACCCGCCACCGACACACGCATGAACGCGAACAGAGGAGCACACACGTCGCTGTTGCGCTTGCAAGATGCGAGGCACAGAGAAGGGAACGACAACGCGGGGCGAGTCTCTCGGTGCGCTCAGGAGACAGCCGCGCTCTTCCCTCCGTGTGCCGCGTCTGTGTCGTACGGAGCACACGCGCGTAATGATGTGCCTCCTCCCGGCGAGCTGAGCCATGCGGAGGCACAGTGGCGTAGCGGTGTAGGGACGAAGGCGACTGTGTATGAGAGGCATTGTTTAATCTCTCTCGAGAGAGAGAGGGAGAGAGAGGAGATGCACAGCACATCGGCCGTCATAACACGCCATCTGTCTTCCTTGATACATCCTTCCCTCCGTCTATTTTGCGCTATCGATCTCACTCTCACAGTTTTCTCTGCCGAGTGCAACGACAGGATGCAGCGTGCCTGCACCTCCTCTTTGCTCTATCTCTCCCCCTCCCTTTCCCCTCTGCGCGTGGAGCAGCCGCACCGCTGGCGTGCGCACATGCACCGGCGCACATTCTTTCCTCCGTTGATGCACAGGACGAGGTGTCTGTGGCGGTTCTGCGACAACTCACAGGAGCGCTGCAGCCCGTTCTGTCTCTGCAAGCGAATACGAAAACGTTTATCAATTATTATTATTATTATTGCTTTTGCATGCTTAGCTTTCTTCCCTCTTTTCTTCCATGTTCTGCGTCACGGACGTCTGCGCAGATATTCCAGTGTGATCGATCTTTGTTCCGCGCGGGTGTCTGTGTGTGCACTCGGGGAAACAGATCCCCTTCATTTATGGCTTCGGTTTAGTGATGGCTTTCCGGTCTTCTGTATCTCTCTCTCCCTCTCTATATTCTGACACACGTTTACGAGCTTCTTCCTGTTCCTCTTGGCACCAATAGGTGACGTGAAACCACATGCGTGGTGTATAGCCGCTATTCCGAAATACCAGTCCTGCCAGTTTACGTAGATACGTTTTCTCTCCGTCTCCCTTGTCATGTGTCCTGAAGGCTAATAGGGGACCCTTCAGCGGTGCGGGCCACAACACACGTCTCCGCAGGAACGCCTGGCAGCACTGAGCATGGACGAGGGGGGGGGGGAGGGGTAGAGACCGACGGGACCTCTCATATTTACAAAATAATACGCAAAGCTCGCCAAACGCGAGTTTTTCTCTTGTTCTGTTCAGCGTTGCCGCTGAGCTTGTTCTTTTGCCCCTTTTTCTTTCCCTATTCAAGTAAATGTTGTTGTTGTTTTTCACACCTTATGTCTAGGTGTTGTTTCCTCTTCTTCTTTTGGGGGGAGAGGAGGTCTGCGGCTAGCACCACCTCGACGCCGACGGAGGCGACAGGGCGGTGGGACATCCTCCTTTCTCATTTTCTTTTTCTTGTTTTGCTTCCTCCCTGCCTCAGCTAAACGACGTAAGAGCAGGCAAGTCGCGGTGATGAGAAAGAAAGAAAAAAACCCGAGGCGGACGAACACCGCAAATGGACCACAGAAAGTTAGATAAGGATGACGGAAGAAGAGGGAGGACGACCCGTGGTGTGTCTGCGCCGCCTCTCCCGGTCCGTTAGCACGCCTTGTCAATTCACCACGTACAGATGAACGGTCCGGCGCGTTTGCGTTACAACGGCGTTTTCCTCGTTTCACACGAGAAGACACAAATGCACAAATGAAAAAGAAACTCAACGAAGCAAGTAATGGAAATCGGCTGAACGTGGATTGCAGCAGCGCATAGTGCGCTGAAGCCGAACCAGGCGCCACCACAACGCAGTTTCCTAAGTGCTCGTCTCCACCGCTTTATCGATGCGTTTTCCGATCTCTATTCGTCGTGCTACCCTCTTCGTATGATGTGGCTTTTCTTAAGTGCACATATTATTCTTGACTTTTGTTTTACTTTTCCTTCTTCTCGTCGTCTCTGTCATATGATGACGGTGCTAGGAACGTTTACGCCTTTGCCGAGCAGCGCCGCTGCTCTCTCCTCTTCACTCCCTCGCTCACATCTCTGTTTCTCACCTCCTCCTGCCTTGCATTTTGTGCTTGCTGTCCGCCTCCCCTCTCCTCAACGCTGTGGTTCCCTCCCCACTCCCACGTCAAACCATCGCGCCGCGCACACCGCATTACCGCAGAATTAACACTCACCCTCTACACGCTCTACCCACCCCACACACACACACCAGCTCTAGCTATAGCCCTAGCTCTCACGCATCTTCCGCTTTCTCCACTACACGCAACAGTACCCTCGCCACTCATCCCAACCATGCGCGCTGCTCGTTGCTCGACGATCTGCGGCGTGGCGGGCCTGCGCATGGCGTCGTCGGTGGTGGACGAGATGAAGGACCAGATGCTGAAGCGCAACAAGGAGGACGCGCCGAAGATCGCCGACCTGAAGAAGAAGCACGGCCACGAGAAGCTCAGCGACGCGACGATCGAGGCGGCGTACGGCGGCATGCGCGGGATCACGGGGCTTGTGTACGAGTCATCGCTGCTTGATGCGATGGACGGCATCCGGTTCCGCGGCCGCACGATCCCCGAGTGCCAGAAGGTGCTGCCGAAGGCCCCCGGTGGCAGCGAGCCGCTGCCGGAGGCGATGTTCTGGCTGCTGATGACGGGCGAGGTGCCGACGGCGGAGCAGGCGAAGGCGCTCAACACGGAGCTGCACCGCCGCGCGGACGCGGAGGCGATCGGCGCCGCGCAGAGGGCGATCGCCGCGCTGCCGAAGAACGCGCACCCGATGACGGCCTTCAGCGTGGGCGTGATGGCGCTGCAGACGTACTCGAAGTTCGCGGAGGCGTACGCGACGGGCAAGTCGAACAAGAAGACGTACTGGGAGTACGCGCTGGACGACGCGCTGGACCTGGTGGCGCGCACGCCCTCCGTGGCCGCGATGATCTACAACCGCGCGACGACGGGCGCGACGGAGGTGGCGGCTGCGAGCAACAGCGACCTTGACTGGGCCGCGAACTTCTCGAACATGCTGGGCTTCAAGGACCAGGAGTTCTGGGACTGCATGCGGCTGTACCTGTCCATCCACGTGGACCACGAGGGCGGCAACGTGTCGGCGCACACCACGACGCTGGTGGCGTCCGCGCTGAGCGACCCGTACCTGGCCTTCAGCGCGGGCCTGAACGGGCTGGCGGGGCCGCTGCACGGGCTGGCCAACCAGGAGGTGCTGAAGTACCTGTTCAGCATGCAGGACCGCGTGAAGGCGGACGGCGTGAACGTGAGCGACGAGGCGGCGCTGGAGAAGGCGCTGACCAAGTACACGTGGGAGCTGCTGAAGGCCGGTCACGTGGTGCCGGGCTACGGCCACGCGGTGCTGCGCAAGACGGACCCGCGGTACATGTGCCAGCGCGACTTCTGCCTGCGCCACCACTTCGAGGACGACCTGTTCAAGCTGGTGAACACCATCTACAAGATCATGCCCGACATCCTGACGGAGCACGGCAAGACGAAGAACCCGTACCCGAACGTGGACGCGCACTCCGGCGTGCTGCTGCAGCACTACGGACTGAAGGAGCAGGACTACTACACGGTGCTGTTCGGCCTGTCGCGGCAGATGGGCGTGATGTCCGGTGTTGTGTGGGACCGCATTCAGGGCCGCCCGCTGGAGCGCCCCAAGTCGACGACGACGGAGGCGCTCGCCAAGAAGTACCTCAACACGTCTTTGTAGAAGGGTTGGACTGGGTGGTGGAGGCGAGAAGAGCGGCGCGCCCTACAGGCAGCGAGCAGTATATAGTTTTCTCCAAAGTGACGTGTTCTTTCGCTTGTCTCCTCCTTACGCATGCATCCTTTTCATAATGCAATGCGCACCTTTTTGCTAGTAATGGAAGTACAGGTAGGTATCCTAACTTCTTTTTCTTTTTTCCTATCTTTTTTCTTTTTGCGACTGTAGCGTTTCAGTGCCACTCAACCCAATTCGTCTGGCGTAGGAAGCTGAAGCAAGGGCTTCAACGAAGCAAGCAGAGCGAGTGCAGAAGGGTAAAAGGCCAGGCAGAAAGGTGGCGCGATCGGCGTTAACAGGAAGAGCTCACTCGGCCGTTTTTTTTTCACCCCTTTTTGTTCTCTTCTCTTTTCTACTTGCTTTTTTATTATTTCTCCCCCGCCCTCGCATTTTTACGTGTTTTCTGTTCTTTTGTGTTTTGTATTGTTTCTCTCTCCTCTCGATCGTCATGAGCCATCCGCGGATGTGGCGTTAGCGGGAACCCCCCACAAAAACGGCCGGCTTTTTCTTCTCTCCCAAGTCGTGAACGAATAATGTGAAATGAAGTGAACGGCTTCTCTTTTCCGAGCATGACTTGCTTTTCTCTGTTTTCTTTGTTTTATTTTTCCTCTGCGATGGCAAAAACAGGCTGCTACGCGTGATTGTTCTGTCGCACGTACGTAAGGATATCGAGACGAGAATAGAAGCCCTTTCTAAAATATGGATAATTCCTTGTTGGTGGAGGTTAGGAACTTGTCTCGCTAAGTGTGTAAAACTGAAAATGTGTTGTAGAGTGTGTCTCGTTACGTGCGCGCCACGTTCACGGACACGCGAGAGAAAAAGAATCCCCCGAACATGAAAACAATGGAGAGCGGTTCAACTGGCTATCGATACAGACTTCGGTCTTTTCCCTTTTATTATTATTATTATTATTATTTCTTTCTTCCTCACGTAACACATTCGCGTGAAGCTCACAGAGTAAAAGGAGACGATGCAGAAAAGGAATTTGTTTTCTCGTGGTGTTACCGCTCCTACTGCAGATCTCCGCTTACATGCCTGTCTGCAGCCCGCAATCGACTTCTTCCGTAGGTTTGCCAAGGCAGTACACGCACTTTTCTTTATTATTATTATTATTATTATTTACGCCTTTTGTTTCAATTACCCTCTGCTGCCTCTGGATTCAGAAAAGAAAAGAGAAAGAAATGCGAATTGTCGTGGCCAGGATGCGAACCCTTTCAAGGAGAGAAAGAGAAAAGAGATGAGTTAGCTAACTCCATATACACCTATTTTTCTATTGCTATATCGTTTTTTTGTTTGTTTGTTTTGTCGTTCTACCATTTTTTATGGCACGTTTTTTTTTTCTTGTAAATCTCTCGACCTTAACAGACGTTTCTGTTTTCGCATTACAATTATTAGTACTGTTATTATCATTATTACTGTTTTCACACACACACGCACACACACACAGAGACGAGAGCGAGAGAGGTTTGCAAAGTACGTTCGCCAAACTTCATTCAAATGAAATGCTCCTTTATTTGTAGGCACTCAGCGGTGCACAACGCGAGCTGACAAACCTGGAAAAAAAAAAGCAAAGAGATGGACAGATGTAT